GATTTTCCTTTTCGAAATCCGTATTGATTTTCTGGGAGAATGTTTTTGTGCTCGACCCACCATTGTAGTCTGTTTTTTAATATTGTTTCAAACAATTTACATAGGCAAGACGTGAGTGCTATGGGTCTGACATTTTTGCCGTCTGACTTTGGAATGAAATGTAAAAAAGAGTGTTTCCAAGATGTAGGGAAGTCGCCTTCTGTGAACATCGAATTAAAAATGTCTGTGCAAATTAATTTGTATTTTGTAGGAAGATTAGTTAGAATTTCAAAGTCGATGCCATCCATCCCTGGGGATGAGCTTGTTTTTTTAAGATCGAGGGCTAAATTGAATTCGGCAAAACTGAAAGGGGTGTCAAAAAATGGATTTGGTTGGCTGTCGGGAATTGCATTGGGATCCGTTTCTGCCGAAGGAGGGCTGATTTTGTCCAGTGCAATCTCAGTATATTTTTCTTTTTCTTTATTGTTATTTGGATTTGAAGGTGCTGTTTTGATCCAGCGATTTTTGAAAATTTTGCATTTTTCCCATACGTATTTAGAATTTGAATGAAAATCTAGGCTCTCCGCAAATCTTATGAAACACTCTTTTTTCTTTTTTTTGAAATTTTTTTTAATTTGGGCACATGTTTTTTTGTAATTAATCAAATCATCGAGATCCAAGGTAGATTCCCACTTTTTGAAAGCGGCGCGGCGAAGGCGTTTTAGCTTGGCGCACTCATCATCCCACCATGGTACTGGGTTACTTTTTTTGAAATTGCTTGGTATTCTTTGAAAGCCTGGCGTACTATCTTTGACGGACTGTGTAATTATTTCCATAAATTCATGATACTGTTCACTAGGAGATTTTTGTGTATATTGGGGAGAAAAAAATGTTTGGAATTTGGATTCTAACTGTATTCGAAACTCATGCCAATCAGTTCTGCGAGATTTGATTTTAAATGTTTTTTTTGTATAAAAGAATTTTTCAGCATCGATGTGGATATAAATCGGGTAGTGGTCTGATCCCCAGGTCTCATCACACACCTCAACGTGAACTTTGTCTGATATATTTGAGCTGGATATTACAAGGTCAATATTTGATTTAGTGTTTCTATGTATATCTATATATGTGTGAGTATTGTCATTGTGTATGAAAAGTTCACGTGCTTCGATAGCGTTTAATAATCGCGTGCCGTTAAGATCATCGTATCTACAATTCCAAGCTATATTGTGAGCGTTTAGGTCGCCTAGAAAAAGCGTATGTCTATTTTTTTGGATATTATTTAGTGCAGTGTCCCAATCAGGTTGAGAAAGTAAAATGCCCGGGGTTCTGTAAATAGCAATTATGTCGAGAGGAGGGGTAACACTGTCAATGGAAATGCCTAGAAGTTCAACTGATCTATTTGGAGACTTTGTGCTTAGCAATTTTAATGACAAACAGTTTTTAAGTAGGAAGATTATACCACCTGCTTTGTTGTGCTTTCTGTCTTTTCTTATGACGAAGTAGCCGGGATAAGTTATTTTGTGGTTTTCGTTAAGCCATGATTCCACGCATATGAAGATGTCCGGCTTGTCGTCTCTTAGAAGTTGCTCAAGCTCACATTTTCGTTGCGTAAAGCTCCTTGCGTTCCAGTAGATAATCTTCAGTTTTGTGAGCTTCGTTTTGATAGTCGCCATTGAAATTAGTTGTTACTGCGCGTTGACTCATCAGAGTCATCGTCAGAAGACGAAATGGAGGAGTTATTCAAACGTTTGAGAATTCTGTTGATTCGAGATCGAAGATTTCTGTCGCTTATGTTTTCGTGAACGTCTTGAAGCATCAGTACGAGATTTTGCGGATTAGAAGAGTAATTTTGAGCTATTTCGCTTATATTAGATTTACCAAAGCAGTCATTTAGAAAGTTGGAGAGTTCTTCAATGTTTATGGGATATTTTTCTAAGTTTGAATTCAAATATTTTTCAGCTGGCTGTAATTGCTCTCTTAGATTTGGCTTTTCTTTTTTGGACTCGATTTTTTTGAATTTTTTAATATTTGTGATTTTTAGCTCGCCTTTATTTGTTTTTTTACCTGAATTTGCACTATGTTCAGAGGACACCGTGTCGAGTCTGGTTCGTTTTTCTCCTTTAGAAGGGAGGGCTATTTCAGTTTCCATTGGGTCGCTCGTAGAGATGTTTTCATCAGGTATTGCAGCGTGGTTAGCGTGTATTTCGTCTGTTTCAAGCAGATGTTCTGGAGTGTATTTGTTCACGTTATCTTGCAGGTTTGACTGTGAGCTTTGACTGCTGATCTGGCTTGGAATTTGAGAGAGAGGACCTAGTGTGTGTGTAGCAGACGGACAATGTTTGGCAATGTGTCCTTCGGCTTTGCATGCGAAGCATCTTATTGATGTATTTATACTTGGGTATACATAGTATGAGATCTCGTCGTGTTCGATTTTGATGAATTCGGGTATTTTTGAAGCATCTTTTGGATCAATGTAGGTTTGCCTTCTTGAACTAAGGACATGACCATATCCTTCTTTATTGATGGCTGCTTTCAAGGTGACAATAGGAGTAATACACTTGATGTTCAGATTTTCTAGGGCGTTTTGTAGTATGTAGTGAGGAATTGGAGGAGCGACATTTGAAATAATGACTTTTTGGAGTTTTGCTACTAGCGGCCGAACGGGAACTTTAATATTGTTTATCACGATGTGCTCGAATTTGTCTGTGACTTCGTCCACCAATTGTTTACTGGATAGGTATAGGCAAACTCTGTTATTCGAAATTCGAGAGGAGTACAGAACATTTTTTGGATCAACGATATCTCCTATTGCACAGGTATACTCAGTAAGCGAAATTCCGTCGGCACATTCAACGATAATTCCTTGGTTTCTTTTAGGGTACGAATCACTTTTTGCGACTTGAGAATATTTCACATTACTTTGGTTCGACACTGATGGTTGGTCACTTTCACTAACTGACACTGGAACTGTTGAACTAGTACTGATTTGAACATTTTCGTTAATTGTGTTTGGTGAAAATGGACTTTTGGTAAGAAAAGCCATTTTCTTTATTGCTTTTGCCCGTAGCAAAGCAAAGAAGACTTGTTTTTAGGTTAAATATTTATGTAGGAACTCGTATAACTCGGGCTTATAAGCCCGAGCTGAGAGTACGCGCCTTATCGGCTATTATTCGCGGAGCGTTTATAAACACGTGTTATCACTGAGACGGCTCACGAGCGACGGGACTCGCTTGCTTCTTAGCGGTATAATTTTACTCTCAGTTCATTGTATTACGCTTATCTCGGGGATCGCGCATAAGAAACGTTGTTTTGAAGCCGTTTCATCTCCGTACACTCTCCCACCAGACTCGCATCAGCATGTTCAGCTTCTTTTTCGCGTTTTCTTGATCTCGCGCGGTACTCGCTTTGCAGGCTTTACACGGATTCCCAGGCGGTGGCGCCTCACTTCTTTACGACTTTTGTCCTGTTCGTGATCTTTTTCGTGGGTAAGCGACCGCGACTCTTGCTTGCAAGTCGTCGTCCTCTGCTTCTTTATTCAGCTCTCACGGGAGCTTAGTTCGTCTTCGGTAGTACTCGGCAGTCCAAGGACCAACATCGTTTTACAGCCGTTAAGCTTAATGAGACGGCTATAAAAAGCCATCTTGTTTTTAACCCTTTCGTTGCTGGATAGGGAGATCTCAAGTTTGCCGTGCCTCGCAATGCTCTGCGCCAGCGGATCTGCGAAACGACGCTTTTAATTGTACTACCTCATTTTTTTCGGCCCAATATATTCGCCCATTGTGAACGGACGAGGCGCCAGGGATCTCTTCTCTCTTTATTCGACGCGCTTCATGATCTTTTCTTTCACGGACCAACGCTCCTACAATCCTTTTACTCGAAATGTCTTTAAAAATTAACGTTTTGTCTTGTCTTATTTGTAAACTTGATTTTTCAAAGCCTTGGTGGGTTTTACCTCAACGTATTGGCTCATTAGCGAATCTACGAAGCGAAAACTGTGACCAATTTCTACTTACATTGTTTTATTAAAGAAAACATGTACTATTCACTTTGTCGAATTTGGATGGATAAACAAGCAGCTGCGATTTGCCTGTTTTCGTTTTGATGCCTTTCGCTATCGATCGCGGCAAACGTGGCTATTGGTTCGACGCACTCTGACACGACCGGAAACGTGACTTTGTAGGCGTGGCCATCAATGCGTCGCATGCATTTCGAATGAGCTTGTGCATAACTCGCTATGCAACTTGCATAGCATTGCGCATCATTTTAGATATGATTAGCAAACATCGAAATTGCTCGCTGACGTCGAGTCTATTGACACTCGTCAGGAGGGTGCGTATCTACAGCTCTGCTTGCGAATAATGAACAGTTGTGTGTATAAACATTAAAAGGTTTATTTTTGCTGCCTTGTGATATAATCAAAACTTGAATAATTTCATACATGTTTTTTTCCATTCATGGAGATCCGTAGAAAATATTTTGAAATATTTTCATTAAACCCTAAACTCATAAAATCATGTGCAGCCATACGAGAAAAAAAGAGTGGATCTTAATAGTTATTTATGTAACAAGTGCCCAAAAGGCGTTTTTGGGCACGAGTGTGCGGAAAAAGACACGAGTGCCGGCTATGCCGGCACGAGTGGGGGTTTTTTCCGCACACTGTGCGCAAAAAGCTGGGCACGTGTTGCATACAAAATTTTATGCAATAGTAGGCGAAAAATACGTTCATTTAAATGGGGCGTTTTACCGCACACCCGTGTCCAAAATGAGGCATTTTACCGCACACCAGTGTCGAAATGAGGCATTTTACCGCACACAAGTGTCCAAAAACGTTTTTTGCGCACTAAAAAAATGTGCGAAAAAAGACATTTTTCGTCGTGCTATTGCATAAAAATATTTTCTTATGTAAATTTAATTTTAAAACATTCAATGAATTACATTATATTTACAATATCATTATAAATTCATGTTAAATTTAAGAGGTAACCAAAAATAATGAACAAATTATTCATTTTTTACAGTATACTCGAATTAAGGAAAGAGAAGAGCAGGGATGCAGCGAGGTCACGTCGTGGAAAAGAAAACTTCGAGTTCTACGAGCTAGCAAAAATGCTGCCTTTGCCCGCAGCTATAACGTCACAACTGGACAAAGCTTCTATAATTAGGTTAACAATTTCTTACCTCAAATTACGCGACTTCTCGGGTCACGGCGATCCACCATGGAGTCGAGATACACCGCCACCCAACAAATCAGTTAAAGGTGAGCATACCTTTTTTTCATTAAATACTCTAATTTCACAATGAAAAATGACGTATTTTTTACTTATAATTTGATAAATGATAGTATAATGAAAACTAATTAAAAACAGCTGCTACTTTCCGACTAATGAAAGCATAGACCAATTATATCACTATCTACCAGAAAAATCATCAATCAATTTTCTTATTGTGTAATCAAAACAACGCAAGCCTGATGCAAAAATAGAAACTACTGTGTTAACTGAATTTTTATCCGTTTTTTATTTTAATCTCATTTTGACAGATACATAGAATTTAAAAAAAAAAACTGCCGTCAGTTTCAGTTTCGCTCATATTATACTTACCAAAAATCCGTGATACGAGAACCCTCTAGGTCGGCGAAATTTTTGTCAATTCGATGTGTAAGACTGCTTGCCTATGACGTCTATGAGTTTACGATAACTGAGAAGGAGCAATCTTAATTCCACGCGTCATTGCGTAATCGCTTACGTTTTGGCAAATGCAACGCGTGAGCCGCTTAAAAAAATTATTCAAGCAACGTGTTCGTGCGACGATTGAAAAAAAAAGAGCAAGAGATGTAAGGAAAACTGTTGCTGACGTGCTGTTTCGGCTTGCCACCCATCCCGCGTCGCGCGTCTGTTACTGATATGCCCAGGCAACCTCGCCTCGAACAAAAGCGGCTCGCGGCAGCCGTTTTGCTTCTTTGAGCAATTGCTCGATCGAGTCCGCCAAGTGCTATTGGAACGAGAGAAATAGATGGAACAAGGCCGAGGAGCGAACGAGGCGATACGCGAGCCGAGCCGTCCGTTGGTAAACGAAAGATCGCACGAGGATACATAATAATGGAAAATCGCCGAATGCGCCAGCGATCTCGGGCAGAGAATAGCTTTTCGGCTTCATTTTGGCCTGCTTCATTTGGCCGAAATAACTGGACGAGACTCGTGTGGGGTGGCTGTGGGTCGACGCGGCACGTAGCGCACGTCCCGGGGTTGCGCACGAAGCGAGCTCGATCATCCGTGCGAGGATTGTCCCTGGCCTGACGCAGCGCCGCTGCAGCGGAGCAGCCGTGAATTTTTCCATTGTACGAGGCGTCACGATCGAACGTTTATATGGCATAGCGTTTTTTCGAGCGGAGACTCGTTTGGATTTGGATTTTTCGCTCGGAAAAAGCACGACACAGGCTCGAGGAAGAGATTGACTCGCGGTGACGACGTTAGCACGAAACGCGCTCCAAACGCATACTTGCACGGGGGGCGCCTACACTAGGCGAAATCAGAATGTTCCTCTGTGGCCGCGACTCGATAAGCTCGGTTAATATTTGCCTAGTTCACCGCACGCTCGCGTGCATTTATATTTATACGCATACGTATACGTAGGCACAACATAGAGTGGAGATATAGAGTGAGAGTACAAACCGCCGACACGAGCCACATGTAAATCTAATCAGGCCGACCCCTATGGCAACGGTGCCAGCTACCGGCTGCGCGTAACCAAACTAACGCAATCCAGTTATAGCGAGCGGAGCCGCTGTGTGCTCGTATGCGTGTGTGTCTGCGCCGCTAGTTCACATACATACGCCACCGACACAGCCAACTTCTCATCAAAGTGAATTCAGTCAACTGCTGTCACTCCTCGAATATATACTCTGTGTGCTCAGACTTGCTTTACACGAAATTTACTGCTCTCGAGCCTCGAGCGATGCATACATCGTCGACTGGATTGCGCGCAAGGAGGGAGACTAGACGCAGAGCTCGAGCTGCTGCTGCTGCTGCTCCGCCTCTGCTGCGAGTCTCTACGATCGCGATTCCGCAAGCACACGAACTAACGAACGAAAATGAGTTAAAGCTCGGCGAATCCACAGCTCTATAGCAACCAGCTCCAACAACGTCCCCGTCTTATCGGCTGTGTATCGCGCTTTACTCGGACACTTCCTTCTTCGGTCACTTTTTTCAAATCACCAGAAGTTACCGTGGGTAGAAAAAACTGTTTAATCTTTACGGCTTTGAGCTTCTTTTTCGCAACTTTTAACTCGAGTCAGAATCTTATGATAATGGGGAAAACGCATTTTTAGAGTATAAAAGGCAGCTGGAAGAAACAACGTATAAAATTAGCAGCCATCCAGAGTCCTCTCCAAGGATTTTCTCTCTCAAGCGCGTCGGAACCTTCGGGCTTTAATGAAATACGGGGATTAAGCGAACACACCTGACTAATTAAGTAGTAGCAGTAGCAACCTAATTAGATTATCGTCACCAATACCCCCAATCAACGCCTCGTTAGCGTCGCTACGCGTTTGCTCCATGCAAATAATCCAACTCTCGGCTTTTCAAAGCTTTAGGGGTTGCAGCCAGCGGTATCTTTATGTAAAGATTACTTCATCTTGTTCGCCCGTCCCTCCTTCCTGCACCGACTCACTCTGCCATCCCCATTATTGAATATGATTATTCGAATTTCTATGTACACTTTGTACCGAGTACAGGCTCTAGTCTAATGCTCATTCAATTAAAATGTTATCGAGACTGATTCAACATTGAAATAACTCGCATCTGCTGTAAATTAAGAATTTTTGGTTGAAGCATGAAAGAGTTACAAGTAACATTACAAAGCTACACTGATCAAACAACTTTAAATTTTATGCTTATTTGATGTAAAATTAGACATTAGACAACTGACGCCAAAATCCACCACGAAATGGTTAGTACCTTTACCTGTAAATCTGCAAGTAGCTAAGTAAACGTACTTTTATGAATAAAAGCATGGTTTTTACAAATATCACGGAGCTAAATCTCTGAGCGTTTCACTTTGAGTTAGTTTTAAAAGTACAGAAAAAATGTTTGCCCTATGTTTTTCTTAGACCAAGACTCATTCCTGATGAAATTTTGCTAATTACAAATCAAATCGCTTTTGAGTAATGCAGCAAAATTATGTAACACGGAACACTTGGACTAGATCTTGATTAATATTTCACCAAGTAAGTCATCAATGGACGCTCCCTATGATCGATCCAACAATGGGTCGTATAATATTTGAATATCCCATCTAATATATAATAAAATGAGAAAAATTTTTTTGGGGGCAAATATCAGTAAATAAGGCATAATAATATTGTCGTTGGGTCTATATATATATGTGCGAAACGTTGCTCGTTGTATCTAGCAATGATAGAAGTTACCAGCGGAAAATGGGGAGGGGGAGAGTCACACATGCAGCGTATGGCTTTATGGTATCGAACGATTAATCTTCATACGGCTTGGCCGTCGTATTAGACTCGGTAAATGCCCTGTATCCTCCCCCGGGGACAGGAGCAATAACGTTTTACTCCTGTACGCAGAAGCTTATTCCAAGAAAAAGAACTAATTTTTCTACATGGCAACGTATGCGTAGCTCACCTGCGAATGTTTACTGATGATCATGGAGCGTCGAAATCTTTATTAATAAAACCAATTATTCGGAAGCTTACAGAACTGCTGGAGGTAGTAAAAATATTCGCAAAGCAGAATGTAATTGTGATTGTTTTCTTTTTTTTTCTTTAAAAAATATAAAATTAAGTTTTTTTTCATTCGTACTCAAAATCAGCCTGATTATAAATCCTCGGCCCATTTGCATTGGGAAAATCACTATAAAAATCAATAACTTGTTCAAAGCTACGTATTATTTATGTACGTAATATCTTAGAGAATGTAATAAAGTGCATTATGATAGATGAGGGTAAAAAATCACGGGAAGAAAATAAACAAATATATTATCCGATGAGCAGCTTGGTGCGGTGCTTTTTTTCTTTTCTTTGGAATGCCCTTAGGCTATTGAAGTGATTTTTTATTGGGCTGCTCGTGACAATCGGGCAAATAATCCTTGTAGGCTACGAGTCTTCGGGACACGCACTCACACCCGTGTCAATCGGCTAAGCTAAAACATCTCCTCGTGCTTGCGTAGCGCGAGAAAATTGCCGGAAGGCAGCGATTCCATATCCAGCGACGCGCAGCGACGGTAATCGCGCCCGAGCGAGTGAGCGAGTGCTTATCGCTTATTGCTCGCGCGCACGTTTATAAATCGCGACGACAATGCGCCGCTCGCTCTGCGTCTGCAGAAGCCATAAGGTACTGCGTACGAGTACACTGGCGCAAACCAACCAGCCACACACCCAACAAATTCGGCTATTTTTCATTAAATCCCGCTCCCCGGCTTACTGCTCAACTGTTGTTGCTCGAGCGTAAGCTCGTGAGGGTGTGATATTACATTATATTCCGCATACGTTCGACCCATCCCCTCACCTACATACGTATACGGGCGATCGTCCCTTTTTTTTATTCTCTGTCTCTTTTCATCGTTGCGCACGGTGATACGAGAAAATGGAAAGATTTGAGGAATGCCAGACTGTCTAGTTCGTTTTTTTCTCTTTTCCGACAATCAAACATCTATGATGTTTAATTTATCAGACTTTACCAGCTTTTTGAAATAAACAGATGATGAATGATGCTAGCTGTATCTTTGTAGATGCATTCATTATGCCACATCTGTTGATGCATTAAATTGCGTATGAGTTCACGAGAGATATATGATTAGTTCAACATCTAGATTGTATTTTTCGTTGAATAACTTGTTACAGTTATCATTTTTTATGAGAAATTAGAATCATTGTTACGAATCTGTATACATATACTTTTTGAATTCAAGTGTAATATGAAAATAACGCAAATTATTATTTGAAATATCATTTCTTACTCATAACTATATTCATTAAGAAGTAGAATTTGAGTTGCGCTGAGCAGAAAATATGAAATAGTTGAAAGGTTTCAAGGCACAACGAGAGGGTGATGTCAACACATCGGTAGGTCGCATAAAAGAGCTCAATGAGCCATATGTTTAGGCACGCACGATCGTTCCAAAAGTGCGATTTTGAGACCGGATCCGGAATAGGAGGCGTACGCGCTAATATGCTCATTCTTATGTGAATTATTGCCTTGATAATGACAGTCCCGCGCGCACACGCATAGATAGACGCTTATTATTATTGCACCCTATGAATGAGAGCAGTCATATAGCTCATAGTATATGCAGAGAACAATTCCATAATAATCCCCCACATGGCTCAAATTAACCGAGGGAAAAGTTGTAATAGCATCAATTGCTACACTGACGTATACTGCTGTTCATTAAACAAATCATGAAGAAAATTGCCAAAAATAAACTACTACAGAAATGTAACGATTTTTTCAGCATTTCAACTATAAAATTTTTTCGTTTTCGAAGTTTCATTTCAACTTTCAACTTCATCAAATAAATGAATAATAATTGTATTTTATTGTAAATGAATGACATTATTAGAAAATAGCCAATTTTCACAACCATAATTAATAATTTGGTTTGCTTTTAGTTCTCGAATTCGTATTTCTCAAAGTCTCGTGGTATATCAAAATATTTTGACATCTTAATTCAAGTGAGAAACGCAGTCGTAGAAAAAGCTCGCCCAAGGGTTCGAACGCATTGTTCCTCGACCGACGTGGTGTACAATAAAGCTAACACTTCCAATGCTATGTGTCTCGAGAGCCTCGTAGACTCTATGCCTTTCGTTTCCCTCTATTTTTCTCTATTTTCCTGAACTTGTTCTACTGAATTCCTGTTGTTTAAATTGACGCGTTTCATGACTGTATTTATTTTTATAAAAGCAGTTACGTAGTTCTTATTGGATCAACGTACAATATGAGTCTTTTGTTCGAATGTCAGAAATGTTGTTTGCAAAATTAAACGAAATTGAATAATTCACTTTTCACATTTTTGTTAAAATAATAAGTTATTTGGGGCGCTGTTGGTTTTAAAACATTCCGATCACGCTACCGGAATACTCGAAATGAGCCAATCAACAATCAATAAGAGTCGTTCAAAAGTATGTTCGAGTCTCAGAGAGACAGAGATAGAGAAAGAAAGAGAGAGAGAGAGAGAGAACTGGTACTCAGAACTTTCAATAAAATCAATGTCTTCACTCGGCTTACCAAAACAGCCGATTCGAACGAGACTACTGCACATTAAAAGGGAGAACTGAATTTAACCCTTTTCAGGGGCTGACGGGTGTTTGGCCGTTGCCAAAGTCGCGCCCGCGTCGACCCTTCGCCTCATTTAGCAAGCGAGCCACGCACCCGAGCTCCTTAGCGTAATAATAATCTCTTCACCTTACTGCAATGTTATCCCCTTAATGAAAGACTCGTTCGAACGTGGCCGTATTATACTCGTGCACGCGCGGCTGACCCGAGCTTATGAGATGCGGCCTCGCGCCTACTTTTCCAACGAGTTTATTTTGCAGATCGACTCGATATGTTTAGATATGCCAATTAATCCATCTGGACGTTTGGGCTTATAAGCTCGACGCTTTAATCCTGTCGTGTGGCATACTCGACGTACTCGTGCCTGTATACATTGTGTTGACATTAGCGAGAACAGGATTTTAAAACTGTAGCAGTCTTCGTTCTTTTTTGCATGCATAAATTTGTTTCATTTTCAATCTCAACATTTTTAAACGATGTGAATAAAAAAATGATAATAAAAAATAGTTTATGTAAAAAGTTATTTCATAAAATTTCTAAAATATAAAAATGTTTATGTTGCAGGTGCGAATCGAGTCAGGTCACCTGCGTCGATAGCAGTTGACATGTTTGAACAACACCAAGGTACCCACATACTGCAGGTAATTTTTTGCAAACTATTTCCCTTCTTTTATCAAATGATGAAAGTTTGTTTGTAAAATATAAGGCAAATAAAAAATATGAAACAACTTTTTTGCACGTTTCAGTCCTTGGACGGATTTGCAATGGCTGTGGCTGCTGATGGAAGGTTTCTATATATTTCTGAGACTGTATCAATTTACCTCGGCCTTTCTCAGGTTAGTTTTTTCAAATTATACACTTTTATATGAGAAAGGTATTACCTACCCCGCAGCTTTCATTCGCAAAACCCTTTATTCGTACTAGAAGAGGTAAAGTAAAGATTGAAAAACGGAGCCAACTCTCCAAAGGGTCGAGAAATATACGAGACACGCATAAGATTGAAAAAATCCAGAGTCTGGGCCAAAGTAAACAATTAACGAAAAAAAAGCTCGAAAAGTCATACAGACGAACAAAGTAAAGTTACGGTGGCAGGAAGGGTTATCACTTATGAGAGAGAAAGTTTCACTTGCATAAGTACATGGAGCAGACTCCGCTGCTGGCCGCGTATGTGCTAGTCTACGAGCGGCCCAGAGATATATTACACGAGTACGCGGCGCGGATCGAGCGAGTTAGTCGGTGCGCAAGAGGTCAAGGGAGGAAAGTCCTGCGGGTAGGTCGGCCATACTGTTAAAGAGGAAGGGCTTGCGCCGCAGAGTATGGATAGGTAGGAGGCAGAGGCAGGGAAGGAGGGAGAGAGAGAGAGAGAGGGCGAGCGAACGAGCAAAGAGGAACACGTCGGTGGCGGGGGCGCAGCTCGGCTTTCGCAGCAAGCTCATGCTGCTCACGTAGTTTCTGCACGGCGCCGTGTTCGCCATTCCTAATGCCTTCCTCGCCAGCACTGCCACTATACATGTATATATGCGCGTCTCCCTCATTCTCTCTTTCTTTCTCTCTCTCTCTACATATATACACACGCACACATATAGCATGTATATTCGTTCATATACGTGCAGCGAGCTCAATAGTCAGTAGCTAGAGGAGGAGGAGGAGGAGGTAGGGGGCAAAGACGGGGAGGATGGTACCAGCAACTAGCGATGCAAAGAGAGGGAAGTCCAATCGATAGGGTGTTTCGGGGACTTTCTACGAACTGCCGCACCCGAGCTATGCTGTCTCGACCTCTAGGTGTTTTCCGCCTGGTCTCGATGCTCTTTACCAATGACAACCTTTCCCGATAGAATATCATTGCCTGCTCTAGTCATTTTTCCACGTCAAATTCACTCTACACGAGTGCTCATTTTCCATATATACTCTCTTAGTCACGATTATTTCGTTTTAAATATTTTAAGCAATTGGGAAATTGTAATAAGTAAGAAGAAAAGAAGAATTGAGTATTTGTTGAGCAGGCCGATTCATTTGATTGAGTTTGAAAAAGTCAAATCGTTGAGCTTGTAACGGAATGCCACGACGACATAGACATAACGCGACAGTTGAATCAAACACACTGAATAAAATAAGGAGGTTGCGACGGTATTGTTATTCAATGCGTGATTTGGAGGATGTTATTGTTATTATTCGGTGAATCCCTGCAATCGTGCGGCCATGTTCGCGTTTGACCAAGAGAAGGCATTCATTACGTATGCTCGTGTCGTGTGTCCGTCCGTTCGTTCTCAAGATGGGCCTATAATAATGGTATTGATGCGACGTGATTTCTCCACGATAGTCATTCGTGGCTATAAAATCGAACAAGTGTGGCTCGGCTCACATTGGCCCCGTTTTTTCGCTACGCCACATCATTGATGTGCTAATTGTTTTGTAAGCCTTTGAAGAATTATACAATTCAGAAGTCCGAAATACCCATGTTGTGGGTTTCTTCCACTACCCTTTCTTTTTTTTTTTTTTTTTTTTAAACGACNTTTTTTTTTTTTTTTTTTTTGTTACGATCAAGCTGACAAATTTTCACTGTATTCTGAAAATCACGCAAATGATTATCGAGTTAGAGGTAATAAAGTCGCATAAACGATTTTTATTTAAAAAAAAGCTATTATTTACACGGGTATTGGCTTTTTAGTGTAGCATTAGAAAAAGTTACGCCTGAGTTTAGTGATATGAAGGAGAGCTCATAAACAATGATGTCGACGCGTGCGCGCGGGGCTAGCTTGAAATCCTGGTGCTAAAAGAAAGCTCATTTCTCGCAGAGTATAAGGTTGCATTACAGGGAGCTTTCAGGAGTACATAAAAAAGACAGCAGTTTTAGTCTCGGAGTGCCTCATAACCATCTAAATAGCCGTCCGTTCCAAGGAGGCCTAGCTACTTGCTCGTCTCGTGAAAAAACGCCCAAGTACTCGCCCTGGATGGCCTTCCTATTTAATTCCTCTAAAAGCGAGCGAAATTTTCCCTGCGTTAAATGTTAATAATATCTATTTATCACCCGTTAATGGCATTTCTCAAACGCGTGAACAGCAACGATTTTTTACTTTGACAATTTTTAAATTTATTGGGTCATTTTTTTGGAAATATCTCTTGATGCGTGAAATTTGTTTGGGAAATATTTTTTCATATAAAATAATTTAAACGTTGTCGATTCGTGCAAAACTATTCCTGCTTCGGGGATCAACTAACATTTTACTTCCATGGTATTAATGCTTATGTGAACTGTTTCGAATGAAAATGAAACATCTGGTTGCAGGTAGAAATGACGGGATCGAGCATATTCGACTACGTTCATCAGCACGACCACTCGGAGGTGGCCGATCAACTGGGCCTCGGCCTGACGAGCTCGTCCTCGTCGTCGGGGCAGCACTCGTCGAGCTCGGGTCTCGCCTCGCCAGGCAGCGGAGCTTCCGAAGATCACGGTTCGTCAACTGCGAATCCCGATGGTATTTTTGACACACAATGTATTCCAGTAAATTAACGAGTTCTCCAGCGCGACGCGCGTTGGTAGCGATGTACCAAAGTCCGACTTGGGTTTAATACTGGAAGCATTGATTACGAATGTTACGAAGATTTGCTCGTGCGAATGTAGTTAGTTTCCATCTCTCGATCGCGTGATGCTTCTTTCAAATGACAAAAATGTACATTTGTCAGTAAGAGAGAGAAAAAGAGTTGAATTTTCGTAACAGCCGTAGTCCCTATTTCTTTGTATGAATTTTAGTCAAGGGCAAGTTGAAATCGCTTCGGCATTGACATGGTCCGGCGCGAGTCGCGTGGCTACCAGTGGAACGTTTCCAAGTCTCTTGGCCGAAGTCGCGAGGCTAATTTTCGATAAAGCACTGCGCAGGCATGTAAAATCGAGCGACGCAGGCCCGCCAGCTCGAATCTTGGCTGTGGCAAAGAATCGCGCGATCGGGTCGGAGAGCTGCTGCGTAGGCGACGGCAGCTGGCGCGCCTGCACATGCACGTAGCCACGTATAGGTCGTGCGCAAGGTCGCGTCGTGCCTGAGTGTGCACCGTCGGTTGGCGGCGCGGAGCTTAATCGCGGCGACGGGGGCGCGTACGCGATCAGTCTAAGCGCCGAGACGTGATGACGACGCCGTTCCGTAGCCCAGCTATAATACACTTGCCGCGCGCGTACAGCATATAGTCGTGCAGTCTCGCGTGCTCTCGTCGTTTGTGCGTGCACGGCGAAATCGGGCTGCTGCTGCCGGTGAGCTCTCGGTCACGCGCCCCGACTGATCGCTCGCGTCGCTCGGCTGGAATCGCACGTACACGTACACCAGCACGGCTGCTGCTGCTGCTGCTAGTACCGTGTAGCGCACGAGCCACGAGAAGAATAAGGGAGCGAGGCGGTGGCAGTGGCAGTGGTATAGCGAGCGACGACGACGACGACGACGAGAACGGCTAACCTGAAAAGCGTGACCAGAGGATAAGCGCGTCAGACTCGCAGCATTAGAGCAGCCGAAAGATGATCGGAGCGAGCGCGAACGTGTCGGTGTGCGTAGCTCGCGGACGTGCCCCCAGCTTTTACCACGTGCGGAGAGCGAAACGAGAGAGAGACGGCGTCGTGACGGGAGTCGCTAAGAGAGCAGCTCTCTCTCTGTAGCTTAGCTCTCGCTCGCGTTCATGACCGTCGCTTCCTCGCTCCCTCGCTCCCTCGCGGACAGCGCGCATAGCGTATGCAGTCCTCGACCGGTCGCGCGATTGTTATTCCGCTCGGAGCCGCACTCCCAGCCCAGCCAGCCAGACTCTCTCTCTCTCTCTCTCTCTATGCGGACTCCTGTACGTAGTACGTACCCCCCTCGCGGCCCGTCCGCATCTCGAGCCTGGCACACGTACTACGCTCCTCTACGCCCGCGTCGTGTGCAATGCCTCTGTACGTACGTACGAGCTCCGAGTCGTTGCATACGCGCAGCGAAGAGCCAAAGTGCTGCCCTTCCTGCGCGCGAGGGGCTAATGACGGTAAACCGATCGATTGCCGGCCACGCACCTCTGGAATTTCTCGATTGCCGCTCGTGCTTCATACGTGTTTGTGGCCGCCGCTTCTGCCAGCTCGGCAACTCGTCGTTGCCTCTCGGTCGTCTTACGTGCGCGCAGAATCCATCGCCCCGGTTGCGCGCGTGCCTAACCAACCCCCTGCAGGCGTGCAACACATTTAAACAACCTCGCTATGGCTTTTGTTGCTCGTGCGGGAATGCCAGTCGTTTATCAATTTCGTTGACCCTTGCCCGCTCTCCTTCTCTCTCTCTCTCTTTCTCTCGATGCCAAGCGCACTCACTTTCTATGCTAAGAATTTACTCGCTCGACTGCTGCCTGTAATTGGCTTATTTTGCATCCGCAGTGTCGTCGGTGATGTCTCTCACGGCGAGTGGCTCGTTCAAGGGCTACGATCGAGCTTTTTGCGTGCGCATGAAGTCGACCCTGACCAAGCGAGGATGCCACTTCAAATCGTCCGGCTATCGGGTAAGTCCTGCAAGCTCCGTTCCATCTCCGTTCCTTTCCGTCGTTGCTCGTGTAATAATTACACGCAGCAAAGAGGGACTTGGTGAATACAAACATATTGAGTGAAATGTTTAACGGTAAAACATTTTCGATTGCAGGTTGTCCTATTCCTCTGTCGTTTGAGGCCGCAATACACATTTAGTCACTCGAGGAAATCGGCGCCACCGTTGATGGGTATGGTCGGACTGGCGATTGCGCTTCCGCCGCCGAGCGTACATGAAATAAGGCTAGAGACGGACATGTTTGTCACGCGCATCAATTTTGACTTCCGGATAGCGCATTGCGAGCCCAAGTGAGTATATATATACACGATGTACTTTCCATATGATTTCGACAGACAATAACGCATTCGTCATCCAAATCGAAAATCACCGCTTATGCAATTTCTCTCTTTCGCCGTAAATTTTCCCTCGAAATAATGTACGTGTGTTTCGTGCTATTTGTCAGAGTTTCCGAATTGTTGGATTATACAGCGGATGAGCTGACCGGGAAAAACCTGTACACGCTCTGCCACGGCGAGGACGCCAATCGACTTCGAAAAGCTCACATGGATCGTAAGTTGACCATTTATCACATGCTTGATTTTTTTATTCGTAGTGTTAAAAATCGGCCAACTCCGTAGTCGTTTCGAAATCGCTTATAAGGGTGGCTTTTAAAGCGCGGAGCTTCGCACAGCGGCCCCGCGAGCAGGTCGTAAAAATCAGCCAGCGAAATGCTCGCCTCGCGGAGCAGTTGCCGAAACGCAAATTCACTCCGGAAGCCAGGGCCGGGTTCACTAGTCGCGCGGCGGTGGCAGCGACGTCGGCTTCCCTTCTCTCTCTCTCTCGGCAGCTCGTAAAAAAATCATACCTTCGCGGTGCATATAGGCAATATTGTTAAACGTTTCGGCCGTAAAGCATCGCGCGAGCCTTGTGTGCGTGGGTGTGTATGCGCACGTTCGTTGTAGCTTTACACGCGTGCTCTTGTGTATGTGGCCTGTGCATATATGTACGGGCGTGTACGTGCTCGGCAGTTGTGCGCGTATAGAGTCGCGGGATAAGGTAGTTGGTATGCAGAATTCGTCGGCGCACGCCGGATGCGGCATCTCCAGCGAGTTGTTACCTCTTCTCCCTTCTTTCTCCATCCCTTCCTCCTCCCCCGCCTCCTACCCCCTTCCTTCCCTTACCCTCTCGCTACCTCCGCTTTCATTTCCTCTGCTCGTCCCAGCCACCTCCCTCGCTCTCTGACGCTGAAATGCTTTCTCATCCCTTTTACACTGCACTACTGAAATGTAGCATCTGTACTTGTACGCGGCTTGTACTGAACAAATTTTTTACAAAATGCAGAAACATCAAGTAATGTTTAATCGAACTAAAACTGTTTATCAGATAATAATGTGATATTTTTTTCAAATATATACAGCCACTAGACTGTACTATCGCTCAAACTTTTTCAATTTTCATTTCCAATTATTAATCCAAAACTGAAAATCTTTCGAAATTACTGATAGATATGCGAATTAGCACTTATCTGAAGATTACTATTCAAATTGATTAACTTTTTCATCTTTATTCATCTCCGTTTTCTGCTGCTAAATTAAACCCATTCTTTACTAATTATCGGTACATATTTTATTTAAGTTTTTCAATGAATAATTTGACACACTTTTACTCGTAAAGTTTTGCTGCAATTCAAACGACTAAAAACGTTCATTTGATCAGATCAGAAAATATTGAAAAGTCGAACGTATTATCTCAGATAATATGTTCGAATTTAACGTTGTTACACTGAATCTATGCACGAGTGATAAACATCGCTATGATATATCAAAGGTGAACATTGTAGGTGCGGGTGAGCCATTGACGTCGAAAGGCGGTATCAATTCTAGCCGTGCTTCAGGTGGTGGGGGCAAGAAAGGTTGGCTCTTCGAGCTCATCCCTTTCGTACCTTTCTCCTCTCACCAATCCATCTCCGTGTCGTGTATACGTGTATACATCGAGCTAACGTTCCTCTTTCGCTCTCTTACTCTCTATCCATCTTTCTCCGTTGGTTTGCATTGCATATACTGCGCTGCGGTCGATACACAATCCACCAGCCACGCGACATAAGTTTCCGCCCGCGTCCTCCAGCCATGTAGTTACAGTTGCAGCTCGAGCTTGAGTTGCATCGGCGCCTGTTTATTTTTTTTTTATGCTCCACCTATCTCCGCCGATATGGTTTTTTAGAGTTTGCACTAGCTTTCACGGCGTCGAATATGGTCGCTTCGCAGACCTCGTCGATGGTATATTGACTTTCTCTACGGTGACAGTGATGGATATTCACTTGTATTGAGACTTTGTGCGCAACATCGTCCTCTCATAAATATCTACGCAGAGCTAGGCTTTTCTCGTCTGGCTCATATTAATAAATGAACATTTTCAAAGAGTGCGCTACGATTTCGAATACTTTTCTTAGACATGCTCAAAGGTGACTCACCCAGCCAACAATGATAACAATGATTTTTGTTCATAGTGATCCACAAAGGTCAAATTCTGACGCATTACTACCGATTAATGAACAAAAGCGGAGGCTACACGTGGATGCAGACTTGCGCAACCGTCGTCTGTAACTCGAAAAACGCCGACGAGCAAAATATCATTTGCGTCAACTACGTTATCAGGTGAGCCTATCGATTTTTTTCATAGCGACTTTGCCGAGTTACATTGAGATTTAACGAGACGTTTATGCGAATGTGTTGCAGCGGTCGAGAGTACGCCAACTTGATAATGGACTGCTGCCAACTCGAGGACTCTGGTGTGACAGGTGTCAAGCGAGAGGATACCGCCGGCAACGATCCCGAAAACGGCTCGCCCGATGCTGATAGAGGAGGTAGGACTCCATAGAAATACAACTTCTTACGCTGCTCGTACTGAGAATTTCACTGTCCTCTTTGGGCAGTATAGTTACAAAAGATCCATTATTAACCAAAGAGTTTTTCTTTGTCGAATAGTTATGAATAATTATTAATGATTTTTCGAGTTCAAAAATGTTTCTCTTAAAGATTACATCAATTTTTCTGGGTAAATTTTTTTCAAGCAATATACCTAGAAGTTTAAAGTTTTTTTATTTTACGCATTAAAAGATAACAAAACGCAGAAGTAGAAAGAAGAAGGCGTGTGCAACGCACTGAAATTATGGCTAGTAAATTATTAACTGTCGGGGAGTAATGAAAGATCAGTAACACGCTGCTAATAGTTTTTCAGGGTATATATCCAGGCAATGATTCCTTAATGAATTTAAATTATCGAATAAATGTTTACGACAATCGCAAAAGCAATAGTTAAAAGGGTCGTTTTTTTAAAAAAGGAAGTGCGCACGTATTAGGCACAAAGAACGAGTTGTATGTCACTTGAATGACAGCGAGGGCACTTGGTGTCATCGACTTTTTATCTGTCTGCAAGAGTACACTCGACTCGCTAGACACTCGTCTTTTCAAAAGTTAAACGATGATAAAGAAAAAAAAGCATTGACCCTGCGACAATGAAGCATTAACGAGAATAGCTCATTTGCATGAAAAGGCGCTACACCAGTGGCTCGACTCTCGTTGCTTTTTTACACCTGCGAGAGATCTCGAGAGATTTTTTCAAGCGAACATTACACATATATTGCTTTGTATGATATTCCAATGAACTTTTAGCAATTACGGTTCTGAAAATTTCAACAAGTTTAAAATTAAGTTTATCGCACGCCAAAGTGAAACAAAAATCTGCAACTTATGATCCATTGTTTCAGAAGGTCGGAGCAGTGGGGGCCCAGCGAATCAGCATTCGGAGCACTCGCATCGATCGCCGCACAATGAGCACGACGAGGTACGAGGCACGGAAACGGATATTTCTAATCGCGGAGGATTGCGCCACGACAACGTGGTGGCCCAGTTGCAGTCGCACACGGAGAGCCGCGGAAAAATGAGGCGCAGAAACAAGCGGAAAATCGCGGCGGTCGAGGAGAGCAGCTCGAGCGAGGACGACGACGACGAGGAAGATTCAGGCCTGAAAACGAGCTCGGCAGTCACGGCCAACGGTCGGAGTCACGCGCTCAGTCCCGCGTCGTCGATTCACTCGGTGCCGACGAGCGAGCAGCTCCTCAGGACGAACAGCCCGAAAGTCCGACGCACAGAGGATCTCGGTGATACTCATCACGGGCCGTCAAGCGTCGCTACCGGGGCGACCTCGGTGAAGGATCTCGAACAGGCGATGTCGAAGCACCTGCCCGGCGCACCGGGACTCAATAAGGCCGAGTCGCCGATAGCTCTACACCAACCCACTGACTTTAGCACCGACGCACTCTTGAAACAGCAGCAGCAAAAGTCGACGATTCAATGGATCGGGGCGCATCACCACTTGGGCCATCTCAGTCCGCAACAATCGGGTCTGCCGTCCTCGGCCCTGTTGCGACAGCTCTACGCCAACCGGGAGAGCGTCATCCGGGCTAATGTGCACGGCACGGGCACCGTCGGCTCGCGAGCCCCATCGGCCGGTGGCTACTACGACAATCCACAAGCTGGTGGTCCGTTGCCGACGCCGCCCGGTTCCGAAGGCTCGTCCGGATACGGCGAGCACCAGTTCGCGGTTTTGGCAGCGGCAGCGGCTGCGCAGAAGGGCTCGGCAGGCGATGGTTTCGCTGGTCTCACGGCCTCTTATCCGCCAACACCCGGGGCCTACGGACTGGACTACCACTCGGCGGCCATGACGCCTCCGTCCTCGGTGTCCCCGCGCGACAAGCATCAACAGCAACAGCAGCAGCTTCAATCGCAGCACCAGTCGCAGCATCAGTCTCAGCAGCAACAGCAGCAGTCGCAACAGCAGCAGCATCAGCAGCAGCAACAACAGCAACAGCAGCAGCAACTCGTCAACAACTACGAGGCTGCGGCTGTCTATGGTGAGCAGGTTTTGCGTCATCAGTACGAGCCTGCTCAGCCACTGCCGCTGAAACCTCAAGTCTATTCGGCCATGCATCCCAGCGCCTTAGACGCCTATGCCACGAGCCTGAGTGGAGAGCAACCTCAGTTTTATCATCATCCAAGTGCACCGGGTGGCTTTCATCTATATCACCCTAGCAATAAAGCTACCGCCAACGCTTGGTACGGATCCGCTTCCTAGTAACTCGGTCGTATACGAGCTCTCTTTTCAACCCGTACTTAAGTTTTTCCACGAAGAATTGCTCTATTGCCTAGTTTTAGGCTCAAGCCAAAGTTATTATCAATTGAATTGCAAATTACTTCACACGAAAAGTATTTTCGAATGCAAATCAATCTGTAAAAAACCGATACAAGGATTACTTGAACTCAAAGAACTATTAGGTACATGCAGATTTGCACTAAAGCTGCATTGTTTGCTTTTCAAGATAGTTACGCTGTATTTAAAGCGTCTAAAATGTTAGGTTTTCGGAAATAATTATCACACGATTTTATAGCTCGAGACAAATGTCTGAAAATTTAAGTTGAATCTCGAATTTGGTTTTGGGACAATCGTGCATTATTTATATAGTATTCGCCCTAATTTTATTCATCAATGTTAAAGTAACATTAACTCATGACTGAAATAGCGTAAAAAGATGCATTTTTTAAATATTTCTAGTGCCAAGAGTACTTAGATATTATTAACGAATTTTGGCATATTCTCTGGCAAGTTTGATTTAACAATGAGGTATACGTTATTTATGAAGAACAGTATGGTTTTTCATGTTGTTTATAGATGTGAAAAGAAATTTTTTTAAATGTTTTGAAAGTGATCTAAATTTTACATTTTATTTTAGTTGAATTTGTTATGAAACAAATTGAAAAGTATGTTTCATGGTATGTTTAATGACCAGAAATATTTGTCAACTTCGTCGTTCCCACTTAATCGTATGAATTAGTGAATGTGTGGGAATACTAATATTTGCTTGTTATCAAAGCAAAGTAAAAATGTATGGTGCAATAAAATAAAATACAACAAAACCAAGAATAATATATCTTGAGATAACTTGTGATTGTATTTACGATAAATTGTGTGGTATTGTAACATTTTACATTACGAATTATTAGTCGATCTAATGTACCTTATCTGCTATATTAGGTATATAGTAACTTATATATAGTAGAGTATCCGGAAAAGCAGATTAAAGGGTCAAACATTGAACGTGTTCTGAAAGTCGTGAAAAAACAACTTTCATATACATACTGTAAGTAAGTAATATATTTAATGAGTAAAAAATATATAACCTTAAAGACTTTTGTTTCCTTTCTGGTAAATTTTTTAAGTGTAATTATGAATTAATATGAAGTAATTTGTAAAGAGTGACTTTTAACAAATGATTATTGTGACGACAGAGAGAAGTAAAACGTGTGATATAAAGAAGATGAAAAAAACAAAATATGCCCATTATATTATGGTATATACGATGTATAATTAAATGGAAAAAATTGCACGAACTGGATGAATGTGTGTACGTTATAAACATAAAAAAGACTAGAAAAACTAATACATACTATATATATTATGAATTTTCATTAAATTAAGCGCTATACGTGTTATATTTTTTGTTGATTTAGCTATGTACAGATTTACTTTACGAATGTTAACTTTATAAGAATTGCAAGGCAAAATATAAAAATAATGTCGTTTTTAGTATGAAAATAAAACTGAGATCTGTTTTACCTTACGGATACTCATCGAATTAAGATATCATGACACGAATGTAAAAATATAAAATGAATTAATGTCTGATTATAGTAATTTGAAAGTATGCATTAATATACGCTTTGTAAAATACAAAATTTTTACATATTGATTTTGCAACTACTCATCACTACATGCGAAAATTCAGTTCAATTTTATATCGGCATATTTCAAAATTTAACAGAGATTTGTCTCATCAGAATAATTATTCTTTACAAAATATTGTTTGTTTATAATCAAACTTTAAGGAAATACTATATTTTATTCTTCAACTACAATTGGTACTTAGTCTGTCATTTATTTTTTTTTTGTAATGCATACAAGATGATAAATAATATATTAATTTTATAAAAAAGTATGATGATATGACTGTGTATTTCATTTTTTTTAGATAAATAGACTAATTATTAATTTTCCTAAAATTCTGCGATATCTAATTTCACTATCCGGAGCAGTTTATTCTTATTCTAAATTTTATTTATAAAAATTGCTTTAGTCGGTTAGTATGTTAAAAAATTTTCTGCAGAATTTAAAAATATTACTGACAATCGATTTGCTTATTTTTTACCATCGATTCAAACTGCCGTGTAATAACATCAGTTGGTAAGAAAATTTCAAAAGTTTCTTTGGGTAAAGTAGGAATTCTTCTTTTCTTTTTAACGATATCTGCTCTTCATATTCAGAATTCATGTGAGGTGTACTAAATTTAAAAAAAAATCATTTTATAACTGGTTTAATTTAAAAAAAAAAGTAATTTAATTTTTCAGTACAATAATGTAGCCTTTGTATGTTAAATAATAATTTTAAATTATTATTAACATTAAATCCTTGGAATTGAAAAATGCTTAATATTTTATTAATTTTCAATATCAACAAATAGTAATGCAAATAGTAATTAAAATTTTATAGCTCCATTTATGTTCATAAAAAGTAAACCTGTTCATTTTCTATTATTTTACACAATTTTTTGCACTTTTATGATTTGATTGCATAAAAAGGTAAAAAAGAAGGAATTAAGTCTACGTTTTAGGATTGGATATCAAAATGAAATCAAAGAATATTTAAGTACAAATTCTCATAATTAAATGATCTGTGCTACTGCATTAGTCTAACTGAAAAAATTTCAGAGATACCACCTCCTTTCTCATTTCAATAAGTATCTTCCATTATCAAGTTATTTTATCGAAAAAAAAAATTTATTTTTACAGGTGAATATAGTAATAAATATGTAAGGAATGAACAATTTTTTTCAATACTAGATCTTTATTTCCTGTATCATAAAAATGAAAAAAATATTTGGTCTGCACCTCATCGCGATCATTGCCCCTGTGGAGTCGTCTCATCGTGGACACGTCGTGAAAATCATTTTAATATCTCAAGAATTGCAATGCAAAAATCGATCGTATTATATATCAAATAACAATATAAAGAGTGTATCTATAGTTATCGAAGTAATCCTTAATCAATTCCATTCGCACATTTTTATTAAAATTTAAATTTCAATCCTTATCGATAATTTTGTTGATTTGGGAAAATTATTATGATAAATTTACATTAATCGTACAATTTCGAATGAAAAGCTTAGAACTGTCGTTGGATTTATACATTAATTTTATTTTGCTACTTGCAGGTTTTGCAGATGAAGTTACACGCCATCTAGTGATGGAGAGGCTTGAATTGGATGAAAATTGGTCTGAATTCTTTGAATAGTTAAATTTTTATTTTCAGGTCATATAATCTCTGCTTAATATTAAGACAAGCCAATTAATAATCATGAATTTTTTGGTTTGGTTTGTTTCTGATTTCTATGAGGTTTAATAATGCATTTATTAATGTACAAATGAATGATCATGTGCTTACAAAAATACTTCGTGAAGTAAATGTTTCAAATAGTTTTGAATTGTACATTTGTCATTTTTCTTATTCAATTTTATATTATATTATTTTTTTTATTGTAGAATTTTTAATATTTATAACAACCATTATGTATTTATAGTTTAAAACGAATATGCGTCCATTTGTTGAAGGTAATTGTGAGTTAATATATTATATTGTTGCACATTTTTTAATTTTATAACACAAATGTACAATTGACTTTTACATAATATTTTTATGCTACCAAAGATGCAATTCATTTTTTTTATAAAGATCAATTTCAAATTATGGTTCATTCACCTTAAAAATAACGAACAATGGCTGTCAATGCCAAACTGTCATAACTAAATTTGCTCAATTTAATATCTTGACATCAATAATTGTAATAAACCTAAATCCATGAACAATTAAAAACGCTCAGTATTATTTTAGCATAGAAAAGTTCTTATATTCCAATGAATCATCAATAACATGATCATATTTTAGAAATGTATGCGATTGAAAAATTAATTAAAAAATCAAAAATTGCAATTCTCAGTTTTATATCGATAAAGTTCATAATTTCTAAGCTCGCCTTGCTTAGCGCTCTCAAAACATATATCCTATATTAATAAAAATTCCTAGATCGCTGAGAAATGAGGTTCGTATGGCGAGTATAAATCTGTCAGATGCATAATGCTGTAAGTAGTCCACCGAGCCCAGCGGGAATCATCGTTTACGATGACGTTCTTTAAAAAACTGACCCAACGGCGAAGGCCCTAGGAATAAAATAGTGTCTAAGGATTTTCGCGTAGGCCACGGCGTCCGAATAGAGACTCTCCAGAAATGATATACACTTATAGGGATAAGAAAAAAACGAAGTGACTTTGAAAATGTTCAATTCGCATGATAGAGCGAGCGAGAGTCGGAGAACGCGCCAAGTAGTCCCGCGCGGCCGAGTAGTGGGAGTAGAAGAGCCCGAGAGGGCTCGACGCGGGGAGATGCGCCGCCGAGGGTTGCTCCAACGTAAGGGACTTATTATACACACATATATATATAGGAGAGTCACGCTCCGCACGAAGTGGCGGAAAGTTCAATCTCGCCGAGTTCAGCAGTCGTGTTTCTTTGGCACGCAGTATCCGTGCAGCGAGCGAAGAGTCGAGACACACATACAGCAGTTCGCACTACATACACGCCGCGTACGGACCTCGTGGCGCGCGCCTTATACAGAGCTCCGAGAGAGCAGCCCGCCTTTTTATTTTGAGTTTTATTTTGAGTTTGAGAGAGAGTCCAACTTTTGAATTTCATCGACTACGGAGTGTAGTTTAGTGCGTGAGAGGCTACGGCGCGGCTGCCCCGAGTCGTCTGCTGCTTTTACACTCTCGCAGGAACTTTGCTCGAGTCTCGTGATCGCTCGTTGTGTTGTTGTGTTTAATTAAAGAGTCCATAAACGTGATAGTGTGGCATTTACTCAAAAGGATTTCACATTACAAGAACGATGACTTCCATCTATCTCGTACTGGCCATCCTCGTTCTCGGTGAGTAAACTGTTTGTCGCACTGCCTCGACATTTTTTGATTGTTTTCATGCGGATCAATTGATCGCGTGTTCAGAAGGTTTTGAAATTCGAGCACGTCTCTCGTGGGTATGTACCATAGCCGCGTGCGTTGCACGAGACGCCGCAGTTATTTTGCACATTATATACTTGTTTACTCGGAGTGTTGTTTTAAGCGCGATAAATAGCGTCGCAATGCGCGCGCCCGAGTATTGAACTTCCGCTGAACTTGAACCGATCCGCGATCAATAGCTGATTACACGCGAGTGGCCACTGCCTCTGGCATGCCGACGTGTTTGTTTACTGCAGGCTCTACACAACAGAGAGAGAGGAGTAAAAGAGAGCGCGCGCGAAAATGAGAATCGCCACCTTTGCCGCCGACTTCGCAGTATGCCGAAACGCCGATGGGTCTTTAATTTTTTCCCTTTACCGCAACGGACCAAGCATTGACATTCTCGATAACTATCCGGGCAACATCTAGCATTTAAATGCGAATAGGCGCTGCTCGTGGAATCGCTTAAATGACCCTCGTCACTAGTGCATACAAAAACGAACGGAGATCGCGACGAGTGATTTCGCACGAAATTCGGATGAGTCTCGGTGCGGTCGAGCGTCTTGCACACATTCAGCGCGAAAAGTACGCGCGTTGGCCGGCTTACCTGCGCGACTCTTGAGTCTTGTACCTGGTATATTCCACCACATAGTCGGGCTGTGCATACAGGCATAACTTCACGCGCCTCGACACCTCGTTAGATTTTTGCTCTGTACAAATAAAAGTAAGCCTCGCTTCGATCGCAGTTCGTATTCCGCACATGTGCTCGTGAGCGCGCATGGCTCGGTCTGTCGTCTATGCGTGTATTGTAGTACGTGTGTGTACGTCACTCGTGCTCACCGTTTGAAGAAAAAAAAGGAGAAGAAACGTATAGGACAATGGACGAAGAGTCCCGATCCGTGCCACGGCTCTAGGCATTGTAATAGCGCTCTCGCGTCATGCGAGGGAAGCCCGAAGAAAGAGACGCTGCGACGATGAATATCGAAAGAAAAGTGCACAGTTGTGGAAAAAGTTTTGTTCTCCTGTCGCGGGGGGAATTTTTATTTGAAATCCGATCAAATCGTCGCCTCTCGGCCATTCACGCTTCCCCATTGTTGCTTTTGATTAGAAAAATTACTCTCTTTCGAAAAGTGAATAATCATCCTGTTGTCTTGTAGCTCGCAATCGACCCTACGCAAGCTCCGCGTGATGTATATTTTCATCGCGCAACTATTTGTCACGGCTGTAACTTGGAGTACCCGCGCGAAAAAATTTGCTCCCGTAGCCGCGATATTACCACCAGCAGTCAATCATTTTACCGTAATCCGGTCACATTATAATATTTACGATACCCTTCCGACTAAATTTCTCTCATCCGACGAGGCGATTCGCGGTACCTGTCTAGTTAGTCGTGTAATTTATTGTGCCATAATCTTCGAGATCGAGAGAACACGCGTCATGTCGCCCGTGTTATAATATATACGCAAAAGCAAAACAAGCAGGAAATATAAAATTGAGGAAACGCGACGTTTTTCCCACCTCGTGCGGTCGGACGACAACTGTCGCAGGCGCTGTAATAGGCGTTGCGATGACGCGAGATTCCCCGGCGCGCGAAATTCGTCTCCATCTCGTTTCGTTTCGACCTTTTTTCCTTTTTTATTCGACAAAGCACACACGCACACACGCAGCCTAGGCTCAGACATTATTCACGGACGCGATCACCTCTATGTGCTTGCCGAAAGTTCGTAACTCAAGCCAGCCGCTATCAGTTGTTTCTTTCTCACTTTTGCTTCCTTGAACTCTCGTGTGCGCGCGAATTATCGGCGGCCAAGAGAAACAGAGAAAGAGGGAGACTGCAACCCGTTCATTTTATGCCTCTCGTCGGCTTTTTTTCTCCTTTTGCTCGACTACGTATCTGCAATGCGTTCCTTTCATTTTCCGCCGCAGAATAATGCGCTATGACGGGCTATTCGTGCTTGTCCAACACTGAATTTTAATTCCACATTTATTGATATTGTTGAGTTACACGAGAGAGAGAGACGCAATTGATGCTGTGCGCGGCGGACGCGGCAAATCGGAACTCGGCAAATGAGATTTTTTTCTTCTATGAAAGTCTTCGGGCCCGTAGGGCGCCAAGCTGCGAGCCAGTCCGCGTCATCTTTAAACTTTACGATGCATTTGACTTTACGACTCTTGAATTACGAATCGGCGATTTGCATAACATTTACTTAAAACGCCAAGCTTTTTTAGTCGTCGCCCGTTCGATTACGAACACGCGGGGTAGTCTGGTACGCGCCAATACCTTATGTATTTCTCCGCAGATCTGCGATACGCTCGTTCGGGTGATGTACGTTGACATGTTTAGCATCGCGTCCGTTTCGATTCAAAAAAAAAACTTCATGCTTTCAAGTTTGTGTGGGCTCGATAAAAAATTAATATCCAAAAACTATTTGTATAAAGCGGCAAAAATGGTTTCTACGAGACAGTGACAGTTATTCTCCGAGGCAAGAATTCGAGGTCGTAAAATTCATTTTTCCCGTCCTAAGCCACACTCCACTAATCATTTTGATCTAACGAAAAGCACACTAGCATCGCATTCAAATTGCCACTTTGCGAATAGAAAACAAAAAATTTTTTAGCACCAATATGTGGCGAGCAAACGCCTCATCTACCGTGCTCTACGGTAATACATCATCGAGTAAACAGCCATAATAAGTATATTAAAAAAATCGAATAAATTAAGAAGTCTCGGCACATTTATTGAGTCTTTTTGCTCGTTGTTTGCTTGCACTTTTAGAACACTTCCACCTAGTGGGCGTAATTCCAAAAATGTGATCACTGCGACTTTATACGAACTATGCAATAGCATCTTACCGTGCCATATGGAGCTCGCAGGCTGCACATGTTACTACATACTCGCTCATATATCGCACGATCGTCGCTAAATTACTCAGTTTGCTGAGAAAAGTCTTAAATGTCATGTGTATCGTGTGTATAGCAAGATCAAATAAAAATTCGGCCTCCTCTGCGCTCATATGGTGCAGCGGAGTAGTATCGAAATTCTCTCTTTAGCACGACGATTTTTGAGAGTACGAGCGAGCCTGCGTTGCTCGTGACACAATTTTTTGCGCTTCGTCGCGCGCATTTTTCAGTATTTCTATACCACTGCCTGCGTTAGATTTCATCACGGAGCTGCTTTGACTAGGATAATCGAAAATAAAAAAATACTGCATGTCATATTTCAACTGAAGTGCCTTTCGTCTAACTTTACGGTTTCAAACTATTTTTAATTTTTTTTTTTTTAATACTTTTTAAAGTTCTCATACATCGTCAATGGATCAAATAGTTTCTTAGAAAATTATTTTCATACTTCACCGTAAAATGCTAATTAAAAACCCAATAAAGAATGTTACAAGTGATTTTTAAGTGGATTTGATTTTGTTGGTTACCGCAACAATAGCCGAGCTCTTTAATGAAAACAACCATTGCATCGAATGAATAGACGCTAAAATATTTTCTTTACCGTTCCATAATGCCCCTGCGGTTTTTTTCTACAATCTCAAATCAATCGCCTAATTACATCTGAACAATACGTGCGTAAAATCTTAAATAAAAATCCAATGTACCGTGCATAAAAATTTGCGGTTTTCATATCAAAACATGGCGCATTTTTAAATTCACTAATACCTATTGTATTGCGTCTGCTTATTTTCTAGACATAGCTAGGGCATATCGATCGTTCGCATACAATGAGTCCTTTGAAAGGTATTCTTGAAACTTTTTCAACTCGTGTTGTGCGTGCTGTCCGATTCATCAAACCATAGTACAGAGAGCTATTAAAATATCACGATAAAAGAAAAACAATGTGCCACGGATAAAAGCGAGCGAGGCCTCGAAAAAGCAAAGATCGATTCTATTTAAAAATCCCTTTTTCGTATTTTCTGCTCGTGCTAGAGATCAGGCATTCTTTGGCCCACATGACGGTAACATGTGATCGCACAGTATGCAAATATCATTAAATTGAGTTCTATGAAAATATTTACTTTGCCATTCGCTTTTAAAAATACAGAAGTCTCGGTGCTAAAGTCATTTTCAAAAACCTCGAATTCATGCGATATTTTCAAGCTTATTTGAAAAATGATGCTGCGCATAGACGTTGTCAAAGCATGCCACACCCGTACAAAAGGTATAAATCCTGTTAATTGTATTGGCTTACTTGGTACCAAACAAGTACGGAGCGTATAGCTCACAAAGCCCATTGCAGAGAGCAGCAACGCAAAGCGAAATAAATTCAGCGCAATCGATCGAGAGCCAAGTTGTTTTCGTCGAAAAGGATTTGACCGAGGCCTCGCATCGTTCCGCCAACTGTTTATAGCCGTCGTTCGCTGGGGAAAACATTTTCATCGCGACGTCGAATCTCATATTATATTCATAATCCGTATAGGCTGGCTCGAAGCAACCTCATTTTATAATACCTCGGAATGAGTCTCGGAATTCAGCTCATCGTAGCGGGTGGGCTGCAAAAGTTTCGAGCTGTTGCACTGTTACACATGTTTCGTTGGAACATTAGCTTTCGTTCGTCTGTTTATATTCGGCAAAGTTCGTGCGACTGAGTTATGGTTTCGATCGAATTCCATAAGATCGCGCGCGCGCATCCCGGGTTTGACTAAATTTGTACTGTCTGGCGTCCACAAGATAAGCCGGGGAAAATAAAGATGCGTGCGGGGCTTTGCGTGGCGCTACTTATCTCGTTGCAAGTAGACGAGCACTCGAGTATACCTTGCGACTTGTATTTGCATCAGATACCAATAAAGGGTTGACATTGATCGGTAGAGTTGAGATGCCGAGGCGCTTAATTACCCGAGGGCTCTGGAGCGACGAGCGAGAAAAAATGAGCGAAACGACGACGATCGTCGTATGTCACTCGAAGTATACAGATGAGGACAACAGCGAAATCGATTCCGCGCCGAATCGTTAACTCGCGGATTGACGCTATGCATTGTCGTAACTCGTAAGTCTGTTAGTGAATGAGTGAGTGAGAGAGAGAAAGAAATGGGCGAGTCGAGACGTCGCGCCACGACATCCATCAGTCATTAGCATGGCCATGGCAGGACATGTGGCTCGGGCCTCATCGAACTAAAGTCGAGCGTGCCAAAAAAGCGAGCATTGGCCATCTCTGCGCGCATCCTTTACGAGATGCCGGCACGTAAATCTCTTTCTCTCTCTCTTTTGCCGGCGCACTTGGATATCCTGGTGCGCGCTGCATTCCTACTTTTATTTTATCTACAGCCAGCTCGTGTAGTATCTACAAATGTACCCTCATCTGTTTCATCGGCGAGAGATAGAAAAACAGATATTGTACTCGCGTGCACGAGTGCCGCGAACCGTGAGCAAAGACACGCGTCCACCAACTAGTCAGCTCCTCGACAAGCAATAAACATAGGCCCTTGTATCGTTCAAACAAAAATTAAAAAATGTTTTGTTCTGTTGTATGATCCACAGGATGTAGCGGCCTGGCTCGTTCTCAGTGGGACGCTTCGGAGCAGGCCATAGGGGAGGACCAGTGCGACTTGGCCGTCCGAGAAATTGTCAAGGAGGACCGAGCTACGTCCGTCGACGAGTCTCCGAATAGGTTACACTCCACTTGGATATCACAAGAGTAAGTATACACAATCTCCGTTTCTACGCGCAATGAAAAAATGATTGATACATATGCGCGGCGACTTCTCTCCGATCGCTCGTAAATTTTTTCAAACAGTTTACTCGAATGAGTAAGCCTTAGGCGCGCGCGCGCTCGATTTGATGAATTTCAAGAGAAACAAGACAAGCCGTAAATGTATCGATCAGACTCAATTATACTTATGCTTTCTCTCGACAGAAATCAAGTAGTATGGCAAATGTCGAGTAAGTTTCAATTGTCGATAACGAGCTGACGTTCGCGCGAGGCAACGATATGCCTCGCAGCAATTGAAACAAATTGATAAAATGTCATCGTTACCTATGATACAAAATACAGAGAATAAATTTTAATCGCTCGCAGCTCCGCCAACAACGATTCTGACGCAAACAACGTTGACATGAATATTAATGAATCCCGTGATTGTGATAAAAGTGCGATGTGCAACATTGACCTACGCACTCGAGCTCTTTTCAAGATTTATTTCTTTGTTATTCGAGAAAATGATGCGCTCCGATCAAATATTAGCATAACTGAACATTGGCAAAACTATTCATGGGATGCGATGTAGGTGGAGCTAATTAATTTAGGCGCCGGGTCGGCCAATTGACGAGCCAACAAGCGGAATATTAAAAAGCTATGAGAACATTTTAACCCTGGCAGTGCCTCGAATTTCTGCAGGCATGTTTATATTTTTATCCACGCGTGTATATAAAAATAAATACCTATAAATGCGTCGTCGGATATGCGAGCGCAGGCGCGTCATAAGCGAGTCTCGTATGTCGCTGCATTTTAGGGTCATCGAGCTTTTGTTGTCTTGCTGCTAATCTACACGGCGTCGAGCCAATATTTCTCCGGCAATTATCATTTTGCGCGATAAACTCGAACTCGCGCTTATTACAAGGGGAGTGAGTCTTATTACTTCAACTCGATCCTTCGAACGAGACATTGAACCGTGAACGAACAATATTGTACACGCGAGACCTGCATACTTTACATGTTTTCATAATCGTTCGTCAGCATGACTCGATCACTAATCGTCAAAGCCTTTTCCAATTAATTGCTCTTCTTATAACACTTCATTAAACAGGTGGATTAAACTCGCTTACTTCACTATCCGACAGGTATAACAACTATGAAATCACGAGTGGATCTTCGCTCACAATATATAACTGAATGATGCACCATATAGTCCTCTAATGATCTATTCAAAATTGTTTTCTGTCTGTAGGCCAAGGACGGCTCGGTGGTCTTTGTTTTTCAAATAAATAGCTTGTCGAGCGTTCGAGAGATACATCGTTCTAGCGGTACCCAACCATCATCGTATGTATTAAAGAGCCCGCGAGATTTGATCTTTCTTCGCCAGACTCATCATAGAAAGTCCCAAATGACTTTCAACGATCGCTTGAACGTACTTAGCCAAACTTCAAAGAAAATACCCTCAAAATCTCTGCCCCGATCGTTCAATCTTTCGCAAACCTAATGTCACGATGATTTTTCTCAGTTGCTAATTATATTTACGTAACTCACGAGTATATCAAATTTATACACACTCTGATTGAATTAATTTTTCTGTGAAAAATGAGGGTGATAAATTGGTTATGAAAAAATGTCATTTTTTTACGAAAGTTTACAAAAGTTTACTAAATCGCGATCTTTTATTCTCTTCAAAAATGTTGAAAATGTCTCTTGGAACTTTGATTGAGATGACTAGTGGCCTTTTTTTCCTATAACGGCACTTTGAACGGCTTCCAGCTGCTCGAGCGAAATGCAAGGTCCCAAGCTCCTCTTGCCTTTTTCCATTCCATCTAATTTCGCTTTACAAACACTTTGCACTTGGCCATTACTTAGATCACTGCCTGTGCCAAGACACAATGCGTTCTATTCACGAGCGATATTGTCGAATGTACGAGAAAAGCCTGGTAGTCGTTTTTCTCCGAAACAGTGCGAGGCGTAGCGCGAGCAGAGCAGCCTGAGCATCTTTAATCTTGCCCTGACTCCTCCTTCGGACGTTTTGTATGTCCGATGGCAATATTTGGTCCCGAGCTCGTGTAAGTTTATTCGTAAGTTTGTACTTTACATGAGCGATGGATCGTCATTGTTCCGCTGACTTTTTCTTAATCCCCGTCACCTATTCAGCTCGTTGTCTTTTTCTTCGCACGTGTTTGGATTACCCGAAAATCATCGATGAGAAATTGTACATTCGCCCGAGTCCTTTTTTTTTCGCTCTTTATTATCAAAAAGACATGCCGAACTCGCGTTTCTGATCGTGGCGCGATTCGATTATTGCCCGTGGCTTTGTTGTTGGCTGTTGTAGTTGGCCTCGCGTCGATACACAAGAAAAGACTGCTCGTCTCGCGAGGGGGACGTTTAAAAAGGGTTTATTTACAGAAGGGTTTAAAGAAGGGGTTGGTCGGACATGACTGACGTTGAAGAGATTTGGTGAGAGGATTTGCGTTATAAAAACGGCAGCTGCTCGCTCGCGATGGCTCACGGCTTCATTACGACGAGTTAATGCGAGCACAATGCAGTAATTCCTATTGAATAGACATACGAAACGAAGGCTAAACGCAGAAAAGGATTTTCCTTATTGAAGATTATTAAACGATGGTCGTGTGTGTCGTTGTTGTTGTTGCAGATGCGAGAGCAGAACAGGGCCGGAATTCGTGATCCGCAAGTACACGTTCTTCGAGAACGGCACCTTCCTGTTGATGCGCCATTACTACGCCGAGGAGTCGTGCAGCATAGCCACGCACTCGGTCACGGCTCGGGGCCACATCAAGATCCTGGGCAGCTCGCTCGTGACGCCGGGCGCCACCGAGGCCAGATACCAACTGGACAGCGTGCACGTGTCGCCGCTCAACCGACAGGTGACGATCGCCACGATTTATTCGATGCATAATTTATTTACGGACCCCCCCTCGTATCGCTTGAATCGCGCATTATCTTCTCGACATAATTAGCAGGAGCGTCTATGACTGATCGACGAGACTTTCCTTCGAGTCTCTTCGAGGCATCTTTATTTAGAAATTCGGTCGATGCTATTTCTCGTTGGTGTTTACACTCTTATGGTGTGGAATATTTTACTCGGAGCGTCAGCTGTGATCTCGCCTCCAGATAAAGACGCGACCTGCGCGCGAGACCTTTGTAACGCGAAATAATTTCTGCATGAATTTTACGCGATTTATGCTCGCCCATTGACAAATTCCTCGAATCTAATTTTGATTGGTCTGATGGCCAAGTGAAGAATATCCTGACTATGAAGATCGTTCAACGATATCAATGGCACTGCCGCTATTATAATCTCTCGCTATACATATTTTAATTTTACGAGCACCTTCGTTTGGCGATTTATGTCGGGAAGCCGATCCGTTCGCCGATCGATTAAAAATTTGACTGTCCCGTTTGTTTTGCTTGCCGAGCACGTGTGACGGACATGAGCACATTGAAATCTATACCCGCCGGCGCGTCACACGCGAAAACACGACTAATTCTTGGCCTGTTTTATGTACGATATATAGGTGGCACACAAACTCAGCCACCGAGTGAACGTGTCGTGCGGACCTCAGCCTCGCTGGCGGCCGTACACGGCCCAGCTGATTTACGAGCGGGCCCCGGGACGATTCGGGCCCGCCGGTTCCTCGCACACTTGGCAGGCCTCGAGTTACAACTCGCTCCAGGGCCATCACGTGGGCCTCGGCGGCTCGGCCGCGAGACTCGGCAAGAGCGTCGACTGCCTCGCGCCACTGGGCATCGATTTCGAGGAGCTGAGGCTGCTCAGAGTACAAAGAAGGCCGACCGGCTTCAGATCACTCAATCTCGGCCTGAACGACAAGCCGAGGATCGAGCTGTTTTTCGGCAGTCTGCCACCGGATCACGCCTCCAAGAGGACGCACAGGCCCACCTCGCTGCAGCCGGCACCGCTTTTGAGGATCGATACGGTAAACAGCATTAACATTTTTTCCCTTTTAATTATTTCAATTTAAATACTCCTTCGTAATTATTTCACTTAGCACTTTCATAATCGAGCCGTAAATCATTAACACTCTTGTACAAACTCTAATTCGTCTCTATTCGTCGGCTTACTTTCTTGAAATATATTTTACAGAAAAATAGTTCAAACGAGCGAATTAACATGAAATCTGCGTTGAAAATTTTCAGTCGAGTGTTCGCGCGAGCCTGAGTGGATTAGTACAAATCCAATCAGCTTAAAATAATATTGGTTTGTCTCGCTAACGAGCGAGGCAGCTCTTTGGTATATATCTACATGCCACAATGAGCGTACATAGAAACGCGACGACGCCTTCCTTCTTTCTGCAGAACATACACGTGTGAATTCTAAAAAGCCTCGACCTTTTCGACTGCTTTTACGCGTACGTTGATATTTTATTAGAGGACATCCCTCAAGCTGCATGTTCTTGAGCTATGATGATTGTCGGTATGTTTTTACGACTGGCGCGAGCAAACACTTGAATAGAGGAAAAAACGTCGGTCGCTGCGTTTGAAGTTTTTTTTACTTTAATCCTGAGCTCCTTTAGCTCACAGAAAAATAAAGGAAAATCAAATTTTTATCATAAATTCTGGTACGCGCACCGCGATCTATCAAATAATCATCTTATTGGACATTCCAACGTACGCTAAAATGATGTTGGCTAATTTTATAAAAAAAAGTATTTAATACAAGCATATAATTGTGCAACGATTGCAGATTCATAACTGCCCAATTTGCGGAGCAATCGCCAGAGGCACGGAAAACAGCCCGCCTCTTCTGCACGAGACCGTGGCACTGCCGGCCCTCCTCGGCGGCTCGTGGATCAGTCCATCGTGCGAGAGCCACTCGGGCGGGCTCTGGCTGCGCCGTCAACTGCGCGTCTACGCCGGCGACAAGCTGTGGACCGGCCGCTGGGACTACTTCAGCGATCCCCGCTGCAGCAACTACCTGTACGGCATCACTGCGGCCGGCAGCTACGTCCAGCGGGCCCGACGCCACAGACGCCACGACCTGTCGTCGCGCGAGCAGCAGCAGCTCGACATGTTCGACGAGCAGCGGAGCAAGCGATCCGTCGACGAGGTCGACTACTACCGGCACCTGCTGCAGACCGCCCAGCCTTCCATGGCCGAGTCCTTCGCGGCGATGCTGCGCGGCAACCAACGCCGCGAGGAGACCACCGCCGCCTCGACGAGGCCGAAGCCGTCCTCGCCCGCGCCCACCGGCACCACCGAGCTCGATCTCCACGTGGCCGAGAGTCTGCTCATAGCCGGCGACGGGGCCCTGGCGCGCCGCTGCGGCGCCGTGCTCGCCCTCGACGGCCAGACCCCCAAGTCCCAGAGGCTCAGCAGCTGGCCCTCGAGCTGCGTGCCCCACTCGCTGGACGCGCCCTCGACCCTGGGCCTCCGAGCTCGCATCAGCGTCGACTGGTACGGCCAGTACACTCTGGTCTTGGGTTCGCGGGAGCGCACCATGTGGGAAGCCCCGTTGATACAGTGCGGCCCGACCAGCATGAAAAATCCCTTGCTCAGGTCGCACCTGCGCCGAAGCGTCGGTCTGAGATTCGGCCTGCTATTTAGCAACAGTGGCAACAGTCTGCCCAGCAATTCGCTTCTATTGCTGCTAAGTCAACTGGCCTTGCTATGCTTGGGAGTTGTGGCCGTCCGATGAGCACTGCTGCTGCTGCTGCTGCTGCTGCTGCTGCTGTTCGTGAAATGTCCCGCGCCAGTGCCGTGTGAACTGCCTTTTACAATGTGATGTGACTGCGAGCGGTAGGCAAAGCTGCGCTGCGATACAATGCTGCTCCTTACGGCATGGGACCGTCGCATGGAAATCGATTTTCAATGCTCTCGTGCTTATAATATACTTTTGAATTTTATCTATTATACTTTTGAAATTTATACCGTGGCCGAGCGTACAAGAAAGATCCTATTGATCGGCCAACTCGTGTATCGCGTCACACACACCGTATTGTATCGCCTCGTAGATGGTATTTTGACACCGGAAGAATAGGCTTTCCATAATGTAAATAGTGTCAATTACCCCGATGTCGCGCCACGCTTGCTTTTCATTGCGTTAAAAATTTTATGCGAAAACGGGACCACCCACTTTGACTGTAATTTATGATATGTAGCCAAAGGCTAGGCGTTGTGGATGAATCGAGGATTGTCTTCGATCAAGATATGAATATTTAAGAAATTTCACAAAATCTGACAGATCTGCGCCACACGACCGCGCACATATTTCACTTTTGCGATTTAGGCGAAAAATTCTTCATTCTTTAATTATCGCGAGACCAATTAGTACTGCTAAATCATCCTCGTTGACAAACAAACCAAAGATTCATTCGGCAACAAAATTAATAACATGGCATAAAATGAAAGCAATAGAATTTCAATGCACGCAAAGTCTCATAGTTCTTCGAAATTCGATACTATTGTCTCTGAGTAGTTAATAATGTAACTCGTTTAAATAGTAGCACGGCTATTGTTTGTCATAAAAAAGGTACATCTAACGTATTATGTATCTTGTAAATATGTAAATAGATTCTGATAATGAAGTGCATGCCTCGGCACCCGTTTTTCACTTATAAAATATATGTATATAGTAGTAAATTTAAGAGAATGTAACTCCAAACTAGTTTTTTTTAAATCAAACTCAAATCAGGAACAAACGCCAACTACGATTCCTTTTAGGCTTTTATAAAGGAGACTGAGTAACGAGAGAAAGAAAGAGAGAGAGAGAGAGAGAGAAGCAAGAGAGGGGAGCGAAAAGAGAAACGCGAGATGAGTTCAAAACGCGGAGAAAGAAAAAAACGAAACGGGCGCCGCATCGCCTTTGATCTACGCTCCCGATGCCGCCAACGTTCACGTGTGCTCGTATACACTATATATGTGCTTCATGCTTGTAAATACTGAAAATGTAAGATATATAATATATGTATGTACATAAACACATATTTATATGTGTGATACTCTAGCTGGGGACGCAAAAAAAGACGGTGATAAAAAAACATATATATTTTTACGAAATGCCGATTAATATCGATCGTTTTGGTTTGCGCTCGTTGGCGCAAAGATCGTTCAGTAACCTTGCTTTCTTCTCTCTTTCCCATTCTCGACTTTTTTGCGCACATTCTCGCACTCTGATAAGACTAGTTCAAATACTAAAGGCGTTACTTTATGCGAAGATAATGAATCGCGAAACTTAGATTTAAGCATTGATCGGTCTCTTGCGCGAAAATAAGAGACGCGAACGAACCACTTTTTTATAATATATATCATGTAAATAATTGAATTCATTTATATTTTTGTACATCTGTTCAGTAATTTTAATATGTGCACATGCGTGTATGTGTTTACATTTTTGATACAATTTATATTACTATTATTTAAGTCTGTGGTGTACAAACGACAAAATAAACAATAATTGAAGGTAAACGATGACTTGTGTCTTGTGCGTTGTAAATTTTTCCTCCATTCCAGCGCCTCCATCGTTCTCGGCGACAGTTCTTTATCTTTATTAATTTCAGTTTCAGTACCAAATCGTCGCAGCGCGTAACGAATATAACCGCGTTAATTGTCACTCGCTGCATGATTTTTTTACGCGCTGTTTAGTTGTACGAGAAAAATAGCAATCATGAATAATACGACATCAGACACGGTGTTTAGATTAAAAAATTTAACACTCGGCCCGGTCGATTATTCACTGTTCGGCGGCCTAATTGGATTAAGTCTCCTCATCGGATTGTACTTTGGATTCTTCAGTAAACAAAATAGCGCAAAGGAATATCTGTTCGGCGGGAAAACGATGGGCTACGTTCCAGTAGCTACGAGCATGTTGGCCGGGTGAGTTGGGAAAAGAAATAAAAACGTTAAATACCAATATAGAATCGTAATTGGATATCACAGCCTGAAAGCGTAAACAGACGGGCGAGGCACGTATTTCACTTGACTCGTACGCTTGTATGCGCTTTCGGTTGTGGCGCGTAAAAATAAAGTGCGCAGCATTGTACATGTGAGAATTTTTACTATATGGCCCACAGACACGTATCGGGAATCACTCTGCTGGGGGTGCCGACGGAAGTCTATCAGTACGGCTCGGCCTACTTCCTCATCGTCATATCGATAGCGACGACCTGCATCGTGACGACCTACGTGTTTCTGCCGGTGTTTTACAAGCTCCAGCTGGAGAGCACCTACGAGTACTTGGAGCTGCGCTTCTCGAGGCGCATCCGCAGCCTCGCCTCCTTCCTCTACATCATCTCGCTGGTCATGTACATACCGATAGTCGTCTACGTACCAGCGCTCGCATTCGCTCAAGTTACCGGCTACAATCTCTACGTTATCATAGCTGTGCTCTGCACCATTTGCATCCTGTATACCAGCCTCGTAAGGACGCTTGATTCCTCTCTACTGCCGCTCGACCGGTTCGATACTTTGAGCTCGCGACAATTTATTATGCCTATAACATGAGGCCCCGCATCGATTGTTACTCGCGGCTTCGTAATTTAGCTTTTTACGCGTATGAAAATATTATTGCGAGATGACGTCATATTTGGAATAGTTTTCTTTTCGTCGCGAGTACGAAGCACGATTCAATATTATTCTTGCGTGCAACGCGTGAACCCCGTGAGACAGCTTTTTTTCCTCGACTAATACTATAAGGTTACATTATGTTACTGATTCAAGATTTGCGCAAAGTTTTTAGCGGTTATTTTTGAAATGCACCTGCCTGCCTGACTTTTACATTTCGTGCATTGCAATTAGCTTTTGTCAAATTATTTACATGCGACTCTTGTGACGGCAGGGTGGAGTCAAGGCTGTCATATGGACGGATACGATTCAATTCGCCTTTACGATGTTCGGACTTTTGATCGTATTTTTCATAGGCCTCAAGACGTCGGGTGGATTTTCGAATGTCTGGGACATTGCGAGTAAAGGCAACCGAACAGAAATATTTGAGTGAAGTAACAGTACTATTTATGCACAATTTCCACGACGATCCGCCAATAGAGCTCATGTATCTCAACATGATTTTCGTTCAATTTTCAGTTGGAGTCTTAGTCCTTACGTACGGAAATCTTTCTGGGGTATGTCCATAAGTTTTAGCGTTATTTTACTTGGTCACTTTGGCATTAGTCAGAATTGTGTTCAACGCTTTTTATCTATATCAAAGGAGGGAAACGTAAGAAAGTAATGGCATTCAGAATATGAACGATTATTATAAAAATCACTTTGAAAAAAATCACCAGTGCTTGCTGCTACCTTTTATTTTTTTTAGAGCTCTATTGCTTCTGGGCATCGGAATGGTCATTATGAAAGTCACTTGTGGCTTGACTGGACTTACCATGTACGCCCGTTATCACGATTGCGATCCTCTCAAAACTAAGGTACATTATCAGCATGAAAGTTGAGGTTGATACTTGATTATCATGTTAATTTCAGGTCGTTCAACGAAGTGACCAAGTACTTCCTTATTATGTGATGGACATAGCAGGTCACCTCGTCGGTCTTCCAGGAGTTTTTTTAGCTAGTGTGGTGAGCTGTGCACTTTCTACGATGAGCGCATCGCTCAACACACTGGCTGGTACAATTTATGACGATTTTATAGATCAATGGCTACCCAAGAGCACTCGCAAAGAAGCCAGAGCTACCACAATCATGAAAGTAATCGCCATCTTATAACATGAAATATTTTAATTCGTATGAAAAGATTCTAAAAATGCGTATTTGGTGTTTTAGATATTATCCATTATCGTGGGCATTATTGGCATGGGGCTGGCATGTTTCGTTCAACATCTCGGCACAATATTTGAAATTTCTTTGAGCGTCCGTAGCATAGCCGAGGGCCCATTATTCGGTTTATTTTTCCTCGGCATGCTCGTGCCATGGGCTGGTAAAAAAGGTGCGCTGATCGGTAGTTTGGTATCCTTGGCTTTCATGCACGTTTTGGTTATTGGCAACCAGTTGAGCACTTTTAAGCGTGGCAACAGAAACACGCCTCTGCCGACGTCCACCGATAACTGCACTTACGCACTGAATCAGACCATTATTCTGCAAAATACTCATTCCGAAAATGTAATTGCTCAGGATGAAGATGATGCAACGTTTTTTCTGTTTCGCATATCAATGATGCATTACACTCTTATTGGTGCCCTCATTACGGTGATTGTTGGATTCGTTGCTAGTACAATTCTTCGCGAAACGGACTTGAACTCCTTAGATCCAGATTATATTACGCCATTAATGAGGAGGTATTATTGTTACATTTTATTTTTCGTGCTTCGAGATCGGTTTTGAATTGAAGCATACTTGAATGAAAAAAAACTCATATCATAAATCGAAGTGTGAATTTTCTACTTGTTTTTTTAGATATCTACCTAAAAAAGAATACACTGAAGTAGCGATGAATGACGTAGTAGCAAATAAAATCGACGACAATAAGGCCAAACCCGATGGAAAAATTGAAAACTCAGATACTAATCTTAATTAAAATACTGGATTTATATTTTGAACATGAAAAATTTCTGTCACCTGTTGACAAAAACGACAAGTATTAGAAAATGTATTAATTATTCAAAAATAGTGTTTAATTAAACCACGACTTCTGAGTCATCAAGCGCCATACATATATAAATTTTAGATTATTTTTTAAAAATACAATAGTTCACAATTACATGCTGGTATTACAATAAATAGTTTCTACACTCTGTATATTAAGCGAATGTATTTTTTATTATGCAATTGAATAATGCAAGATTTTTCAATTGTTTCCTTCATATACATACGATTTATAAATGCACAAACGCTCAATAATCGCATGTGAATTGCGAATATTAAGAGCTTTGTGCGAAAAATTGTATGCGTATCGTTTTATGCCTACAAATGACAAGGTGTGCCAAATATTTTCGTTTCCGATTTATCATCGAGTATTTGTTTGGGTAAATTCAAGAAAGACACCTGAAATCATTACCCATTAATTCAATAAAAAAAAGATTAGATAAGTTTATCGAGAACTGTACCTCGATATTCATGTTTATTTTATGGAAGTCTTAAACGATTTTTCTGTCACTTTAATACATATGTATGGTTGGGACTTACATAATATGCTGCTATGCTGCTCGGATTGCATTGACTCAGTTCGCCATGCAACACGACGCAACATAGTACACGCCAAGACCGGAGCTCGCGAAAATCGACAAGGTGCCTCCGAGTGAACGAGTGACAGCCAATGGGACTATTTACCGACACATCATCGCGACGAGTACAACATTTTCGATATTGTTTTCCCGCGACAATACAGTGTTTTTAGAAAGTGCTCATCGCTGTGAAAAATTCATCGGACGTGAAGTTTTTCTGTGCGTTGCCGGGTTATGCGTTGCTCGGCCGCATAAATACCATTATTTTCTCTGAACGAACGTCAATATTCTCATTTTTTTTTAAGAATGCAATCGATTACTTTTGATTGGATAGACTACCTCGTATTTTGTACTTTATTGGGTGTTAGTTTAGTCATCGGCCTGTACTTTGGATTTTTGAGCAAACAGGACACGACAAATGAGTACCTCTATGGAGGGAAAAAAATGGGATGTTTGCCAGTCGCCGTGAGCCTGCTGTCCAGGTTATTATACAATCGATAAATTTGAATTTAATAGTAACAAAAAGTGCTTATTTATGTCGGCCAAGCGCACGCTCTGATCGGCCTTGTCAGTGATTCGCTACGCCTTTCATGAGCCGATAATTGTTTAATTTCTAGCTTCTTGTCAGGCATCACATTTCTCGGCCTGCCAACGGAGATCTACCTGTATGGGTCAACGTATCTAAGCGCTCCCATCGGGGCGGCTATAACTGCGCTCGTGACGATTTACATATTTCTGCCGGTATTTTTCAAGCTGCAACTGTCGTGCATTAATGAATACCTGGAATTAAGATTTTCCAAGAGCGTGCGCAAGTTGTCATCGGTAGCATATCTCATTGGATTGCTTGCGTCAACATCGTTGATAATCTATGTGCCAGCCTTAGCTTTTTCGCAGGTCACAAATTATAGTATTCACGTTATAACGCCAGTATTAACTATTATATGCATCACTTATACTAGCATGGTACGTACGTGTTTTTTTCTATATTATAGCATAAAACATTATATAAATTCGCTCGCTCAATTACTGAGAATGAATGATTCCTTTTTAATCACTCGGCTTAAGGGATTATAATCGGATTTTTTCAAACCTTAAAATTATTACATTTTTTTATAAGTTGAGTCTGCACTTTAATCTCCGCATTCCTTGTAGTATACGGTGCACTCCATAAAACCTGTAACACGTTCCTTGACGTCAATGATATATGCAAATGTAACAAGTTTGTATTATGCACCTCTTATGTTTTAAACTTAATGATATGCGTTTTCGCGAATTAATGTTTTCTACTTTTTTATTAATTTCCGGAGTTCGTAATGAAGAAAAGCGAATAATTATTCACAATTATCTTAGAAAAATATTTGTCAGCCTCTATAACGGATAAGTGTTATTAACTCAGTACCCAAAAATGATAAAGTGTAATTTGATGGAGAAGTTAAAATATTAAAGTAAAACTTGGGTACTTGATTGAAATATTTCAATTTTCTTTTTCAGGGCGGCGTCAAAGCTGTAATATGGACAGATACTTTTCAATTTTTTTTCACTGTCATTGGTGTAGTTAGTGTTTTTGGTATTGGCTTAAATGAAGAGGGTGGCTTTTCTCGAGTATGGAGTATTGCCAGCGAAGGAAACAGAACGCGAGTTTTCGAGTATTAAAATAATTTCATTCAGCATTTGAAACCTTTATGTCATTCGAATGAAATTTAAAAGATAATTTTTTTTCAAATATTTTAGTATGGATCCAAGTTTATTTAAACGAACTAGTTTTTGGGCAGTACAATCAGCTGTGATTATGGGAAGCGTTGCTCGTTTCAGTATTGGTCAAAAATATGTTCAAAAATTTCTATCAGTTCCTACTGAAAAAGATGCCGTCAAGTAGGCATTTGCTTATATCGGCATTGACGTTTTGATAGACAGATTGTTTAATCGAAACTTTTAATTGCAGAGCAATCGTAATGATGACAGTTGGATGGATCGGGCTTATAATCGTGTGTATGTTTACAGGATTAATCATGTATGTAAAATATCTTGACTGCGATCCACATAAAGCTGGCGTAAGATGCTTTTTTATTAATTTACTATAAATTGAAAAAATAGTATCAATCGATCATAAAGTCAGTTCATATAATTATGTACTGAGCAACAACTTTTTATGAATCATATCATGTAATGTTTAATTTAATTATTAAAAACTTTTTAGTTTGTCGAACGAAGTGATCAAACATTAGTGTACTTTGTCATGGATGTTGCTGGACACATCCGAGGTCTTCCAGGTATTTTTTTGGCAGGCCTCGTAAGTTCATCTCTTGCAACTATGAGCGCATGTTTAAATACATTTAGTGGAATGCTGTACGATGATTTTATCGACCAATGGCTACCTGCATCCAATAAACGAGAATCGAGAGCAGCCAATATTATGAAGGTTAATTGTTTATCATGTAAATCGATGAAGTTTTTCAGTAGTCGGATGTTCTTAATTTTAATCTTGTTTCAATAGTTCAATGTTGTATTGGCGGGAGTTCTTTCCATTTCTTTGGTACTTGTGATGGAAAAATTAGGAACGATCTTTGAAATGGTGTACAGCGTTACCAGCATTTTAGATGCTCCAATTTTTACTCTTTTCACATTAGGCATATTGATACCGTGGACTGGAAAGAAGGGAGCATTGGCCGGTGGCTTGACAACACTGATTTTCATGATGTGGCTCGTTGGTGGATCTCAATGGCACGTGATGAATAAACGCATACAATATGAACAATTTCCAACGAGTACAGACGGTTGCGATGCGTCCTTGAATATATCCATAACGTCAAATTCGACATTATTAGAACCAATTGATGCTGAAGATGAACCCTTTTTCATGTTCCGGATCTCTGTGTTTTACTTTACCTTAATAGGCAGTTTTTTGGGAATAACAGTTGGAGTAGTAACGAGTTACTTGACCAAAGAAATTGACACTTCAACGGTTAACCCTGATCACATCTCACCTTTCCTACATAGGTATAGTAACTACACCATCAATGTAAAGTAGCGTATCCTACTACGATCAATTTATCCAAATTTTATGTTTAGATTTTTGCCGAAAAAGAAATACATCGAAGTCCATATTGATGACATAAAATCCCCGTCGATCAAGGAAAATGGTTATTTTGATTGAATTATTTCGTCATCAAAAATTTTTTAAACTAGTCATTTACGTAAAAAAGTGTACTCAAATTTTTAATAATAAAATTTTTAATAAAATGGATTTCAAGGTCGTTTCTGTTCGAACCCATTTTTACAATTAATATACTAAAAACAAAATTTTGTGTTAATATTCAAGTTGTGTATTTTTTACATACATTTTTACAAATCTGTATATTAAAATAAAAAAACAAACAATGAATATCACAAAATGCTAAATACATTAATACTTTCAAGCCAACAGATTCCGTGTTAAATGAGGTTTAAAATCATTCGATGAAATAATTTTATTGAGACACAATTTGAACGTCTGTACGTATAAGATTGTTGGCGGCGCGTCTAGTTGCAAAGAAATTTTCATGGGCTATTTTATCTTCATATCATTGAGTCAACAATCCAGCTATCTTGCAAATTGTCAGCTCTTGATGAATTGTCCTTGATGCATCATTCATTACTTGAATCTAAGTAATGAAGCTTCATTTTCATCTGGTGTAAAAATTTCGTGTAAAAATTTTGATGTAATTTCAAACTTTTATAACTCCAAGTCCAAGCACCAATAATTAATTTTAGAAGACAACTTTGACTTTATCAGCAACACGTTTTGTGCAAAATATAAGTTATTTTAACCATGGAACAGTTAACTTTTGGATGGACCGATTATACCTTGTTTGGAGGTTTACTTGGTGTAAGCCTGTTAATAGGGATATATTTTGGATTTTTTAGTAAACAAGACAGTGCCGCAGAATATCTATTCGGCGGAAAATCTATGGCATATGTGCCCGTGGCAACGAGTATTTTAGCTAGGTAAGTGTTTTCAGCTTTACATATATTTGTAAAGAACTACGATAATCGATAGAGATATTTATGATTTACAGTTTATTATCAGGCATAACATTTTTGGGGATTCCAACAGAAGTTTATTTTCATGGAGCTGAATTCGTGAACACAGCTATTCCAGCTGTATTAAATTCACTGATCTCTGCTTACATCTTCATGCCCACTTTTTACCATCTTCAACTTGCCAGCAGTTATGAATATTTAGAACTCCGATTTTCAAGATTGATTCGGCTCTTGGCTTCTGGTCTTTATGTTGTATCATTATTGTTGTACATACCACTTGTGGTGTATGTACCAGCACTTGCATTCTCACAAGTAACAGGCTATAGCATTCATACGATAACACCGGTTTTTAGTATAGTTTGCATTACATATACCACAATGGTGATTACTTTTATGAATCTGTGAATTTAAATCTAATTGTGCGCTCTCACTGAAATGTGAAATTTTAATTGGAAAATAATTTTCATCAAGGGTGGTGTTAAAGCAGTAGTATGGACCGACACTATTCAGTTCGTATTTACGATTGGAGGTTTAATAACGGTACTGACAATAGGTGTTAATGCTGTTGGAGGTTTCTCTGAAGTTTGGAGGATTAATAAAGAAGGAAAGCGACTGGATATTTTTGAGTGAGCTTCCTAACTACTGATTCAAGGGTCTCTGATAAGTGTTTAACAGAGAACTTTTCATTCCAGTCTCAATCCTAATCCGTTCGAGAGAAATACATTCTGGGGAATGACTGTTGGATCGCTTTTTTTATACCTCAGCCGCATCGCTGTGGGACAAAAGTTTATTCAGAGATTTTTGTCTATTAAGGAAGAAGTTGACATCAAGAAGTAAGAGATTGTATAAAATTTTAATGGCACTTTAATTTTCGAGCCACTTCCTTGCAGAGCCCTGTTTCTCATGGCAGGAGGATGGGTTGTTTTACAACTATGCTGTGTACTCACTGGCCTCATTGTCTACGCAAAGTACCACGACTGCGATCCATTGGCTGCAAATGTATGGGAAACTAAAAATAAATATTTGAAGTTTGTAAATTTAAAGCTCAATTTTGTTTCATAGTTTATTAAACGAAGCGATCAAACATTACCATTTTATGTGATGGACGTGGCTGGACACGTGCATGGCTTACCGGGCGTTTTTCTTGCTGGTCTTGTCAGTTCTGCTCTTTCAACTATGAGTGCAAGTTTAAATTCCTTATCTGGTATCATTTACGAAGATTTTGTCGACAGATGGATACCAGATTCGCCCAACAGAGATTCAAAGGCTGCCAATATTATGAAAGTAAGATTAATATCATCTTTATTTAAAACTCTTTCGATTTATGATTATGATGTTTTTTTTCTAGCTTATATCGGTAATAATTGGTTTCATCACGATCGCCATGATCTTCGTGATCGAGCATTTGGGCACTATTTTCGAGATGGCCAATAGTCTCAGCAGTATCGTGGATGGTCCCTTATTGGGACTTTTTATTCTCGGCATGCTGATTCCTTGGGTAGGGAAAAAAGGAGCTTTAAGTGGGGCTTGTTTAGCTCTAGTCCTGATGACCGCGTTGGTTGGTGGAATACAGTGGAACACGATGACAAAGCGAATACATTATTCGACTTTACCAACGTCAATTGAAAACTGCACAATTTTACATAATGAAACTATTACTCATGAAACGACAACTCCCGCACCTCAAAATATCGACGACGAACCATTTATATTATTTCGTTTATCAATTATGTTCCTTTCACTTACCGGGACATCGATTACAGTTATAGTTGGAGTTATTGTCAGCTGGATCACGGGAGAAGTCGATGTATCAAAACTAGACCCAAAGCATTTTGCACCAATCGTTAGGAGGTACGCAAATTTTTTTTCATATAGTCAATCCGGTAAATAATAATATACGATTTTGAGCTTTAATGTAAATGCATAACTTTTGGCCTTAAGTACTTTAATGATCAAGAAATCGTAAAGGTATGTCAAGCCCACTAAGTTGGTGAAACATTTTTAGTTAGATTCACAATTAGACTAAAGTGTAGATTATAACGTTCAAATGCAAGTTAACAATGAAACTTCTCATGATTCTAAGAATAATTCTAAAATTTTAGATTTCTTCCCAAACGAAAATATACTGAAGTACCGCTAAAAGAATTTACTGAAGAAAAAGAAATGATTTGAACGAGATCTACCGTACAAATCCATCACATCTGGAGGAATGGAGATAGGCCTGTGTATAGCATTAGTAGACAAAATCATCATTTTGACAAAAAAACATTAATGTTTACAAACATTAAACTTTTCAAAACCACATTGGTTTGGCAAACTATATCACATTGAATTAATGGAAAAAGTGGATCTTCAATAAAGTGCAAACAGAAGAATAAATGTATATTCACTGGGGGTTCATTTGGACAACTTGAAGCTATAATTTTCAAAAAATATTTAAAAAATATGTAAATAAAGCTAATAACTGAACATATTTGTCCACTTGTTCATTTGGAATTGCCATTTGAAATTATAAAAATCAGGATTATAATCTTATAAATAATATAATCAGAGATCAAAATCGAAAGCAATAAAAAGATAACTACTCTTGCAACTAATTGTAAATTCTGATTTAATTTTCTGTACAATATTTTCTGTAAACTATTTAATAAATGTTTTGGATCATTTCGCAGCGGGGGTGACGATAGTGGCAAATTCCGCAAGTTTGGAAAAATACAACTGAGACTTACTTGACAAAAAGTTTCGATTCGAATGAAATTTTGTTTACCGCGAGGCTTATTGTCTTATCTGAATCTCAGTCTAATTAAATACCTTGAAATTGACATTCATCTCTCGTGCAGTCTCGATTTAAACTTAGTTTGCATCGCGTCGATTTTGTTTTAAACGTCGTTAAAAGTTTTCACTTAAATTTAAGATATATATTTTTTACGTAACTCAGTTGTGGGAAATCGAAGTTGAAAATGAAGTACGTGATGTCAACTCTCGCTCCGTCGGTCGAGATGAAGCAGTTAATTTTCGGCTGGTCCGATTACTGCTTGTTTGGCATCCTAATAGGTTGCAGTCTTCTGATCGGTCTGTACTTGGCCATCTTTAGCAAGCAAAACAGCTTCTCAGAATATTTGTATGGTGGTAAGCACATGCACTACATACCAGTAGCTATCAGCATTTTGGCTAGGTATTATATTTATCATTGTCCTTCAATCAGAGATCAATTTGACGAGGTCAGCTGTACTTTAAATAATTATCTCGCGTAGTTTTTTGTCAGGCATCACATTTTTGGGTGTACCCACGGAAGTTTACCTGCACGGAAGCCAATACTTTGCGGCCACCGTCGCGGCACTATTCATAGGGCTGATCTCGGCTTACGTAACGATTCCAGTGTTCCATCAGCTGCAGGTGTGCAGCTGTCACGAGTACTTGGAGATGCGATTCTCCCGAACGGTTCGAGTGTTTGCTTCGGCTCTCTACGTAATATCCCTGTTCGTCTACATCCCAGTCGTCGTGTACACGCCAGCTCTTGCCTTTTCTCAAGTGACGGGCTTTGACCTACATGTGATAACGCCGTTTTTCTGTGTCATTTGCATTACCTACACAACGTTCGTAAGTTTCGACATACCTATATGCATTATAATACGCATTATAGGCACGATCGACCGATAGACGAGGCTTGGCTAATAAAAGCTATAAAAATTGAATGATTCGCGTTGTACATAGACAGCTTTGAATCCAGGGTGGCGTGAAAGCTGTAGTCTGGACCGATACTCTGCAATTCATTTTCACGATAGGAAGTCTTGCCACCGTATTGATTTTAGGCGTCATCGCTGTCGGCGGTATCGAGTCAGCATGGCAGATTGCCGATAAAGGAGGAAGAATCAAATTTTTCGAGTATTATTCAAAATAAAACTCTCACAAATCAATTTATTATTCAAATGTCTATAAATCGAATTACTTTATATGACAGCTTCAATCCAAGTCCATTCGACAGAAATACCATTTGGGCAATGTCTTTCGGAATGACGTTTACGATGCTCAGCCGTTTCGGTTTGGGCCAGAAATACATTCAAAGATATCTGGCCATTGAAAAGTTGCCCGACGTCCGGAAGTAAGTATTTTGAGTTGGACGATCGCTAGTAAAATTCCGGTTAATGCACAAGATAATAAACTTTTAGGGCAGTACTGCTGACATCGATCGGCTGGGCGACTCTGCAGGTGTCTTGCGTTTACGCCGGAATCATCATGTACGCCCGCTACCACGACTGCGATCCCTACACAGCCCAGGTATGCCTGCAATACGTACCTAACAAATATATTAGCACCGCATCATTTTAAACGTAAAACGTCGTTCGGTCGCTGTCAAAGTTAGTGAAGCGTAACGATCAAACGCTTCCCTACTACGTAATGGACATTGCCGGACATATATTTGGTTTGCCTGGCATATTTCTGGCTGGCCTCGTGAGCTCCGCGCTCTCGACTATGAGCGCCAGTCTAAATACGCTCTCCGGCACTATTTACGAGAACTTCATCGATCGCTGGATCACCGAAGGCGCCGACAAAGATGCAAAGGCAGCTAAAATTATGAAGGTATGAAAGCTCTCCGTGCTTACCTTTCGTGTACGCTAAATATAAAGATTAACTTACACACATGGACGATTGAAAATCATTGGTTGACCTAATTGATATTTATCCGGTAGATCATGGTAGTGATAATTGGCCTCGTGACTATTGGACTGATATTCATTATCGAAAAGCTGGGCACCGTGTTCGAGATGGCTTATGGTTTAAACAGTGCAACCGAAGGTCCTCTACTGGGTCTCTTCATTCTGGCTATGATGGTGCCGTGGGTAGGCAAAAAAGGTGCCATCACGGGGGCCTGCGTTGGCCTGACTTTCATGGTGTGGCTCGTCGGTGGTACTCAATGGCACGTCGTTCACAAACGCATACGCAACCCCAGCTTGCCGGTGTCCGTCGAAAACTGCCCTTACCCGTTGAACGAGACGGTTCAGGAGCAGGCAGCGACGCCCCTGCCGCCCCTGGCACCCGAAGAGGAGCCCATGATACTTTTCCAAATAGCTATTCTGTACTTCACCCTCATTGGCAGTGTTATCACGGTAGCTGTGGGCTGCGCTGTATCTTGGTTTCTTAGCGAGACCGACGATGTAGCAAATGTCAATCCTGATCACGTATCTCCCGTCATTAGGCAGTTAGTATAATTTCCATTGTCAACATTTTTTACTTTATTATTCGAGTGACACTTTTTAGATATTTGTAATTAATTATAAATGTGTTTTCTTACAGCTGGATACCAAAACAAGAAGTTCAGTCTGAAATGCAAACGAATGGATTTGTTAATGTTTCACCGAAACCAGTGGTTGGGGGAGAGGACGAAATAGAAAGCAGCAGTCTCGATCGTGGTAAAAATAAAAAAGAAGAAGTAAATTAAAATCCTAACTATAAGAATTATATTAATGATCAACTTTTAAATTATTATAAAATGTACAAAGATCAAAATTTGAAATAAAATTTTGCCTCTAGACGCTGTTACGTTATAACAGTTAATAATTAGCTTTTTCGATCGAAAATGATTATTAGAGTAATATCGCTCTAAAGAACAAATTTATCTTATTGAAATGTATTGTATATTTTTGATATAAAGTTACATTTAGCTTTTCTTTACTATTATTAAGAACTATCATAAAATAATAAAGGTTAAGTTGCTTAGAAAATTTGGTAAAAAGACTTTTATTAAAAAATGTTGATAAATTCTCTCAAATTTATTTTAAAAGTCGTTATAATTTATAATGAAATTCGTTTAAGCTCCGAATAAAAAGCTACGATAATTTATTTCAATCATTGTTTAGTTTATTTGTAATATATTTAATTTATGCAGAAGCAATTGAATGAAAAGTTCAGGAAATATTATAAAAACAGATATTCTTCATATCAATGCTGTATTTACGCGCGCACTCCTGTTTATCGATTAAACCTTACGCAGGCGCAGCTTCGCTTCGGCTGCAAGTGAATTTTTTTCTCACTTGAAACGTATACATAGTTTATAAAGGAATTTTTTACCCGATCAATCAAAAATTCAGTAGGTTCTCTATTTTTAACAAGTAGACCCTATGATAAGAGCTATTCAATTATTTCGAATTCGATGTTATAAAAAAAGTACTACGATAAAGAATTTGAGGAGTTCGAATGAAACAACTATATAATCTAAGAGAAACATTATTTGAGGATAATTGTAAAACCGAGGGTTTGAGTTATCCAAATATTTTTCATTGAGATTTTCGAGTGGTTGGATCCTCATTGAGATAATCCGGAAATAATCCGGAACCCTTCGTGAAGAGTCGAATTTTGTCGAAAAACATCTTCTGTAAACAATGACACGTCCATTATCGAAGGTAAGAGCGAAGAAAAAAATTGTCTCTCTCACCCGCGGTAAGAGCTCGTATCCGCGGAGGAGAAAAAGCGAGCGAGCGAGCGAAGAAGGGGTTGATTCGGCGTGCAGACTGGGCGCGCCTACACACGTGCGCCGGTTCGTGCACGCATGTCTGCACGTACGTACAAGTACGCAGGTACATACGTACGTGTGCGTATACATATTTGTTGCTACTATTTGCCCATGACGGCGGCGGCGGCGCGCATCTGTATGCGTTAGTCGCTCATACACACACACATCCGATTCCGATATACGGCAGAGGAGCTGCGAGCAAAAACGACGAGAGAGGCAGAATCGCCGAGTCGCTGCTGCTGCATGCGGGGGGGCTCGCTCACGAGTGCGCCGCAGTTGCTCTACGGTGTATACGGGCAGAGACAGCCAAGAGTGCAGTCCGCGAACGAGCTTTCCTTTCTCTCGGCCGCAACAAGTTAAACTTGCTACTGTGTGGCTGCGCTGCTCGAGAAGAGAGCTCGTGCCAAAAAGCCGCCGCTATTATATACGGCTCTCGGCCTCGGCCCAACGACAAAAGCCTCTCTTGTATATAGATATATATGTTGCGTCGCTTCCAGCAGCTCCGAGCCACCCACTAAGCCGCACATGTAGCCGAACTAATTCGGCGTCAGCTGTGACGCGAACCCTTCCTACCTTCCTCCGTACGCCCATGTTAAATATCCGCGAGGAATGTGTGACACAGGGATGCCGAGGAGGACGAGAGGAGCAGCGGAGTCGGCTTCGATGCTCGCTTGAGTCGGGGATGGAACGGGCCTCGCTACACTCATGCAGGTGGGCTCTTGACACTTTTGTCTTTTTCTTGACTTGATCCTTCACTTTACACGTAATCATATTTTCGGCTCGAACGTATTAATTTCTATTTAGATAACATAACGCCTGACTTTATGAGCTTGTAAATATACGCGCTGTTTCTAGTCGTAAAAAGTCATGTTTTCTCTTTTTAATATCGTCATCTGAGCCGATGCCACAACTTAGAGCGTATAATATACGAAAATTTCTTTTCTTTCGTATCTATTTACATTAGACGGGGTTTCGATTCATCGGGCTTACGTAATTTATGACAGTGAATGCATCGAGTTATTTCGAGTGGAAAACTAATGTTTAAAATACATTCGTTATTTACTTATATTAATGTAAACAATGTCTGCTTGTTCTAAATTCAAGTGTTTGATGTTTTAAACTAGGTTATTTATTTTCTGACGTTACTATTGATATTGCCATTTTTCATTCTTTTTAGTCTTCTTTTACTTTTATACGTAAGTACGTTTTTTTTTTATGAAAACCTTGTAATTTGTAAATGTCGTTTCAAGGCGATCGCGCGAAACAATTATCGTCAATTCGTAAAAAATTGATCCTTCACTATTTGAGTAATGTTTCGAATGGATGAAAAATTGCAACTGAGCACTTGTCAAGAAGTGCATGTGCGTATTAACGGTAAAGTAACGACTTCGCTCGGGTCAGCTTCGAACGTTGCGCGACATTGCCCTATTATCCAGCCGCGCATCGAGCACTAACAAACGTACGCGTAGCCGCACGATGCTAGATCGAACAAACGGCAGCTCGACTCTATCCTTCAAGCAAACGTATATATAATACGCTTATACGCGCGTTGAATCGCGCGCCAACGACGCAAAAAATGTCATCTCGTTCTCACGCTTGGTTTATTTTCATTTCAAGAGTAGCTGCAGTCGTATCGGGAGAAAGAAAACGACCCGACAGTTTTCTAGTGCAGCAGTCACATCCGTAGCTGAACGCAGCATCGTAAAAGAAATTTCAAACGGCCAGAGCTACGAGTCTCAAAAACAGCGCTGGCGTCAGGTCCACTGCTCGGGCGTCCATCTGTCCATCATAATGGGATTGGCACGCGGAAAAAGGAGCCAAGTCGTGCGTGGAACAATATCATGATGTGCCGGCTAATTGTGGCCTGCCGCCGCGCAGAAAAACCGAATATAATAATAGAGAATAGACACGTCGAAATGGAGCAGCGCTACGCGAACGCGGTCAATGCTCTCGTTTCGTTGCATTGAAAAGTGAGTCGCACACGTGGGCGTATAAGAGAAAATCTACATCGTCGTCGACTCGTCGTCGGCGATTATGACATTTGTGCCCGACGATCAAGCTGAAAATGTGGCTTCTATCTTGACTTGGCGAGAATTTAATATTCGAACGCAGGAATGCTTCATAAAGTCTTACGTTTAAAATATGCATTAACAGAATTCCAAGATCAATGTCAGTGTTTCGGAAACACGAACAAAAATCGAAATTTTGTTACTATTAAAGTTCAATTATCAAATTATACAACAAATTTGATGAACTTCGACGGCAAGAAAATTGTAATCTGATTAAATTTTTTCATCGAAATATGATACGCAAAAAATAACTTGAACTTTTCTGGGGGCTCGAATACTTGCGATACTTTATTCTAACTATCACGACGCGTTAGGTACTGCTTTGAAGCAATAAATATGATAATTTTGTTTGTTCTAGAAATTCATGGACTCTCGAAAATGCATCGAGTGGTGTCTTAGCGTGAGCAGGAGAGATAGCAGGCAGGCAAAATAGCGCCGAAAACGGGCCGACGTTTTATCAAGAGCATAAAAGTGCCGGTGGGTAGTGCGCCGCATCAGGCCATTGTGCGATGCGTCCTAGACTGCGCGATGAGCGGACCAAAGGCGGCGAGTGCGCAGCTGCTGCAACGAGGCCTCGTGGCTCTCGGCCTGGCGCTGGCCCTCGTGCTGCTCATCGTCCTGGCCCGTCGACGACTTTTGACCCAGGAAGAGCAGTCCCGAGCGCGCCACAGTCTGCTCGTTGAGATCCTGGCCAACGTGAGCGAGGGCCTCGGGCGCCTCGAGACCGGTCTCGACGACATAGCTGTCCGCACGGCCGCGGCCAAGAATCAGCTCTCTCGGCTGACCGACGCCCGCCGGCAGAATCTCCTGGCCTGCGCCCTGCTGCGCGAGCGTAAAGTCTTTCAAGATGAGTATGCGCGGAAAAAAGTCGACGCTGCATCGATCGACGACCCAGCCAAATCTAATGTATCTTGAGGCTGTATCGTGATCCAAATAACTGAACCGAATGACGATTCAACTTTGCAATCGAGAGAACATTTTATAAGAGCTTTTTAGGTGCACTTTTTTAGGTTCGTGCCTCTTATCAGAAACTTAATCGAAATGCGCAACGTATTATAATCCACAAAGAATTTTTAGATTGTCACAAAGTGATAATTTTACAGTAACTTTCGCCCGCAACATCTTGTTTGTTGCTCATCCAGGCAAATCAATAAGGACACCCCTTTTTGGCAATTTTGAAACGTTCTATAGACTAAAAATTGATACATTCCGCTGCACCAATTTATCCAATAATCAGCACGTTTATACACTGCTCAAACTCAGTAGCTCATCAATTTTTTAAAGTGAGAACTGTGTACCTAAAAAAATGAAGATTTGCTTTATATATTAAGGAAGTTCTTGCGACTGTAACTTACATCAAGTTAAAACTGTACTCATGCGTATACGCAAAACTTTTACTTTTGACGAGAAAAATCTCAATTTCTTCCGAATCAACACATACTTCATGAGATATCATTAGAATTCATAGACTTTTTTGTTTATTTATTAAAAAGTACTGTCTAGAATCTAGACTTTTTTTCGCAAGAATCCACTTGATTATTTTTCTTATATTATTGAATTGATCAATTGAAAAAAAGAGAAAAATGAAAAAACAAAGCAATAATCTAATCTACTCGAATCATACATTAAAGGCCTAATATTTTTTACATTATTTTTTACATTAAATAATATAATATTGTAGTCATAAATATAAATTTGGTTGCTATTTCAATTTAGCGTATGCACCACTGTGACCTATATCAACAATATCTTGTTGAAATGTTGACCACCGTTCTAAAAAACGGAAATGCACATTTGCGTAAAGAAGCTAACTTATTTATTATATATAATATATGATTACTCCAATGTCGGCCTTGTAATCGACCAATGTAAATAGAATACATTAAATAAGATTTCTACAAAATAATAGAATATCAGGAACAATTATATCATGCGTTGGGAACATTCATAAATGTTTAAATTGCTAAATTGCCGAGTTATTTTTAAATGGCTACATTATAACTGAGGAATAATGTAAATATCCTCTTTAAGATTTTAAAAATATCTAGTTATAGATCCAGACAATCAGTTTGTCGATTGATTATTTATGATTCCTATTTGTACTATATATTCGATAAGAATTATTTTTACTCTGGATAAAGAATAATTCTTAAAAAATTCACTCAAGATAATTGACACTAAATTTTAATACTTTTAATGAGAACCATGTTCATATTAAGATTATCTGATAAATTTTTAAAGTATTTAGTGATAGATGAGAAACATATGTGCCAAATATTTTGTAAAATAATTTTAATTTCAGTTCGAATATGAAATACAAGTGTAAATATAACTAGTTTCTTTATATCATTAGCTATAAAGTTTCAAACAAAGACAACACAACTTTAATATGTGAAAGTATTTTACTTTGCATCATACTTAAATAAAATAATGTTAATAAGCATATTGTTCAGGCTAAATAAAAATTTGAAAATATTCAAAGATGAAAAATATGGTTTTTTGTCCCGCAACAGGTAATTTCTGGAAAATCAATTAAAAACCAATAATATTCTAACGTTTAAGTATTGAATAATGCTCAATCGCAAAATCTTTGAAAATTCATATAAAGAATTCCACATATCTCGAGAAGCAAAAGCTGTTGATGAAAAATGATTTTAGAAAGTTGTTTCTGATACTTTTGCGTTTAATTAAAATAAAACCTCTCTAACTTTGTTGTAAAACCAATGGAGACTCTTGGTCATCAGTATTAATTTAGTAATAACATGATGGAAAGTCACTGCGCACCCAGCTTTTTACAAAAGTCAAAGAGTGGGAGAAATTGTGGCGAGACAAGTTCGCGCGATGGCAAATGCGAACTCAAAATGCCTCGCGTTTCAAAATCTAACGGGATATTTGCTCCTAATGAATGAAACGGAATCGACCCTCTCAATAAACAATTCATTACAATGAAGGTTTTAAATAATTGTCTTGTACAAAGATAGATTTTATTTAGGCATTAAATTTATATTAATCTTATACACGTAATAATTTTGTATTTTACTAAAGGGTAAGATCAGTTGACGGTCAATTCTTTTTATTTATAGTTATTGCTTATTTGTTTATTACACTTACAATTAGTTTAATCGCTTGAATTATTTACATTTAAAAAATAGTACATTACTGCCCTAGATCGCGAAAAACCGGAAAGTCCTAGAGCACTTGTAGTTAGCGACCGAGACAAAGCCGATACGAAATAAGTTAGTTACGATACAATTTTGTCCACTGAATTACGGAACGTCGTATGCTTATACAAGTCCCACACCGTCCGAATTCGTGTCAAAAGGACAAAATTAGTCCACGGACATTGTACGTATATGTCTTAATTATAATTGTACCTACGCATTATTCACTGTTTCTATTGTTTTTGGTATGAACAGGCCATCTGTATTTGAATAGCTCATTTTTATGACCGTAGACTCAGATTTCTAATTAATAACTCGTAAGAAAAGAAAGTAATATCGAGAAAAAATATGCATTCTATTGGCCTGAAACCATATGCTACTCCTTTTTGATATCTCCGGTAATCAACGAAAATACCAAGTTATAATTTAGTATGCGTTTAAGATGATGAATCGAACGTTTTAAAATATTTCAGTCTTAAGCCAAAATTCATCGAGTGTACATCGGGAGCAGTTTTAAGTTTTGTGCTGCGTGTTTCTCGTGGTGCTGTGCAGTGGAAATTTAATTACATTTCTGATATTTAGACCCTTTTGATATTATCCGAAGAGGTAAATTTATTCTGATAAATATGGGTTTTTTTTGTGTGAGCAAAATCATCCGCAATATTTTTCAATCAAAAAAGAAAAGCTCGAAAAAAGCGAAAAAAGATTTAGAAATATTCAACAAAGTTCATCAATGTGGTGACGAAGCTATTTTTAAAGATCTAGCAATACTTTTCCAGAGAATTTCTTTGAACATTCAAACGAAAGAAGATTTGCCTACATTTTTTGAATATGAATTATCTGCATTTCCTACCACGTTGTTTGATGCAAATGGAATGAGAAAAACAAGAAATATCGAATTTTACTTACATTTTAATTTCATTTATGATATTTCTCCTCACATAAATGATTATTTTGTAATCGACGGATGTTTTCTTTTACAACATATTGTTTGGCCCGCAAAAACACCAGTCAAGAATATTATCAATTTCTTTATCAATTATATTGTTGAACATTACTCTCGAAAATGTTGTGTTATATTCGATGGATATCCTGAATCTGTTGATGGAAGATGGTATATAAAAACTGCAGAGAGGCAAAGGAAAAATATAGGACGAGAAATTGAAATCTATGAAGACGGCATTATTGGTGTAGCCTCAGATACATTTTTTAATGTAACTACAAATGAAGTAAGATTGATTCACATACTTTGTAAGAAATTAAATGAGGCAGGTTTTTCAACGAAAATTGCCGAAGAAGATGCCGATGCATTAATTGTTGAAATGGCTATGCGCTATGCTAATGAAAACTACAGGACATGGATCGTTGGAACTGACGTAGAGTTATTGACAATTTTAACAGCACGAACACAGCATTTGGACAATATATTTTTTTTGCACCAAGAAAAAGATTTCACTTTCCACGTGTGCAGCAATCAAAGTTTCAAATATCCTCAACTTCAGTGTATTATATTATTCCTACATGCATTTTCAGGATGCAACACAACCTCATCTTTTTTGAATAAAAGAAAACGAGCATTAATTAAATTATTTTTGAAGAGAAAAGATTTGATATTGGAAGCAAAAAAATTTTATTATACAAACACACCAAGGCACGAAATTGCATTTTCTGGTATGAAAATAGCTCAAGAGTTATATGGCGGAAAAAATCGAGATATTACACTGAATGAATTACGATTTCGTCGTTTTGTCAAACTAAGTGGAAAGGGGTTGGTAAAATTTGAATCTTTACCACCTACAGAAGGCAGTGTTATACAACATGCGTATAGAACATATTTGCAAGTGCAATCTTGGCTTGGCAACAAAAAAAGAGCTACTGATTGGGGCTGGTATATGACAAATGGAAATCTCATTCCTTTGCACAGCGATATGCCCCCTTTTCCACAGGAGCTCGAAGACTACTAATATGATCACTAGTCTTACTCTGATCTGTGATTTTTTGCATTTAAGAAAATTTCTCCTGTGTTCGAGATTCAATAATACAATTCATAAAACTTCATTGTAAAAAAATTTTAAAATTAAGAAAAATAAAAGTATTTCATCAAATGATTAAAAATGTTGTGCCCAATTAAAACAAATTAATTAAAGTTATTCCTTAAAAAACAATATTATTTAAAATGTATTCAGTCGTTTGCTTGATTTAAAAAACAATTATAGAACTCGTTAATAACTTTGGATACTATTTTTTAGAATAATCTATGTAATTTTATATGCAGACAAAAAACTGTTTTTTATCATCGTAATCTGGTGCAATAAATAACGAACCAATACTGTTTCGTTCACTTTCAGTTATAATTGTATAATCATTTGAGTTTACAGTTCTTAGTCGAAGATTAAATTTTTATTTAATGTTATACTGTACTTTTAAAGTGGTGAAACTATCTGAAACTTAATTAATACGCAGTATACAATGTTTATGTTTTATAAAAATTTAAATCATTTATCGTAGATAAAACAATAATTTTAGTTATTAAGAACTCACGTAAAATAATACCTTTGAAATATTTTTTATTTTGGATCAATTTATTTATAAATAACCGTGAAAATTGCAAAAAAACATTGAATGTATGCAAATGAATTCAGAGTTTTTAAATATAATATATCCTTCAAATGCAGTGCTATAGTGTACAGATAAAAAACTAGGCCATTATGATAAAATCCACACTTCCCTCTATTTTGCGAGAAGAAAAAAAAAATTGAAATGCAACTAATGAATCATTGAATAAAAAGAGTCTTAGCTCAAAGGTGATACGGTTAAAGTAAGCACATTATTATCGGCAATAGTCGCGATTGTGTATATGAGGCGTAAGTCGCAATAGTATCACACACAGGAGACACGCACGCTCGAGCGTTATTATACTTGCTTCAGTCGGCTCCTAGCATCATATCGAGACTCGTGTTTGCCTCATCGTAGAAAAGACTCGCGGATAGATATAATGGCCGAGACCTGCACGAGTAAGTACGCACATACACGCACATCGTTTCTTTTTATTTGTTTGACGCGCACGACTCGCCAGTTACCATAGACCTGTCCGCAAGTCTTGGATTAGCTGCGTTCTGCAGCGTTAGTACCTACGGTCGTTTTTTTTTCAAATCACACATTAACTTGAGCAAACAGGTAAGGCTGAATTGTACTGTTGAGTTCATTACGGTAGTAATAACAATTTTAGTCTCAAATAAGCCTGTAGTTGGCTGATAAACTGTTTTTTCGAACACCATCTTATCATATTTTTTTTCTTTTGTTTCACTACACTCTTCATTCATTGTTTTTTCGCTTTCTAATAAGCGATTATTAACATGCTCACTCATCCACTCGCAATAATTACGATTACGAATGATAACAGCACCGACGCGTTTAACAAGTATTTTATCACTCGTATCGGCTACAATCGACAAGCCGAAAAATCAAAGCAACTTTTGCCAGGAGAGAATCTCAAAGCTTTTTTCGATGCACAGAGCAACATGGGAGCTGCGGTCCAGGATACGCGAGCCCGAGAGAGGCCATGCTGCACGGACCTCGGGAGAAAATACTCTACGTCAACTGCGTGCACACGGACGTCGATAAGCCGGACGCCTTGGTGACGGTAGACGTCGATCCTAGCAGTCCGACTTACTGCCAGGTACGTTAAATCGAATTATATTTTCGATAGATTTACGCGTATTCGCGTCTAGGAACTTTCTAATTTTGTTTCTCTGCACTCAAGTTCCGCGTTAAACCGGTGCGTTTCTACTCTTCTACCGTAAACCTTCGCGAAATCTTCATTTCTTCACGCTTCGAAAGATAAACATAATAAAAAATACTCTATGGATTTTTCTACTTCCGCACATTTCATTTTCAAATGACATTATATTCATTTTTCTATATGCCAATATCATTACGCATTATTAATGGCTGCTTCAACAGAAAAAGAGTGAGCGTCACCTTATTATTCACGAGATCTCGAGCAATAAATTCCACGCGGCAATGTCGATTTATAAATGAATCTGAGAAACATTTACACCGACTTCATTGCTGCACGCGCATTAATATGCATCGAAAGGTTGATGTTTGCAGCAGATACTTTGTATCATTATTTGTGTGCACTTATATTTTAATTGATTATTACTAAATACTGGCCACGTGTACAAGATTAACAAAAAAGGCCTACAGTGTATCGTTGACGTATAATTAAAGTGACAGCTGCCTCGGCGCATTCACTCTCACTTTCAAAACTTTAGCTCCAATATTATGTTTAATACATTTTGTAAGATCGCTAAATCATAAATAAAGATTTTTATTATTTTTTAAAAATAAAGATTGCTTTTAATTCGTTAAGTCATTCCTCGAATAAATTAAAAGTTCAAAGTTATTCATTTATCTGTCAGATAATCCACAAACTGAGTATGCGAGAAGTGGGTGACGAGTTACACCACAGTGGATGGAATATATGCAGTAGCTGTCACGGACAAGCAAATGAAAAACGCGACACCTTGGTTCTGCCGTGCCTCATGTCCGATCGAATTTACTTTGTCGATTTAACCAACGAAAGAGAGCCGACGATCAAAAAGGTAATCATGCAATGCATGTATTTATTAATTTGTAATGTTTTTTTTTTTTTCATTCTACGAACGTTTGTGCTACGAATCGTTTCAATACTTTATTTTAAAACTAAAAAAGCATACTATCCTAAAGAATTAGACTAATTTTATAGGAGACGGTAATTTTCATGATTCTTAAATAGAATCGTCGTTAATGACAAATATGTATGCTCAATATACTCGGCAAATCATCATTAGACTAGATGTTATTATTCAATTATGGTTTATAATTGAAAACAGACAAAAAGTCGTGACTCTAGCTATAGTTGGAAAAATAATAATTTCAGTTGACGATCGAGGAGCTCGGTGTAATATTTGCTATATAGGCTTGCCATGCAACACTGCGTAACATCGTTTAAAACTTGGCGACGGCTACGACGACGACGACGACGAATTCGTCGCTGCAGCAATACTCGAGTCGTTAAAATCTCATTCGGATGTGAAAGTCCGAGCGAGCAAATAATTCCAATGCGCAGCTTGTTTACTTGTATACACCCATGGGCGCGCGTATATTATAATATTTGAGTAATAAAAAGACGCATGTGTGTATTTGCGGGCATGAGGCTTGTTTGTACGTTGCATTGAGAGAGTTAAGGCAACAGGAATCACAATCTGTTGCGTGAACTGGCCAAACGGCTTGGTGAGTCAGGTCGCGCCGCTACAGCATACGTATCGCTTGTTTATTATTGCATCTCATGGAGATTGGCGCAATTTTTGCCCACCCCGCAGACTCTCGAGCCGGAGGAAATGCACAGGCACGGAGTGGCCACGCCGCACGCGGTCCACTGCTCGCCCACGGGCGAGATCATGATTTCGGTGCTGGGCAATCCGCGGGGCGACGCGCTCGGCGATTTTCTCCGCATCGACAGCAAGAGCCTCGAGATCCTGGGCACCTGGACCCGAGGCGAGGAGCGAGCCAAGTTCGGCTACGACTTCTGGTACCAGCCGTACCACGACGCCCTCATCGCCACCGAGTGGGGCGTGCCGAACGTCTTCAAGCGTGGCTTCGCCTCGGAGGACATCGAGGGCTTAGGTAACTGTCGACGATCGACTCGCTCGTTCTTTTTAGTTCTAGCCAGCCAAAGGTAGGATCGTTACGAGGCTCCAATGGCTCTTTCAAAGATCTCTACGCGCTCGAAAGATGAGCCGTACCTCGAGGGTACCTAACGTTCGTTTACCTGCGCACACGTGCACTTGTGAAGATTTAATACTCCATGAACTAAGATGCACCGGATAGAGACACACGAGACTCGCGCACGTGTCAAATTATACAAAATGTGAAATTTCATCTACGCGTTTAGTCACGCATTAATTTTAAATTTAAATGCAGTACTCGGAGGCCTCACTTTAAATTCCTCCGGTAATACAATCTTTCGAAAAAAAAAGAAAGAAAAACGGACTGTACCGAGTACTCGCTCGCGTTTGTCGGTATTTGCAAAATATAAAGTTACTCGAACTGCCCGTAATTGAGTTATTACTTTAAATTCAACACACATACAATACATTTCCACTGAATTGACTCTTTCTTATCATAATCAGGAACTAAAGGTTCGTTCGTATTTTTCAGGGCATTACGATGGTTCGTAAGATTTTTCTTTCAGTTCGTGTATTTTTAATTCGACGCTTGAGAACTCGCTTTTAAATTCTAAAAACGCAATTTTATCTTTGGAAATTAATTAAAGCTCAATAATAAATTGCAAAAAATATAATATTAAATTACTACGAATACGTGATAGAAATCTACGGCAGGAGTCTGAACTTTTACTCGTGGAAGGATCGCAAACTGCAGCAAGTTATTAATTTGGGCGAAGAGGGTATCGCACCCCTGGAGGTGAGGTTTCTCCACGATCCAAAAAGTTGCGAGGGCTACGTCGGCTGCGCCGTCAAATCGGTCATCTATCGATTCTACAAAAATGACCAAGGCCGATGGACCGCCGACGACGTAATCAAAGTTCCAGCCAAAAAAGTCGATGGTTTCTTATTTCCAGAAATCAATGGTGAGCCAAATAATCGACTATTAATTTACCATCGTAATCCGTAATCGAACGTGAAGATGTTCTCCTGTGAAGTGTCAATTTTAGCCTCGTGACTTATTAAGTATAGCTGTTGCATAAAAAAATTTTTAATTTCTATTAATATGTGACTGAGACGTTTTTCTCGTCAAGTGCAATAACTGTAAGTCGCTCTAAAGCCATATGAAATCACTGAGGCCTTCGAATGTGTGAAAATTCCTTAGTTGCGTCTGCTTATAGAACACGCGTACGAGATATGTATAATTGCATCAAGATGTCCTTTGTAAATAATAAATATGTAGCGCGACGCGCTCATACTCGCACAAAGACAGTCACGCGTAATGATGTCGGCTTTTATACAGCAGTTAATGCTTTAATTTTTCTTTTTTGTTCCAACCACAGGCATGATCACGGACATTCTCATAAGCCTGGACGACAAGTACCTGTACTTCTCGAACTGGCTTCACGGGGACGTGCGCCAATACGACATCAGCGATCGCGCCCGACCCCGTCTGACCGGGCAGATATTTTTGGGAGGCAGCATACTTTCGGACTCGAAAGTCCGGGTACTCGAGGATCGGGAGCTGTCCAAGCAGCCCGAGCCGCGCTACATCAAAGGCCGCCGGCTCGATGGCTCGCCGCAGATGCTGCAGCTCAGCCTGGACGGCAAGAGACTCTACGTCAGTACCTCCATTTTCAAACCCTGGGACAGGCAATTCTACCCTGAACACGTCAAGTAAGGAACTTGCAGTAGCCATCTTCTTCTCTAGCTTTACTTAACATTACATAACAGATCTAGCTATTATCCTTATCCTTTATCTTTTCATAACATTCAAAATAAAAACATGAGGATCATTAAAAGAATTGAAGATCGAAGATTCTAAATGTGTTTCTAATTTCAAGAAACCAAACTGTTCTGTCAAAAAGTTAAATCATAATACACAAATAATAATGCAGAGTATCATTTCGGTCTAATAATTGAAAATTGTTATCTTTTTGATTTTTTTGTACCTCGTACAAAAGAAGAATTTTCCTACGAGAATCGTAACCGAGCGGAGAAAATTAAAATTTCCAACATGCCATTTTAACATTTTTTAAATAAAATTATTTTAAGGTTTTATAAAAATTGAAAATTTTTATAGGAATGGCTCAGTAATGATGAAACTTGATATAGACACAGAAAATGGTGGTATGAAGCTTGATGAAAACTTCTTAGTCGATTTTGGAAGTGACAAAAATGATATTATGCTGGCTCATGAAATGAGGTAAGCAGTTTTAATTGATGCATACAAATGTATACAATTATCCGTAGTTAATTTTTCTAAAAAATTTTTGTTACATTGCATAGATACCCCGGCGGAGATTGTACTTCTGATATTTGGCTAGCTAATGAAGATAAAGAATGAATGTTACCGTAAAAATTTTTATAAACATTTTATATTTTTCATTATATCAAATAAAAAAAGCAAAAATCAAAATTGGCATAATATATATTGTATTATTATACACATAGACGAAGAACGCCTGCTGGACTGGGGCCCTTTTAGCCCAAAAATTATTTAGTGGTTCAGCCCCTGCGTAATGATAATCGAAATACAATTCGATCCAGTCTAGGCAAAGACGGTTTTGCCAAGAATCACAAAAAGCAATTGCTCGAGAACTCAAGCGGTTGAAAATGATGGCGCAACAAGTACAAAAATCAAATATTATTTTTTGAAAGTTCTGTTGAAAAAAAAAATATTATCCGAAGTTGATGATATATTGGTGCTCTCTTTGCGAATGTATTGGCAGCACTTTTCCAATTTTCGCGTAATAATTTGTTTTTAAAAAGAAATGCATAATGCAGACGTAATTTAAATTGCCGAATAATCTACATACGTAAATATCGAGTCCTAAATTCTGTCGGATTAATTAAAAGGGCGCCCACGATACGATCTCGCGGTGTATTATATAAAAGTAATATTTACCTCTTGTCTTTGTGTATATGATTTACTGCCATTTAACGTCGAAAGACATCAATGTAACAGTCGATAGCTATGAGCATTTCTCAAGCTAATTTACATTTTATATTCAAGTATTAAAATAAATACAATATATCAAAGTACCGAATGAATTAAATTTAGTGGTCCTCTATAACCAATGGATACATAACAATTGTGGCGACGTTTAAATACCGCATAAACAAAATCGAATTTATGAGTTTCCAATATGAATTTTATGACAGTATTAATTGTGTTGATTTGCAAACAGAATCGGCATTTAATTCAGGCCAATAAAATAACGTACTGAGCAAATTAAATGCGCTATCGATTTGATCCATGCACTTAAATCACTCGATTATTGATGCGCGCGAAATGACCTGCAGTTGGTAAATATACATTCGATTATACGAATTCGCAGCTACCGCAGCTATTCCAGATCGTAAATGGCAGCGTTCCAAAAGTCAACACGAGATAAATTTCTCTCTCTCTTTCTTTCGTTCGCTAATTCAGTACCTGTGGCATGTATAACCACTCGATCATCATTTAAGGAGCCTCGCAAATTGCGACTTTTCAGATTCGCTCAAACTTCCGCAATCGAGGAAAGGAAAATAGCGGCTCAGCTGTGACGTTTCGGAACGTTCGAGTTTTGAATAAGTGTAAACATATTCCAGTCGCGTGCTTGTGCATTGTGCAGGCGCATACTTGGCCGTGTTCGTGTGTGTATGTGTATTTTCACCAAGTCACCGCTCGGAGGCACAAAAAGTTCGCGTCGAGTGGAGAGGACAAGAGGAGGATGTGCAACAAGCCGAAAAATTGACTGGTGAGGACGATCGCGCTTGTTTCGACACTTGTTTCCCACGACAATACTTTATTTGTGCCGTGCGTGCGTGTATAGGAGAATAATTCTGATCGCAACGTTATAGCTGGCTGCAGTATGCAGCCGCCTCGCAAAACTAATTCTTGTTTGCGCCGCCTACTTGAATCTCCGTGCTGGACTCAGCAGCAGATACTCTCCGCGGAATAACAAATTTTGTTCGCACTACACGCCAAGCCGTTGATCGAATTAGCGACAAAACCAGCGACAACGACGACGCCTGACAAGCGCCTACAAAGGACTACAACGATACGCCAAATTTCGCCTTAACCCGGCTGTTTTTGTGACCTTATAACCAAATATTTACACCATGGCCGGGACCTTCGATCAGCACGACAAGTCTAGGTGAGTCTTTGGCTGCCCACGGTCGTCTGTAATAGCGTGTAATGCCTCCACGCCGTGCCTCGACTACTTTTCCCTCTAAATTCCTTGTTTTGCGACTATTCTTTTCTCACCGTCGTACTACCTACTCCCTCCCGACTCTATAAGGCTAACTTTCTTTTAAAACCCATTAAATCCTTCATTCATTAGCATAATTTATAATTCGAGACGCATGTGTACGTAAGTTCGAATATATTCAATAGTACGAACGATCGTACAATTATGAATTCAGTTGGGGGTCTAAGAGAGTACTTTGTATGCACAAATTGTCTACTGTTCATGATTGGGGATGTCAAGAATATAATGCTTTTTCTTGATAAGATAACTCCCATCTACAGTTTGTGCTTTAATTTGTGTACTTCTCTAATATTTTTCAATGAAATTTAAGTTAATATTTTTATATTTTAGCTGGTACTTTGGTGCCATGTCCAGACAAGATGCCTCAGATTTACTAATGAGTGAAAAAGAAGGAGGTGTTTTTCTTGTAAGAGATAGCATCTCCATACATGGTGACTTTGTCCTTTGTGTTCGAGAAGACAGTAAAGTTAGTCACTACATAATAAATAAAATTCAGCAAGGAGAACAGACAATATACAGAATTGGAGATCAAGATTTTTCTGACATTCCTTCACTTTTAGCATTCTATAAATTACACTACTTGGATACAACTCCATTGATAAGACCTGCACCGAGAAAAATTCAGAGGGTTATAGCAAGGTATGATTTTGAAGGAAATGATCCGGATGACTTACCATTTAAGAAAGGTATTTGAATAATTCATGTTTATTCATTCTGAAAAACTTGTTTTTATTATTTATTTCCTAATTCTTTAAATAATTTTTGTTATTAATTAGGAGAAATATTGACAATTATATCAAAAGATGAAGAACAATGGTGGACTGCCAGAAATAGTCTTGGACAGACTGGTTCAGTACCTGTTCCTTATGTACAAAAATACAATGAAGATCACCACACGATTGAATCTCTTCCAGCCAGGCCAGAAAGCGGTGGAAGTTCAGGATCTGGAACTCAAATATCTCAAACAGATTCTATCCAAACTACGACTCGGCGTGCAAATATTCAACGGACACTACCTGCTTTTGCTAAGGTAAAGCAAGCACGAGTGCCCAATGCTTATGATAAAACAGCACTTAAATTAGAAGTTGGAGATATTATAAAAGTAACAAAAACAAACATTAATGGACAGTGGGAGGGTGAATTACATGGTAAAGTTGGACATTTTCCTTTTACGCATGTAGAATTTGTTGATGATGAAACAAATGATGACAGTCAAGAAGTTTAACAAACTGTTTTCTTAAAAGTGAAGTGAACAATTGAGCAGCTACTGTAGGCAGCTACATGTACCAATATGAGAGCAATTTAATTTGTATCAAGTATTGGTTTCACGCCATTATTAATGGTTTTCTATGTAGTGCAATATTGTCAAACTTCAAATAATATGTCAGCCGAAAAATCTTTTTAATTAATTTACAAGTGATCACAAAATTACAACAGAATTTTTTAGACATAATTTGTCATTGAACAAATGGAATGTTTTGCAAATGTAAATTTGTGTTGAGTTTCATGTAAATAACAATTCAATATTACTTTGATTGCTAATTGATAAAATTGCAGCTGATATAGGTTAAATCTTTTTCTTTTAAACATTTTACATCTTTATATATAAATATAATTTAAGTTTTATAATTATATCTAATCATGTTTAATTATGCAATACGTTCAGTACAGAAAAATGAACCTTTTTAAAAATTACATTTTCCAATCAATTTATAATCATATTACTGAAAATGAAATTTTTAAATAAATTAAGTAGACATTTACTTCAAACTGGGCTGAAATTGGAATAAATTAAAGTAATAAATCATTTTTGCACATTATTTAGAATAGAATTAACAACAAATTGCTGCACAATTTTTTAGTTCTTTTCAACACTTGACAAATAATGTACACAAAGTCTTCCTGATTGATGTTACTGCAATCTCAAAACTTACCAAATATTGCTGTGTAATATCAATCTCTAGTCAGTGATGGTTAAAAAAGGTTCTGACTTTCTTTTTAAGACTTGACTGTAAATAAAGTTGAACATAAGAATCTTTTTAACGCACATAATATATAAAATTGGTAAATACAGAAGCTGCTGACTGCAAATAACTCTGATAATCAAAACTGTATGATATTTTGAAAATATAAATTTCATCATAACTTCACACTATGACGATTTTAGACGTCAAACGGCTTACATTGAAATATTGTGATAAAATTTTTTCAAATTTATAGACTCATTCCAAAGAATGCAAAACATTTAAAAAAAGGAAAAAATACTATAGAAAATAAAGATTCCTTATAAATAAAAACATCGAATATTTTGTAAAATTTTTCTTAAACCTGTTATTTTCATAAATTTAAGATTCATGATTTTTTTTACAAATTAAAAGCTCTCAGTATTAGAAGATCGTAAAATATATCAACATTGTACTTTTGATTAAACTCAAGTTTTTGATTGCTCTTCAATCATTACTGATTTAATAAAATTTAATCAAATAAATGATTGATTTACGTACATGAAAGTCAAGATCTTCCTTTACTTGAACAATATTTTTGACATTTTCGCTGTGGCCATTAATTATAAATTTAACCATAATTTTTGTTGTGTCTGTATAATGTGTCAGTGTCGATGTAAGTCATTCCTAATTACTGAAGAATAATTTTATTTCATGAATAACAAAATATCAACATCAGAATTTCTACGATAACTGCGATAAAAAATGCCCAAATGTACTGCTTATATAATATTAATAATCATCAAATTGTATTGCCAGCATTGTCTTTCGCATCAACTACGTCTGACTAGCTCGTAAAAAATAATTGTTGTATCATTCATGTCCGGAAAATTTGATTGTAAAAAATGAAAAAAAAAACTTTGGTCATTATAATTGACTATATATAATGTATATTTTTATAAAACTGCGCATATTCCAAATCCATTATAACTATCTGTTACAAATTATAAATAATTCTGCAGCTCAAAAGTACTTGTAATTTTGATAAATCGTGGTTTTGTACCAATATAAATTTTATAAAAATTGAATGGAAATTTGGAGTTCTGATTCATTGCAAAATAATAAATAAGCTCTGAAAAAATAAACACGTTATTCTTCACTTTTCATTTTTAATTGCGTTCAATAGATTTTTTATTTAAAATAATACTTGATTTACATGTCTCAATGTTTGTATTACATTTTAAAGCCACATTTGAATTTTTTCTACAGCTCATCTTTGAATGATTCATTCAGAAGTCACCTTACAATTCACGTTAAATATTTATATTTGAAAAATGGTTCTCTCAACATTTTAGTAGCCACGAACTACGATCAGAATTCGCAAAATATACAATCATACATTTATCTTGGAAAGTTCAAAAACTCTAAGGCTATCGCAGGTATTCGAAATATTTACAATTTTTCAAAATATTTATAAAAAAAAAATCAGCTGGTGTCTAAATCACTACCACCTTCGTTCAATATTAAATTGTCATTAACGATGGTACATAGAATGTACACAATCAATAAATTTTTCATTTCGCTAATTGCGATATTAAATCAGCACACATTTCAAAAAACTCCATTGTATGATGTCCCTTTGGTCCAGGTGGAGGAGGTTCTGTAAATATATTTTATTATCATTATGTGTCATAATTTATGCTTTAGAGTGTTGAATATTTACCAGTTGGTGGATCTTCATTATCACTGTATGATAAAGATTTAAAATCTAACAAAAAACTCTTATAATCTACTTGATAAAGTTGTAACGACATTTTGCAATATCTTCCTGTTACTTTATTCTTACGTCTCACTCTTACACTGTATTGATTCATAATTCTCCATTCAAAATTAAGAATTTTCATGGCATGATAAACTTCATTCATGATATCATGAGGCCTTGATTGTGATCGTATACCTAAATGCCACTTTGCTCTTTTTACAGGTGTACCTTTACTACTTGTTCCAGAAGTACCACTACCCACAGATCCCTGACGTTCTCTAAGTGCTAAAATAATAATCTCATTATTATTAGTTCCTTTACAATTAAAAAAAACATTTATAAAAAATTATTCTAACGTGCTATTCTTTCTGGGTGAGGCTTTATAGGACTTGAACTTGCTTCACCAAGTGCTACTGGTGGTGGACTTGAAGCTACAAAAAAGTCTTTCATTTCTGCTTTTGCTGCTTCATCTGCAATTCGTTTATTATCTATTATTAAATGGTATGCTATGGCCAGCTGATCGTGAGGATCTCCATTGAGTAATGCTGAATGAACTTCGGTGTCTTGAACATTGAATTTCTCACAAACCTCTGTCACAGCATCAATATCAATGACAGATGAATCTTGCTCGACAGGTGACGGAAATAAGTAGCTTGGAAGTTCTTTTTGGAACCAATCATGTTTTCTATATAAATAAAAGTATATAAAAATTTGAGTGAATGTAAAATTAAAAAAATATAACATCTAATATAATAAAGATTTTACTTGATATCTTCTATTGAAGCTCGCTTAATTGGATCAACTTGTAACATGTGACATAACAAATTAACAACAGACTTATTCAAGTGTTCAGGAATTGGGAATACTCCATCTAGAAGAATAGTGTGAATCATGATAATATTGGAAGCAACTCGAATGATAAAAAATACCTTTTTATAGAATATGATTGAGACCTACTTTTAATTTTGCGAAAAAGAGTTGGCACATGTTCATCATCAAATGGCAGTGTACCACATAGTAATGCATATAAAATTACTCCACAAGACCAAATATCTACTTCTGGCCCTGCGTATAATTTTCCAGAAATTACTTCTGGAGCCGCATAATTAGGTGATCCACAGGAAGTACGTAAAAACTCTCCATCCATCATCATGTTCGAAAGTCCTAAAAAATATTATAATTTATAAAGAATTTGAGTTTTTATCGTCAGAGTAAGAAAAAATTAAAATACCAAAATCAGCAATTTTCACGTGAAGATTATGGTCTAACAATAAATTTTCTGGTTTCAAGTCTCTGTGAACTATCATATGCCTATGACAATAATCAACACCAGATATAATCTGTTGGAAAAATCTTCTGGCTTCGTGTTCTTTGAGCCTACCATGTCTCACGATGTAATCAAAAAGTTCACCACCAGAGACATATTCCATGATCATGAAAATATCTGTAGGGGTACTAATAACTTGATATCTAAAAATGAAAAAATGACATAATTTTTATTAGATTTCAAAATAGAATAAGAAATATATAAATAAATATTTAACATACAATTTAATTATGTGAGGATGTCGAAAAAGTTTGAGATTTTGAATCTCTCTTCTAATCTTGCCAACGACATCAAGGCTTTTGATTTTTTGTCTATTTAGTATTTTCACAGCAACTTTATGTTTGGTCAAAAGATGTTCTCCAACTAAAAGTAAATAAAAAAATTATATCTTCATTGTACATAATCACAAACAAAAATAAAAGAAATTTTGAAATCATTCAAAATATTCAAAGTAGCAAAAAATGAAGGAGATGGTTGAGGTAGATACTTACTCTTTACTTTTCCAAAAGTCCCAACGCCCAAGGTAGCACCAAGCATGTAATGACCTATTTTAACAATAGGCTGAGCCTGACCACCACTGGCTAATTTGTCCGTCATGTTGGAGTCGCGGTCGGACGGTGAGTCCGTCGCACGACCTTTCTTATGTCGCGGCAGTCTGACGTATTCTTTTTACCTCAATTTTCTAGACAAAACGCTGCGTGTACGTGCAAGAAGAGTCTATAGATATGGAGCAGTAGTATTGTCGACTCAATAGATCCAGGGCATTTCGTCAGCATGCCCACAAGTTGGAAAAGAGGCAGAAAAGCTCGGTGAACCATCAAGCGGACACTTTTTTCGCTGTGCACTCGGTCGAACAAGAGAATGAATTGCAAATCGAGCAACAATAGCAGTAGCCGTCACACAGTGGCAAGAAAGTGTATAAAGCTGGTATTCGCACGCGCCTTCTCAACTCGATGCGTGCTGTGGCAACTTAACTGGCAGTTGTCGGTCGGCTGCCCGACTCGGTCTGTGTCTGTCGGTCAGCGAATTCGACGCTCGGTGTCTTGACGTATATATTTTTCACAACAACACAGCGAGCAGACGTAAAGAGTTTATGTATGTATATTTCAATACAGCCAAGCTGAAAGTTTACGTACGCGGGGGCCCAGTCGCGTCGCGCGCACTCCCTGCGGCTGATCGCGTATCATCGTTTCAGCACGAGCATCGTTACTCGCTCGAGCACTGACTCGGACGCAACGTTGTGGTAGTCGAGCCCGCAACAACGACAACAACGACAGCAACAATAACAACGAGAGCGACGACGTCGAGCCGAGCTCAGTAGTTCGTCGGACGAGGTCGAGGACGAGGCGAACGATGAAGCCTGCTTCATCGCTGTCGTAACTCCACTTTTGCCAGAACGTTGGGGACCACCCGCAGCACTTGCAACTTTTTACACTCTGCTGCAGCCAGCCACTAAATAGTCAGTGGCCGAGTCCTAGGCTCGGTCTCGACCTAATCTATATATAAGTCACGACGATGCGAGCTCTGCAGCTCGCGGCCCGCGTGGGACGTCGCCAGAGACGCGTGCAAGACTCGCGGCCTACTCGAGCCTTCGCGTATACCTCGCGTACATGTGCCCAGAAGTGCGCACTCACATCCACATGCACCCTATAAGAGCAGTCAGCGACTCGGCAGCGAGCAGCAGTAGTCTAGCAGCAGCACACCACGGGACACGAGTTCGGAGTTTCGTCCTATGATACGGAGCTGAATGCTCTGGGAGCTTTCGCGATTGGCGAGCGCTCGGCCCGACATCTGCCGAGCTCGGCCTTTTAACTTGGCACTGCGAATCGCAAATCGCAACTCGCCCGTCGCCGTCCGCGTGCTTACGCGATATCTTTATAGACTCGTGCACGATGATCGCCGCGTCGAGCACGACCGTATCGTGCTAGCGCCGCCGACTGAAATTATACAACTGCGAGCTTCGAGCCGTCCACTATATATACTCGAACGTATAGCTGGTGTATTTGCAAGTCGTGGCCCTCGGCACTCGAGAGACGAAAGAGAGAGACAAGTTCTTGGCAGCACAGCGTCTCTTGGTCTATCGCTCCAATTTGCAAGTGCACGCGTCGCTTTCCTTATTTATCCGCCCGCTTATCTGCCGATCCGGAATTTTTAGCTGATGCTGCAGCGATCTTGTGTCGTCCCACTCGACGCGCGCCTGGAAAGAGCTTTACACGCAAAAGCTATATCGCTGCTGTATACCGCTATTAGCTGCGCCGTTGCGTCCGAGGCTGAGCTCTCGCGCGTCTTATATACGCTTCGATCGACGAGCGATCGAGCCAAAAATTAGAAAAACAGTCACTGCACGAGACGGCGATCGGCGCGTGTATATATACGGAGTCTACTTGACGCCGAGCAACAGCGACGTCGACTGTCTATTCGTCGCAGCTTTACGTCCGCTGCAACCGCGCGCTGCACGTCGCACACGTCTGCACAGCCGCTAATAGCCGCCACACGCACAGGTACGTGAAATCCAGCCCGTCGAGCTTATAAGCTGTCTGCGCTATTGGTATATAGCCGCCGAGCTGGCTCAGTGATGTAACGTGTTTTGATCTGCAATTGGTCGCGTCGTCGCTCGACGTTGTTTTCCTTATCGCGCACTGCGACGCATATGCACCGCGAGCTGCTCGTCTCGAGGTGGCATGTGTCCCACCAGCTGACCGATTGCAATTCAAATCGAGCTCGGCTGCGACTAATGCCATGCGCTCCGCGTAATAACCATTCTTTGATTTTGTTTTGCTTGCTATCCTTCTTATCTAAGCGTTGCATCTACTCGCTTTTTCCCGGCACCGCACCGCTATCGACTGGCACCACGTGCAAGTATTATTGTCACCGCATGCATGAACAATAACTTGCATAATAGCTAACTGGATGGGCTGATCCGCGCAATCAAAACAACGGCTTCGACTCAAAATAGCAATAATTCTAATGCTCGAATTCGCTAAACGATACCGGTAGTTTTGATTCACCCGCAGTTGAAGTAGTCGTCGCTCTTTTCTCTGACGAACAGTCAGTCCGACGAATAAAAGAATGACGCGTTCCAAGATCAGCTCGTGAGCTCGAGCATACAATTATAAATACACGAATCTTGACGCCCACGCAAAATTTGAAAAAGTTTTCAAAAGTGCCGAGTGACTGCGCTGAGCAAGCTGCCAGCCAATGACGTTTGCTCGATCCTTGCTTATATTTGTAAACACAGCTGCTCGAGATGAAAATGAGGAAAGTGCAATTGTGTGGCTCGATCTTGTATATACCTGTGTACACGCGAGTCGCACGCGGTACAGCCGTACCGAGATGCAACACGGCAGATTCCTACATTATCTTTTTAGCGGAACGCGAAATCTGTATCTTCGAGACAAGCTGATCTCGAGCTGTAGGCGCTGCTTTAGCGCGTCCTCTCGCGGCAAATATGCTCTATTTTGACAGGCCAGAAAGTGTGTGGCTCGGTGCGACTGCACTCGACGACGCATGTTACATACACAAACTTCGGTGCAAAATACACATAGAGCATAGCGAGTATAGCGACTGAAATTCGTGCCTGTACGTCAGTTGCCTCATTATTTGTGTCGGTAGCGTCGCGTGGCTCGACGATCGACATCGTGAACATTACGTATAATAATAATACTTGATCCTTTACGGTAAATGCTCACATTTACTCGTATTAACAAACCCATCATGTGCGGGCAGTAGTATAATCTTTTTATTATCAATAATACTTCGGGTTAAAAAAAGATAATTCTCCTACTCGAACGCGGCCAAATACAGATAAGAAAGTATTAAATGCAGCGATGATGTGCGATTACTTGAGTGCGAATCGAGTCAAGTACAAACCTGCTCGTTGAAATCGTTGCTCATTGCGATTTACGAGCTCGTTGCCAGCCTTGTCCAGCTAACTTGGCTCGAAAAGGCCCAACGCCATTAACATGAGCTCTAAAAACAGCCCTGCCAAGATAACTCTTGGCATGATCAAAGGTAAGACTCCAATTTTTTTCCACTGGGAAAATCCCTTCTTCTGCTAGCTTCCGCTTTTTTTACCTTCGTTTCTCTGAATTACATGCTATACTGCATATTCGTGATTCGCTCATAAGCACGCGTTAAGTAACAAAGTAATTACGCTTCAAATGCTAACTAACAATAGTCTCGAGCCATTATTAAAGGTGCAAAAAAACATTAATGACTCATCGCTATATTTTTCTTTGCATGACACTTGAAATTTTGTGTCTGTTCAGTGCTGCACAAGTTTGGAAGCTAGTGCTTGAATATTCAGTTTCACAGTTAAGTTAGTTCTTGAAATTTGCATGTATTAACATTTTAATGTTTTTAGCTTACTATTATACTTTTGGTTGTAGATGTTTTAAATTCATTCATTTATAAGTAAATTCTAAAAAGTATTAGATAACGCTGTCACATCCAAAACTTGAAGTAACTATTAGGTATATCTAAAGTAGTATTATTAATTGAATGTACAAGTAGCTAATTCAATGACATTTTACTTTTTAGGAAAACCAATCACAATGTCGGTGCCAGCTATACGTTATCATGCCAGTGATGATGAATTGGAGGAACTTTATCCGAGTACAGATGAAGAAAAACATTTAACTCCTGAATCAGAAAAATCTTCTCCTAGACCAAGTCCCAGAAAAAGTTGCATAAGTATTGGAGATAATGATGAAGGAAATCTGGATAGACGTTCCATGAGCATAGATGATAATTTATCAGAAGGAACAACATGGAGGGTACTGTCAGATATTAAAGGAAAAATTACAAAAACTTTTGAGGACAAAATTTCTGAAATGAAACATGAAAAGAAAAAGTCTAAAAATGATAGAAGCAGAGACACTTCTAGCCTTAGTGACTATGAAGATTTAAATGATGTAACACCTACTGATGAAAATGGTTCAGAGAAGCCTATAAAAGACTCATCGCCTGTGCTAAAAAAAAGAACTCATTCTTCCAGGTTTGTTGGATTTTCTTATATTAAAACTGGTATTAAAACCAAAAAAGCAGAGGATGACAGTGTTGAAAGTGGTATTGAGGCTGCAGAAGCTGCTTTTGAAACTGAAGATGTTGATGCTATTTTTGAAGACAAAAAAGAAGATAATATTGATGCTCATATAAGATTGCATAAAAATATAAACAATGTTTTACCAGTATTTAGTTTAAATCCAAGTATAGTTCTATCAGAGTATGATAAGAGGTTCATTCAACTGAAAAACAGAATATATTATCAATTTTTTTTATTGATCATTGTACTTATTTGCTTTTATTTCATTCCAATACCTAAATATTTAATGGGTATTTGTGCTGGCATTTTTGGCTCAACTATGGTTCAAAAAATATATAAAAGTTTTTACAAGTTACTAACAATCCCAACAAAAACTGCACTACCTGCTGTAACTGAAATAACTGCTGTTCAAGAACATGTTATTGTTGAAAAGTTTGAAGGATGGTTAAATGAACTGCCATACCGATATGAACCAGAAAACTATCATGTTGCCCGTACAAAACCAGTATTTCTCAAATTAGAAGGTGAAAATCTCCAATTAATAGAAACTAGAACAAGGATACCTAAACGTGCTGTATGGGATGAGGCTAAACACAAACCTAAATTTACTAAAAAGCGAGTGTATAACTTAGCTGATTCAAAAGTCGATTTGCTTCCATCTGGTCTAATCAGGCGCAGGTAAATAAATTGTTATCAATTTATGATATTTATCTTTTTTTTTTACTTCATCATATTTCCATTATTTTATTCGAATGAAATTTTCATTCGAATAAAATGTTTAAATAGTTTAATGAAACATATCTCTAGACTCTAACTAAAGACAGATAAAAATATAATATGGTAGAAAAACATTATAACTTATGAGGTATTTTCACTATTTTTTAAATTATTCATCGGGATCTATTAACCGGGATGATTTGAAAATTCAATTGGTGAAAATATCAGAAATCAACATTACAGTGTTGGATAAAAATACATAAAAATGTTCTATGTATTAAACTCCAATTACGGTAAAATTACGGAACATATATTTCGACTTGCATAACAACAAGTCATTTGAAGACCTACAAAAATTCATCTCGATTTAAGTACTTGATTCCGCAGTGTGAATTTCGCAACATCTCCACGTGATATTATTACGAGCTTTCAATTGAAAGTTTATTATTTTCAATGAACATATTATTCTTTAAAAAATTGAAAAGCCAAACATTTTAAATTATTTTCTACTCATACATGGTAGATCTGACGTAGATTAATTTGAATTGCCAATAATCAATTATCAAGAAGATATTGATTTCAGCTACTGAAAAAATGTAATGTTTCAGACGATGGAGCAAAAAATATCCAATATGCGTCACTTTTGATAAAGATACAGTAAAAGAAAGCACTTTGCAAGACAATTCATCAGATGAAGAACCTCAAGTGCTGGACATTGAAAATGATAAAATTATTATGGAAGAGGATGAAACTGACGAAGATATTTCTAACTCCAAAGATGTATTCGAAGACTGCCAAGACGACGCTTCTGATGAGGGAACGAAAATAAAATTATATTTATTTGCTAGAACTGATCGTCAAAAGGAGGATTGGTAAGAATTTTATTTAAAGCATACTTTCACGCCTATGATTAGAATTTAATTCTTTATTGCCATAAATAGTTTTTAGAATTAAACAAAACAAATATTTAAATGATTTTTTTAATGTAAAAAACAGGTACCGAAGATTAATTTTAGCTTCAAAGCAAGAGAGTAAAAGAAGTTCTATATCTTCTTCAGCCGTTGACTCAAAGCCGTCCACTCCGTCCTTGGCGATTTCTGAAATGTCTTCATTTTTAACATACCAAGCTTATATGGCTCGATACGTAGAGGTAATTATATGTTCAGCATATTCATTTTAAAAAAAATAATATGACCTTTCAAGTTGTACTATAAATGTATTTTATTCCCAGAACTTACCGGCCACGCCTTCTTTCGAAACAAAAAGTTCGAATAGCATTAGTCACGACGGATTATGGATTAATGCGTTATTTGGAAGGATACTTTTTGATATGCATAAATGCCCTGATATGATAAACGCATTACAAGATAAAATACAACGAAAGTTATCTAATATTAAACTTCCGTATTTTATGGAAAGTTTAACGGTATCTGAATTAGTAATTGGGCAAGGAGCTCCTATAATTCATAGTGCAACTAAACCATTAATGAATGAACGTGGACTTTGGTTTGATTTGGAAATAACTTACGAAGGAAGTTTAACTATGACAATAGAAACTAAACTAAATTTGATGAAGTTAAAGAGAACGGGATCCGTAACTCCGACTTCAAATGATGGAAATGAAAAATTACGACCTGCTAGATCCCCTATGTTTGATAGTGACGTAGAAGACAGTCCTGAAACTTCAACTGAAGAGGAAGATAGTATATCCTTGTCTGCAAGCCCATCTTCAAAAGATAATACGTAAATAAGAGTTTTTGACTATTTATTATTCTTGAAATTTCAAAAATTTAATAATTTCTAATTTTCATCTTTTTTAGACCAACACAATCTTCAGGGAAAAAATTTCTCAACATGGTTGATAAACTGGCGTCTAATAAATATTTTCAACACGTTAGTTAATCATTTTAATTTTATTAAAAAATAATCTCCAATGGAGTTATTTAATTCATATATTTTATCATTTCAGGCTACTGAATTATCATATATTAAAAAAGCAATGGAAGGGGTTTCAAAAACTGAAATTAGACTCATGGTGAGCGTATCGAGTATAGAAGGCTGCTTATCGGTAAATATTCCTCCCCCACCAACAGATAGATTATGGTACGGTTTCAAACCCGTTCCAAAAATCAATTTAACAGCTAAACCTGCTGTTGGAGAGAGAGCTTTTAATATTGGTTACGTAACAAAATGGATTGAAACAAAATTACTACGAGAATTCGAAAAAGTAGTTGTCCTTCCGAATATGGATGATCTTGTGATTCCACTTTGTCCAAATTATCCCTATTAATGGAAAAATATAAGATGAATATTCGCTGACTGGCGTCTTAAACTTCCATCGTTTAATTGTGATTCTGCAATAAAAAAATGACTCGAAAAGTCGCCTAATCAAGTTGGATGCTTGAAAAATAACTGTTTTCTCGTGATACGTTCATATTTTATGTGCCAGTTACTCATGACAATACTGACAATCATATTCATCTAAAATTTCGTCGATAAAAATGAAAATTAAATCGTTTCTATAAGTTCTTTATTTTTATTGTACATAATACCGAAATAATTTTGCAAATTGTTTTTTCAATTGTTTAGAATTTGTGAAATGTCATTAGAATACCTTGTGTAACGAATTGTTATGTTTTGCTATTCTTTTTTACATTGTTCCTTTTTATAGGCTGTGGAATTATGAGTGCATCGTTGTTTTCTCAAACTTTTAATTACTATTTTCAATGTTAAAAATCAACTTGAGTGCGTCGAAATAATATAGAAAGTTAAAAAATGTTTTCTATGCTGAATAGTTTGTATTTTTTAAACGTTCATAGTTGATAGTTCATGCGGTTAGGGTTGTGATTATTTTGAACATTTTAATAGCTTTTTTTTCAATTTTTACAATATTGCCACATTTTATAATATTGAGTAGAATTTTATTAATAAGGAAAATTATGTTATGTGCATAATTATTTGTACAGTCAACGATGGAAACGTCACTGAACTTTATGAAAATGAATATTCAATTTGAAATTCAAATGAAATTTCGTATTCAATTGAAATATATGCCGCCAAAGTACCTACAATTACCTTTTACATATAAAATTACGAAATATAGATGTTTTTTACCATGTCTAGCTATAGTATTATAATTCATTTACGCGTATTTTAAATGTATTTGTTACGATATTATAATATAAATAATAAAGTATTATATATTTGTTAAAAATTGTCTTTTCAATTATTACAGCGCAATACCAGTGAAATGTTTTAATTATAAAAACAAAAATATAATTGCTCTTTCGATGCATTTTTGTTCTAATAGTGTTGTGAAAAGTTTGAGTGTATTGGTGTTCATAAATTTTAGGTTGCACTTGAATCTTTTATGGATAAATATTCAGGTTTATTGAGAAGATAATTTTTTTAATGAAACACTGTTTTACAAGAAAATGAGCATTTATTAATAAAGCTATATTCAATAAAAATTTTATAAAAACTTTACATTTATCATTTTTACATCACATCCCGGTGGGTCGTTTGTAGACCCATAAAATTATAATCTAAAAACACGTTTGATATTCATTGTATATAATTATATTTCATTCATAAACGATAATAAATCCGGTTTCATAAATTAAACTCTCTGATAATACAATAATATCACAGTTCGGAGATCGATGTCTTATTTTCGAAGTACATCCAGTAATATTTACAGGTTGCGCTCAAATCGTAGGCGTGCAGTTAGTCGCACGGAACGATTGCAACATTGAACGTAAGTCGCAGCCGAGTAAGGCGAAAATCGGGCTTCTAATCGAGGCGGAAATTCCGCGAGCTCCGGAGAACGTTGGCGCGGGAAAGACTCAATCGTTCACTGACGTTTAATCTAGCCAAGCGTAGAGCAGTCGTTCGTAAACCGACGATAGCTTCGGCTAACTCCTGAGCACGCAGGGTGCGCTCTCCAGCTCTCGCACGGCTTTGGCCCATTCCTCCAATCTCGGGGCGCAGGACAGCGTGAGATCACCCAATCGCTTCTTGGCCATTATCACGAATTCGCCTTGACCATGGCGAGCATCACAAACGGTCGGCACTCTGATGCGCGTTTCTCTCGTAAACCGAGCATCGCCAGAGTCTATCTCGTTCTCCTGCGGAATTCAAAGGATTTGCTTGAGTAACGAGGACTAATTGCGCGTACGCATAAGACAGATAGCAAAAGCACGGGAAGGTAATGCTCACCTCGTTCTCCTCGACGCGTCTCAGCGTCTTGGTAACCCTTAGTAAAATCTCGGCACTCTCGAGCTCGGGACGGCGCTCGACGGCGCTAACGGTTCCCCGTGCCACGAGGTCGCTCTGACAGAAGGCCTTGGCCAGCTCCTCCTTGCTGCAGGGTCGACATTCGGCCTCCTCCGGGTCGGCGAGCAGCTGGGTCTCCAGATCGTAGTGCAGATGCACCCCGGGTGGGGCTCCGGACTCGCTGCCCTGGTCCTGCACGTCGGCTTCTACGTAGAGCGCCGCCACTGGACCTCGCGTTCTGAAGCAGCGATGCAACGACTCGTGCTTGCCATCCCCTGGCGAGTAGAGCAGCTTCAGGCTCGTCTTGCCTTCGAGGTAGACCCGGGCTGGACCGGACGACTTGATGCAGCCTCGCAGATTTTCACCCTCGGCGGCGCCCGAAATCAGAACGACCCGCAGAGCTCCTCGAGGATATCGCCAGGATACGCTGCCTCTGGAGCAGCGCAGGTATACCGGTCGCACTCCTTTGCCTCCGCCTCCACTGTAATAAAAAAAAAAAAAACGAAACGTCAGTTCTCAGTACTGCAAGCGTAGAGCATCTTACACTATATATTTTAATTTTTTCTAGATAGATGGGGTTTTTAGGAATGGCTTCTTCGTCCGATTATCGATGTATACATATTTAATATGTCGGGAGGAGAAAAGGAATCGGCTAAAAAGCGACAACAAATACGGCAAATTTCAAAGAAGTTTTTTGTCTGCGATATTACTTTGCGGAACGCGATAAATTATCGAGAGTACGCATGGACGGAAAGCCGAGGTAAAAAGTGCGGGTCGATCGAACGTGGAGAAATTTCATCCTGCTCATCAAAAGTCTGGAGCGAGGAGGTGTGCACGCGCGGCCTTATAAAGCGCAAAATAAAGCGTGATAAAGCGTAAAACGCCGAGCGAGCCTCGATTGGCAAAATACGAAGGAAAAAAAGCCATGAGTATGCCTACTGCACGTATGTTCGAGTAATGGCCTCATCGAATCGACAGGTATACGGACGCACGACCGATAACGCCTAGATCATCGTCAAGTTTTTCTTTCCCTCCATCAATCGTCCAAGTATGTATATCTACATCAATCGCCCAAGTATGTTGCTAGCATCATAAAATTGCACGCCGAGATTATAATAATTTGCAGCGCGAGTATGAAAATACGATTCATCGGAAAAACGTCGTGGTTGCGGATGCGGTCGACATCGCGGGGAAAAAATTCCTACGTCCTAACGGTGAGTCTGGACGAGAGATGCGATTCGGACGAGGTATCGCTTATAGACGCGCAATAGCGCGCGAAAGGGTTTCTCCTCGAATCGTATACAATATTTTCGACGAGTTACACGAGTCCTCGTAATATATTGGAGCTAGCAGAGAGTGGGCCCATATTGGAAAACCGATACGCTTGGCTTAGCGGTGCCACAAAAGTCTCCCCATCATATTTTGCTTGGTACGGCACACACACACACACATTCATACACGTGCAGAGGCGGCGGCAGCACATGGGCAGGCATACGCATTAGGTACTTGGCTCGGCAATCGAGATCCGCCGTCATCTCGAGTTCCATAACTTTTTGTTTCTCTCCCTTTTCTCCAACGATGCGTGCAGTCGTCGCCGGTCGCGCGATTTCTTGTTTTTTTCGCCGATCGTATTAGCTTTCGCTCGTATTGTTCGTTATCGCGCGAGCTCCTGATATTTCTTTTGCTCGTAAAACTTTTTGTTTGAAACGATTTCGAGGTGAATTTCACTATTGTTATAATTAATGGATTCAACGATACGTCACATGTAAATTTGAGTCCGTGTGTGTATATTATGTAGATATATACGGCTGACCCTCGAATGTGGGTAAGCTTAAGCGTACACGAGGCGGGGGCATTGTCTCGGCCGCGCCGTAGCCGGACAATGAGCGAGGATCGCGCACGACGACGCTTTTTTGCTCTCGCCTTCAAACATATATTCTGCGTGACATTTCTCGATCCGATTGCCGTTGAAAAGGTTTCTCTGTCCTTTTCGTTCGCCTCGTTCTTTCCAACTATTGCTTATACTTATACTCATATATATATATACACCTCCGAGACGCTTAGGGACACGCGGCAATTCGTAGAACTAGTTGGCCCTATTTAGTCGCGACGAGTGTTTGTATTATACCAAAATTCCTTTGACGAGCTTTTGATTCGAGCCCATAGTAAATCATTGACTGTCATTTAGCGCGCGCCCCAATCAAGCGAGCCCTTTCGCAATTTCAATTGAATTGCAAGATGCATTTTTGGCGCGTAAATTTCGATTTAATATGTATGAAAATTAACATGTATACACTTGCTCTTTGTAATTAATAATGTTTTTATCATAAAATGTTCTTTTTTTGACGATATATTTGAATTTATTGGCCGATCGTGAAACGTAGCGGAGAAAAAGCAGATAGGGATTTTCAATGGTTATTGAGGCGCGCTCGCTTTGGCTTTATTGTCCGCGAGCGAGATCGGCAACTGCGCAGGATGCAATTGCGCGCGATGCGTTTGCAACGAGCCGCAACGAAAGCTCGTATAGTTATATGGACGCGCGTCTCGCGCCGCAAATACAGATCACGCAGCTACGGAAATATAACGAGAAGGTGATCGCGAGGCTTTATGTATACGTGCGTGCGTACCTATATGCGCGCTCGGCTCGTCCGCGCTTTCCTATACATGTAGTAAAGGCAAAAACCGGTTCTCCTTTCGCTGTTGATGCTGCGCGACTCGCCAGAGAGAGAGAGAGAGAGAGAGAGAGAGAGAGAGAGAGAGAGAGAGAGAGAGGACCATACGCAGAGTATTATACCATAGCAGGCCGCGCTACTTTTGCTCTGCTATACATTCGTATACGATTGCCGCTGCTGCTACTTTGCGTTTTAATAACGTATTATTCAGCTGGTTCTCCTTCTTGCCTCTATATCCTATCTCTCTGCTATCCTGTACGCGTTTCTTGTGCGTCGAGCTCGCTGCGCGGGCTTATTAAATCATCGCTCTGTAATGCGCCTCCTCGATAGCGGCCTCCGCTCGGCAGGAGCGTCGAGTGTTGCCCCCGTCCAGAGCTAGTCGGACTCGGGACCACTCGTGCGGCCCCGCGCCTATGCCATTATTCCCTACTATTTACGATCTCGTTGGCCACGAGCTCTATACGCATATACATAGGGACAACAACTTTTGCGACGGCTTTCAACGAGCCTATTATCCTTTCCAAAGTCCAATGTCCATTGGCCGGTGTGTTGGCAGCCTGTTTGCCAAGTTGTTTATACAATCTTAGTCAACTTGTTGACTTTGCCCACTCACTCGGCCACTATGATGATTATTAATTTTATTGTTATCTCAGCGGGACTGTGGCCTCGCCTCGACGTGTACAGCAGGTAACTCGACTTGTGTTGGCTTTGGCCATTGCTTCACACTTTATCCGCTCGAGATGGAGCACGTTTCGACCGGCAGCCAACAATTACGATTGCTAATAGTACTCCATCGTCCGTCAAGTACAAATCCTGCGGCTCGCGAGTGATCAATAATAAAGACGCTCCAATAGGCCCAAACCTCACCGGACGACTCCGGAATTACGTATTAGGTGCATCAATTGAGACGGAAAACTCGAGCAACGATGCATTTGACACATTCCGAGCGCGTAGGCGAAAAATGATACGTTGCTAATAATCGTTGGATCGCGAGTAATATGTTGCATGCGTTGCATGTATATAAATCCAATGAAGGCGACGAATTAAAATAAGACGGAATTCATAGAAGCGTGAGGAATTCGTTGCGGCTATAAGCATGTCTGACGCAAAACAAGGACTCTGCTTAGTCGACAGTCATCGCAAGGTTGTCGCACATTCACTTTGCAATGATTTTTCAATATCTTGCCCGCAAACTAGACTCTCGGTTCGAACGTGAATGCGCGTTCGAGCTTTTATTTTTAATGTATTTTGAATTTAAAAACGCTATCTACGAGTTGCGTATACGATTAAATATTTTACATACATTTATTTTCAATTCTCGGCAATTTAGCGCAGACGTAGATGATTTTTTAGCAATCCTTTAAAAAGGTATTTTTTATTGGATTTACTCCAATATATTTAATGGCAATGACTAAATGATACTTTTGAACTATCCAGTGAAAAAATTTCGAGTAGTTATTATAAATAGTCCCGATTTTTTAAAATTTATTGTTAGGATATTTTGCGATGTATAATAAATGAATAATTTTACGATGTATAAGTTGTTCAACAAAATATTTTACTGTGCTACTAAATTTTTTAAAAAATTTTTCATCTTCAATACTGTATAGCGAGGCCAAAACTGGAATATTATAGCTTTTTATGAAATACTGACGCCTGTCTCGGTAATAATGGCAATCCTGTTTTTAGTGAAAAAAAAATCCAAATTACACGCACGGTCGATTATTCATCGGGTTTTATTGAAAGTATCAGCGATTAAAAATGTCGTAGGTTAAAAAGGTTTTTGGCTGTTTATGATAATTATTGACTAGCCGCGCTACACGAGCACTCAAAGGCCAAACGACGATCATTAAAGCCCCGATCTCGTCCGATTAGCATGTTTTACATTTATGAAAACTTGATCTTCGAGACGATTCGATCGACGACTCGACCAATGATCCTCGCACTCTTCCTCGCGGGGCAGGTATATTATATTGTCTCGCGCGAAATCACGCGTAAATAAAACGTAACGTTACGTTAAATTAGCCAAGAGTTGTAAACGGCTCGACGTTATAAAAAAACGCCAAAGGCCATAAACTCGAGCCTCGAGTCGCGCAACGAGATGCTCGGCGATAATAATAGTTTTGTCAATATAATTCGATGTAAGGACTGCGAAACGCGCGTACGTAGGGACTCGAACGCGCCGCATAAACGAGCAACGGAACGCTGACAGATACTCTCACGAGCGCCAACAAGTTCCGTTAAATCCTCACCCGCGCTCGGCACTGTTCGCGTCGAGTCACGAATTTAACCAATGCCAGCTCAAGTTGACGCTGCAAAACCGAGCATTTGCAATTCTTATGCGATATGCCCTCGATGCCTTGACTCGACTCAGGCCTTGGCAACAAGAAACCCATAAAATATTTACTATGCTCGGCTTATAATATAGTATGGACCAAAAAGATCCGAGTTATTACACGACTGTAAGTATATATGTGATCTCGATAAAGCATCCACTCCAATGATGCATTCCAACACTTCCAATGGACGAGTATATTAGGCTTAACTAAAGAAGCAGTTAAACCTTGTACTGGAATGAGCACGTACGCAACAAGTTTCTGATTAAGAAAAGTATGCTTTATCTCTCCGATCGGGAGTTGCCGTACCCAAGGAAATATGGAAATCGGTAATCGCGACTAGATGGCATAGCTCATATATCTATACGGATCTTGGAGTTTCGAAATTAACATAATACTCGAGGTGTGAGAGAGAGAGAAAGAAAAGCAAACAAGGCGGTCTATTTTTTCATCTCTATATTATAGCCGACTTCTTATATAGATTTCACGGCGAACGAGGCCCACAAACTCACGGGTTGACGCACACGGGTCCTTTCACATCACGAGGTCAGAGAGCAGCAACAACTACGTAGGGGAAAAGTTGACGAAAGGAAGGAGGCGAGGATTTGGGTACTTCGGGCTGGACAACTGACCTGCCAGTCCAATCGCACTGATCCGCCGAGGGCATTCCTGCGGGAGCCGCCAGCGACATCGGAGCGATCGCGAGCAGCGACAGCAGCAGCAGCGGCAGCAGCGGTGTCAGCCGCATTGCTTTATTTCGCATGTCAGTCGATTTTTAGCGTCTCTGCCACCACTGCGATACTCTCGTTGAACGTAACACACCAAAACAAACAACTATTATTGCAAAAGGTTTTCCATCGCTCGTGATATAATCGTTTCCATTCTGCCGAGCACTTCACGAGTCATTAAGCACAAAAAACAGCGGCGACAACAACAACGAGAACGAACAAAAACCAACACAAGAGCACACTGCTGGCCGATCGCGCACGGCACTCTGCAGGCACACTAGAAATGCGAGCAAAAAATTGGCGCGCTCTTTCTCTCCTGCACTCCGCTTCTGTATATGATCGAGGTTCGGAAAGCGCACGCACGGATCACGGCATGGCGACTCTACTCGGTCGGAGCTCGAGTCGAACTGGCTCTGCAGTCGCTGCGCGCTGCCTCACGCGGACGACGAGAGAGCAGCGGCTTCGAGCGGGAGGGAGGGGGGGAAAGGAGCCCCAGCGCCCGAGGGCATCCACCGGCTCTCTCGCCGGAGCTCTCCGACTTGTCTCGCTCCCCCTACGCACGCGAGTGCAGAAAAAGGGGAAAGAGAATCTACTTAGCTGGCATATAGCACGCATCGGGACTCTACTTCTCGGCCGAGCGCATGTATAATGCGACTCACTTATACCGAGAAGCGTATTGCGTCGTGCCTTCGATCCTCTATTACCAATATGTAATATGTGCACACATCACGGCGCATTTAAATCTCCGACTGCAGTATATATGCATTGTTCCAAGTTGATAATTCCTTCTTTCAAGCTCTTTTTGTTGGCTTTCCTTCTACGCTACTTGTTTCGACTTGCAAAAATGCACCCAAATAACAGATCAACCGAATCATTTCGAACGAGATTAACGACCTCGCTCGCATCTCTTTAACTATTAAACGTCTTCTCATCTAATTCGTTTTCATTTTATAACATTGTTGTGTATCAACCAGTAATAAATTAAAATTTGACCCGAAAGGCATGCAGCGAGTAGCCGAAAATAATAAGTATACAGCCTCGCAGAGCAACAATGACTGAGCCGCGAGACATTTTCGATTCTTTACGTGTTACAGACCTTCGAAGAGGTGCGTCAGTGAGCTCACGAAGCAAACATTTCGAGTTGCGCTTTTCGTGCCTCGCAGCGAATGACATGCATTAAGTCGAGAGGTACCTACTGCGTATCAAGAGCAAAAACACAAGCCCACACGAGTCAGGGGACAGGAGAATCGACAAGATCGCGGAGAAAAGGCGTATTCTTTATGTTGCGTTGCACGTTATATACATGTAATGCTCGAGAGATCAACTGCATAAGAATAAGAAAGGCCTCGGTCGTCGTGGTCCTCGCACTCTTATGGGCTTTGGCCATTTGCAGCAGCAGCAGCACAATGAGTTGCTCATATATATACGTATATTACAGCGTGGCTAATTTGCGCGTTGGATACTTAGTCGCGCGGTCGAGGCCCAGGACGACTTCGTCGAAAAGATTTTCGCGAGAAGTCGTCTCGTCTCGGTGCGGGGGATTTTTTAAAAAGCGAGCTACAGCCACATTACGAGCGACTCTAGTTCGCGCGATGTGTGTAAGGCACGCACATGCAGCTATACACACATACATGCAAGAGCCGAGTCGTTGGTAGGCCGCGCGGAGAACACGTGGATTTCTATCTTCCAGTCTCGTAGGCGGGTCCCGCTCGCTTTTATAGTCTGCACTGCCAGCTCCATATTCCCATTTTATCTCGGCTCTTTTCAGAATTTTTTTCCGCTGCCTTTTTTTCAGCGACTCTTTGTTCTCGTTAATGTACAGCTCGTATAATGACTGCTGGATCCGCGTGCTTTCGCGTGACTCTATACTCGATCGTTCGCCGTTATTAAATATTATTATACCTCACGTTATTCCTTCGACTCTTGATAGATTTTAATACAGATTCTAGAAATTCGAAGTAGTAAGTAAACTTGAGAATGCAGATACTGCTCGATGACTTTCTCGGCTAACTAGAGCTGATTTATTACACGAGTCCTATTTATCATTCAAAGATACGAAAGTAATTTTTGTTTTCCATTTCATCGATTGGAGTTTGATCGGATTCGGGATTCGTTATTGAGCCCATAAAGCATCGCTGATCTCTGCAACCGTACATAGATCGGCCCGTACTTACGAGCATTAATGGCCATATATTTATATAAGTGAAAGGGTGGCATTGAACTTGAATAGAGCGGTACGCGTTAAACTCGCGCGCTTGGCTGCTACTGCTGTTTTGCATTTCGCGTGTAGTTTTAGCGCGTGCGAGCGAAGCTGCGCCAAGCTCTCCATAAGGCCACATTGAATATCAGCGAGTCGGGAGCACAACTATGGGCAATGCGAGCCTCGCGGGTATAATTTACTAGTATGCTTATTTATACAAGCAGTCCTGTATGGGCAAACGCCGCATCCCGCGGAGCGCGACACGTTGTCGCATACGCACGCACTCTCCTGCGCGCATTCGCAGCTCTCGCTTCGCTTCTGTCTGCGCCAGATTATACATTACTTATACTCGCGACGACACGTGCTGTGCTGGGCAAAAACCTTTTAGCTTTCAGCGGCCGTTTTTCCCGTTTCGCCGCGCTCCATTGCCTTTTTCAAGCTTTTCGCTGTGTGTGTGTGTGTATGTGTGCCGCACGCGTATCACCGAGGTGCATTATTACGAGCGAGTATATATCCGCGCGCAGAAAAATGACGACAACGACGACGCGCCTCGCCTTGCTGCAGCCTCCGCACGAAACTAACTTGAATTCACCCACACGCCGACACAATGCAGCCCAGATATATGTATGTGGGTCAAAATAATACTTTTTTACAAAACCGTGCGCACGTATGTCACCGATCTTGACGCGCTTTTGGTATGTTATAGTACATGGTAAAAAGGTCCCAAAAAAAAATTTTTAGACCCCCTCCCCCCTCCTACCCCCCACTTCCGGTATAAACGTCCATTTTCGATCTATATTTTTTCTGAGGACATGAAGCAAGTAAAAAATCTGAAAAAATTCATAAAAATACTTTTCCACAATCCAAACAACCTTGAATTTTTTCAGATTTTTTGAGTGCTTCAGGCCTTCAGATAAAATCATTGAAAATTTCAAAAATCGAGATACGGCGGTATGAGCCGATGTAGTACTCGGAAATTTTTTCAGTTATTTTTCGCATTAAAAAACATAACCTCAATTTTTTTCAGATTTTTTCAGATTACCTAACGCACCTTTTGAAGCCAAAAACCGATTTTTTTGACGAAAATAATTTTTTTAGGACAGTACGGAGCCTCGAAAAATCTGAAAAAAATTTTTTCTTGTTTTTTTCATCAAAATACGTAATCTCAAATTTTTTCAGATTTTTTAATTGAAGGCGATAGCTTCTAGGGCCGAAAAATGCTATTTTTAACAAAAAATGGTTCCTAGAACCCGATGGTTCCGGTGAAAAAATTTGAAAATATTTTTTTTGAATTCCTTGTCAAATTTTAATAAATTTTGACCGTTTCAAAAGTTCGATTGAAGCTTCCTAGCTCATTTTAGAGCAGGACAAAGATTAGTGCAAAATATCTGAAGACGTTTCTGAAGACATTAAGGAATGATAAAACTCGTTTGATGCTCTAAAATGAGCTAGGAAGCTTCAATCGAACTTTTGAAACGGTCAAAATTTATTAAAATTTGACAAGGAATTCAAAAAAAATATTTTCAAATTTTTTCACCGGAACCATCGGGTTCTAGGAACCATTTTTTGTTAAAAATAGCATTTTTCGGCCCTAGAAGCTATCGCCTTCAATTAAAAAATCTGAAAAAATTTGAGATTACGTATTTTGATGAAAAAAACAAGAAAAAATTTTTTTCAGATTTTTCGAGGCTCCGTACTGTCCTAAAAAAATTATTTTCGTCAAAAAAATCGGTTTTTGGCTTCAAAAGGTGCGTTAGGTAATCTGAAAAAATCTGAAAAAAATTGAGGTTATGTTTTTTAATGCGAAAAATAACTGAAAAAATTTCCGAGTACTACATCGGCTCATACCGCCGTATCTCGATTTTTGAAATTTTCAATGATTTTATCTGAAGGCCTGAAGCACTCAAAAAATCTGAAAAAATTCAAGGTTGTTTGGATTGTGGAAAAGTATTTTTATGAATTTTTTCAGATTTTTTACTTGCTTCATGTCCTCAGAAAAAATATAGATCGAAAATGGACGTTTATACCGGAAGTGGGGGGTAGGAGGGGGGAGGGGGTCTAAAAATTTTTTTTTGGGACCTTTTTACCATGTACTATAACATACCAAAAGCGCGTCAAGATCGGTGACATACGTGCGCACGGTTTTGTAAAAAAGTATTATTTTGACCCATGTATAAACGCGCCTACATACACTCGTGCATGGTATACGTCCACGCGCATACTCCTTTTATCATGCGGGACATTAAAAACACACCGAGTATTATATGCATGTATGTATGAGCATTTGTCCTTTTTCTCGCTCTCTGCAGCTCTTTGCTGCTCTTTGCTTCTCTCCCTCTTCTCTCTCTCTCTCTCTCTCTCTCTCTCATTTCTTGCCAGTTGGACTCGAGCGCGAGGGAGTGTAATACTTTTTTACTCGATTCGCCTTGTCTTGTGATTTATTTTAGATATCGATCGAGCTTGGACTGAATATTCTATACATACATATAGTGCATTATTCAACCTATGGGCTACATTAATTCTTTCTTATATATTTATGCATGCGTGTTCGAGTGTGTGTGTGTGTGTTTGTGTGTTCGTATGTTGCCGAATACCAAAGACTTTTGCGCCGGCCATTGTCTACCTTTCTTTGTTTTTACATTTTATCCATAACGATGTTCGTCGCATTTTGTATGACTGCTTTTGAAAGAAAAAATAACGATCCCAGCGTCGTAAACACCAAATATTTTATTCGAGACAATTTATTTGCAAATAGAAACTTCAGATTTCTTAGTAATTTAAAATAAATATTTTTGTCGGTATTTTTACATCAAATACGGTAAATGGCTTCAATTTCTGAAACTTCTGATTTAATATTACGTACCAGTATCTGCAAGCTCATACTCCGTTCAAAGAAAGCCACTATCATTTCATATCCTAAAACAGTTTTTTCTCTTACATTTCAGTATCCAAGTTTGTATTTAATGCGACGAATGTACCTTCTGAGGATAGGTGACTTGACACAGATGAACATCAGTCTACAGCTTCATCAGCATACACTTTAAATGTTCAGTTTGACTCTTCATCCTAAATAGAAAAGTTACCGTTTATCTAACATCATGAAAGTGAATGAGAATAATTTATCCGTAAATTCAAAAGTCAAGTGAAACTGCAAGAATTTTATCAATACTTGGAATAATTCAAGTGGTTGATACCGAAATTTTTACTCAGGTAGATATTTTGTACGTATTTTGTTTAATAATACGATTTACATTTTTATATTTCCTTTGCATGTCCCTAAATTTGCCATTTTCGATGAGAAATATGATATATAGAACGTGTTGTTACACGATCCCAATAGTTGATGCGTAAAAAACGATTTTTCACTGATTGTCGAGGAAATTGGTCGAAGCAATGCACCGAGCGACAAGAAAGCAGCAAACATCCAACGTAAGATTATACCCATGCTGATTCGCCGAGTTGTTTATGAAACACGAGTTAAGCGAAGTAAGTCGGCTGCGCACCGAGTACGAAATCAATTGAACTAAATTGAGCATCGAGAGGGCATATATCAGTTGGCGTAAGGCGACGCTCAAGTACTATTTATATGTGGCGCGAGCGTATCGTGTGCTGCCAATCAAACGCTCCCAATCATTCATTGACATGCGCATTATTGATGCAATGTGTCATCGCCATTGGAACGCACAAACAAATTAATCCGACTGCTAACTTTTTTTTAATCCAACGATTGATTCGTGCAATTTATTTTCATTTAAGATCGTTGAATTATTTTCGAAAAAATGTACGAATCGAAAATATTTAATAAAAGAGTGTATTTTGAAATTCAAATAAATAACAAATCTTAGTAGAGTACTTGGAGCCAAACAGTCCAAAAGTTTTCACGTTTCGAGAGTCTTATCGGTTATGAAGGATAATTGGGTGTTTATTTCTGGCATCGGATATTAAATAAGCCAGCATAGTTTCGAGATCTATCCTGACGGAAAGAAATTAAGACCAGTAGATCGAAGACAAGTCGTGTATATTATCCAGATAATTAATCGAGGCGACAGTGGTGTCAAGTGTTTTCAATAGCGATACTCCGTTTTAAGTGGCCGTTTGGTCAAGCGACCATAATTTCCGTGTCTCATTTATTTATGATATTGCGACACTCGCGTTCAAGAAATAGCCCAAGAGTAATCGCTCTAGCTCTCTCTTTCTCTCTTATATCATTTAGATGTATATAGATGCAAATAGACGTCGATGGGACAGAGAACGGCCGGTAGGGTATCAATCATTTCCCAAGCGAACGCATGCGAGCCCAAACGCGCCGATCGGAAGATACGGCGAGCTCGTCGCCTTACAGCGAGGCACAAAGACGATGCGGAGTCGCGATAACCGCGATCGGAGAGCGAGAACTAATGACTCGCGAAGCGTAGCGAATGCGTCCCTGATCCGCGACGATCTGCGTAATTCGCCGATGCTGCTGCATAGCAGCAGCCCATCTATTATGTAAGGGCCAATGTGCACCGAGCGCGTCGCATTAAAAGGCGCGAAAGAGAAAAATTGATTTGTCAACGTTGCGCGCGCACGAGGCCATTCAACGCGTCTGTGCCGAGTAAGTGAGAGAGAGAGAGAGAGAGGGAGCCAAGAATTCAAAGTGCGGGCCATACGCTGCACCATCCGACGAAAGAGAGAAAGAAAGAAAGAGAAGGACACATCTGTTTCTCCTGTATATAGACACCGAGCTTGTGCACAGGCAGTGGCGATGCTTACAACGCGCAGCGTACCGCCGAGTCGATTCGCGAAACTGCATCACGTGTGAAATGCACCCGTGACAAGCGGCTAATTTATCAATTATATCAATGCTCGCAATGCCGTGGCCCGCCGCCTCTGTTCGCTGTTCATTTGTCCCGAGGAATTTGCCAACGATCGCTTTTACCTCCTTTATTTACTCTAACTGCGCCTGCCTCGCTGCGCGCCCCCATACCACTCGACTTTTCACAACGAAGATTTATCTCGAATACGCATAGTCGAGTGAATTTGGCCATCTGCATTTGGAGTGTCGTCGACAAGTGCATGTATTTCTTTGAGTCGAATTTCTCACCCCGTTCGTCGTATACAAAGTCGCTGAGTATCAAAATGTAGATTGAATTTTGCCGAGAGACTAATTAACGAATTTCGAGTTGAAGAATGGCCCTTTTCTGGCACTATAAGGCAACACATTGTGCATGCCCTCCGAACGATGGTCATTTCAAATATCCCGATGAACGAGGCTTCGGATCTGCCAGAGCGTGACTCGTGCACGATGTAGACACGCCACGCATTCCTATATCGAAAATGAGCTTGTAAAACATATCTGCTGCACATTGGATGTAAATAATATGTAAGTGGCCGGGGGGAAACGACTGCGCACAAGCCAAGCTGCATATCTATATGCATATTACAGAAGTTTGCGATGAGGCGGCACGCAAGGGTTCCCTCGGGCCAACAGGTATTTCTTCGCTCGCACCCGCATTCTAGCCGCGAGCTCTTGGCTTATTGAGGCCCGAGTAATCCATACAATTACGGAAAAATGCGACCTGCTGCTGGCATATCGGACTTTAAATTTCAGCTTCGACTGCTGCTGCTGCTGCTGCTGCTGTTGTGCTATTCATATATCGGGAGCGAGGCAGGGCAGCGCTGAAAAAAAGACAATGTGCGCGAGCGTCCTCGGGGCTCGCTTTAATGGTCGGCCGTACTGCACCGCGAGTTGCATTAGCCAGACGTATCTATAAGTATAGTTAGAAAAATCATAAAAATTCTCGACTCCAGCTCGTGGGCCGAAAATTGCGCGTAGAGAGAGGCTGCGAGGGTGCCAAAAGGGATCGCAATCGGCTTTATTGTGCGCGCAGGCCCGCAGTCGAAATTTGGTATTTGCCATGTTTTCGCAACGATCTGCGCGTGCTCGTATTTCGGGGCCAAGCATCATCGTATCCTTTGAACGGACGAACCGCGAGGTTTCGCCAGCGCTCGCGGCGCTTTGCTCGACGCCAATAACAAATTTAAACTTGGCCCAGCTCGCAGACTCTACGCGCGGTTAACGCGCGCATTGTGCTCTGTCGGTGGGAAATTCTTACTTTCCTCAAAATTCGAGTGTTTTGGCTCTTTCGAAACGGCCAGCCAGGCCTACATTGGCTGCGCAGCCCTGAAAAGTGCTATTATTCGTTGGTCGCGCGGTAGTGCAACCCCATCAATTACTCGAAAAAAGTTGCTGCGTTGCGAGCCCGGGTCCATCTGTCGCGGGACAAAGACCACGAATACTGCATGTTATAATTACAGCCGACAGTCACGTTGTTTTGAAGAATACATCGAGCTACTTTTAACGTGCAGTGTAGTGCGCTCAACGATAGAATTTGCGCACGAATTGCATGCAGCGAGTTGCATCTGTAACGCAACACACGCACGATACTTATACGTACACGGCACTCTCGAGCTTTGCCTGCGTATATAATATGCCGCGCTCGAGGTTTTTCAGCGCCGTTCTCAAAGTGTGCAGCGTTCTCCAAGAGTTCAACGGTACTCGCGAATTAGCCTCGCGGTAGCAGCCGTGTGAACACTGCCTCCGCGAGAAACTCACTGCGCGCGATTCTCGTGGCCGCCGCCGCCGCGGCTCAGTGCGCGGCTTACGACGATGCTCGATGCTGCCGAGCGTCGGACTTTGAAATTGGATCGAATCTCTCGAAAGATTTTCCACGATCTTGTACTGCAAGTCGTTCAGGCCGTTTTCACGCTCTTTCGGTCAAGCGCATCGGTCGCAGATGTCTGCGTGCGGCAACGAATTTTACGCGTCGAGTGATCCTGTAGAGACAACGACCGCTCGTGCTCGCGTGGCGAAACCGACGTGCTCCAACGATTCCTAACCATTTGACTTGTGAGCTTATAATCGACCAATTTTTACTCAGATAGGACTTCTTTTAATTAAAAAGCTGGCAACATTTCAAAACATAAATTCGTTATCCATTTTTTGCTTCAATAGCTTCACGAGTCAAAATTGCAATATCTTGCAGAATTGAGCTCCAAAATAGTATCTTGTATACGAGCATGTACTACGTTATGCGACGATACACCATGTGGTCTGTGTACAATATGATCCTGGATCCATGCATAACACATACGAATCTTTTTTCAGAATTTTAATTCCTTCATTATTAGCTGGTATCACACGTGTCTGACATTTATAGGACTATTTTTCAAGCAAATGCAAATAATATCAAAACATCGTACATGAGAAAATCGACAATTCTAAGAGTTAAGCACTACATTAGAGCTGCAAACTTTTGAAAATCATGCGATACAATTCAAATCTGTTACTCCATCGCTGAGATCTCGTATTGGACACGAATACAACTATTGCCATGCTAAAGCAAATCATCTCAAATCGGCCCTTAAGTCCATGAGCTGAAAATGTGCATGAGTTCGTGATTTTTTATCCCCTGTCAAATGACACCTCCGACAAATAGTAGCCCTCCGGGTGCTAGAAGCACCTGAACTCGAAGTGGCTTTTTTTTATTTTCATTTTCTTGTAATTGAAACACTACCCTACCCTAAGCTGGAAATTAAACGCTATAGATCAGCTAAATAGTTGTAATTTGAATTATCATATTTAACATAAAAAATTATTATGAAATAATTTTTTATAATTTACTTTATAGGAGCTACTGCACCTATTAATGATAAATAGTGAATTGAATCGAAAATCGACTTACGCTTCCTCAATGAAAGTGTCCCAGCTCACACAATCTATCGCACTTCTGCAAAGCAACGGGCGCTTATTGTATTTTTTGATCCCCAGAATTTCCATTCCCTTGGCGTACTGGTCCAATGAAATATGCCCGAGATTATCTGGATCGAAACGCCTGCACATGTTCTCGATGAATCTACGAAGAGGTATTAAGGCATAAAAATGCATTAGACTCCGGACGATGACGACTCGAGGCGTTTACGATCGAACAGGTTCGAGCATCGCCTACGCAGGCGTTAAAGCAAGCAAAGGACACGCGTTTAACTGGAGCTGCAGAGGGCATCGGGAGAGTAAATAAAAAGTATATATTTCGCGCGCTCGTACGTATACACGTGTGTAGATTGGCCTGCTTATGCGCATTTATATATGTACATACACAGGCGAGCGTGCTCGCTGCGTCAAGAGAAAGAGTTCATTAATTTCGCATACGTATACGTGTACGGGCGATGCAGTTGCTGCTCGCCTCGCTGCGCCTGCATACGAGCCGTATACAGCTCTCTCTCTCTCTCTCTCTCTGTTTCCTTTTACGTTCTTAACGAGCGATCGCGTTTTACAGCGCTGCCCAGCGCGCGCCCGAGTGTCCACGCGATCGACCGATTGAAATTCAGAATCGAATCCCTCATCGCAGTGGACGCAGAGCGAGCCGGCCGTGCCAACGACTTATGGATGCGCCATGCACAACATGCGGGCTTGAGATATGTCTGTGCAGCAGCGAGGCCTACCTACCTTTCTATGTATGTGCGTATGTATGTGTGTGTGTGTGTATAAAGTCTCTTTTGGATCGATTTAATTGGAATGTTTCACCGGAGAATAAAAAGAGCAGCCAAGAGCAACCGAGAAAAAGAGAAGCAACAGAAACAGAACACACAAACCATATTCGCTCGAATCGGGTCGAACTTAATGAGCATGAACGCGCTAAAGCATTATACATTGCCACTGCAACTGACGTGACTCTGTACCAAAGTGTTGAATATTATGAGCTATTGAAACGATACATACATTTTTTCATTCGGTTATTTATTCATTTTTTTTAACTTTGAAATTATGTTCGATAAGAGTCGAGGAAATTCGTGAATGGAAATTCGACACTAATCAACTCAAAAAACTTCTTTGAGGGAAGAAAGTAGCAGTTTATAAATAAGAATTGTCTGATTGTCCTTTGATACTTTTTTTCTTACAACTCGATAATGAGAAGCTTGATTGATTGCAGTACATATCTATGTAATCTGTTAAACATCACGGATAAGCGTCGAATAAAAATGCAATTCAGTAAGTGCAATAAAGCAGTTAAAAGGTATATTCTGGAAGGACAATTACGAGCCTAGCCTGCGGCAATAGTACGTAATGACGGAGAACAAAAGAAAAGAAGGTATCGCGAGGAAATATCCAACGGCGCAGAACAGGTAGCCAACATAATTTCCTATCCGTCAGGGGCATTAAAAGTTAAGTCAGTCCGATAACAATTGCTCGCGAGTCGCTGCGACTTGGTGCATATATATATAGTCGGCGTGTCTCTGCCGCGTGCGATTACGAGCACTTGTACATACACGACTGGCGGCGGATGGCACTCGGGGCTGGCAACGATTATTTTGCAATTTGAGAAATAGCCTCGGAGGAGGCCGCCACCGAGCGGCAAGAAAAGCTTCGAGACGCGCGGTAGCCATTTGCGACACCCTTCAATGGCTTTTCTTGCTTTCGAGCGCAACACACGCGCGGTAATGCACGATTGTTATTTCATCGCGGCCTCTCGTTCGCGCCGCCGAGGCTTTCCTTTGAACCCGACCGATTTATGACAAAATGCAATGGCCCTCATTATTTTGACGTAACCACAAAGGACTATTTTACACTTTGAGCTGCGAAATTTTCTTTTAAATTGTCCACAACTGCCGCCTCTATTCGCGTCATCGGGCAAGTAAGCTATATGCATAATGCGAGCGCTGAAATAATATCGCCCGAGCAACGGGAAGACGCGTATACGTATATAATATAGCTGCGGGTGGAATCGAAAGTCGAGTCGAGCTGCCGAGTCCCCTCGATGCGGCCGTAGGATATATAGAGATAAATGAGAAGGAGCGATGCTCGACTGCGATCCCGGCCAGGTTGCTCTTTTTTACTCCGAGCTGCCTGCGTAGATATTAGGGGACTCGGTCCAGCTATTAGCCGATGCGGATGCGAAATATTATATCCACGTAGCCGGGTAAATGTATACGCCCTATTGGCCGTAGCGGGACAGAGCAAAACTGTCATTTTGCGGCTCTTGGGCACTGTGCGGCCATCTCCGTGCTTTTTTTTCTCTTTTTCTTTTTTCTCTTTCTTGTGCATCGGTCTCGTGACAAAACGGAATTGAGAAAGATTATTATACCGCGAAAAGTTTACTACCAGCAGCAGCAGCAGCAGCGACGGGCGTTACCCAATAATTTTACGCGCAAAGAGCCGCCCCAGGCATCATTTTTTAATGAGTTGACCCGAGCTCGAGTTTCGTCCTTATAATTTGAGCTTGGCTATAGAGTGCCACGCACTGCTCGTGTATATATATATATATTTATACTTTCTATAAATACAAACATCCGACAAACAATCATCGCCATCTCGGATCTGCGACTCAGAGAAAGAGAGAGAGAAAGAGAGACAGGTACTTTTCGATTTTTCGAGAGCCAGCTATATACGTATCATTATATTCTTCACGATAATTTGAGTTTGCGGTTTTGGCGAGTGCATTCGCAGTACATGCGCCAAGCTCGCACATTACTCGTGTACTGCTGGGTGAAAGAGGAGCAATTTGGTGACGCGAGTCTGGATTTAACGCGAAAGTGAAATAATGTTCGTTCCTCGATGGAGCGTCTTGGCCGATAATTGCCAAAAAAATCCATATGTGCGAGAGAGCCTCGATAAACGAATGACGTCGTCTTGGACTCGACGTCGATCGCGCGAACGATTCGTCCTTTCTCGTCCTCGCGGATCTCAAAGATATCTCCGAACGGTCAACAAGAATCGAAGTAGCGGCGCGAGATACGCGTCCGAATTCGGTGCTTTTTGCTCGGGCGCTCCCGGAATCAGAGTCAGTGTGTCACCGCGCGAGAAAATCCGACAAATTCTCATGCTGGTCGGTCGGTCGGTCGTTCGGTTGTTGCGTCGATCGAGCGGCTCACAGCAGTTGCGCAAAGGTCGCGCTCTCATGGGCGCTCGGACCACGTACGGCGCATTTCAATCCGCAAGTGCACGTGCAGTTCGTTTATCTCTCTCTCTCTTGTGTACTCTCCGCACGCTGGGCAAACACACAACGTAAACTCGCGCATACTCCGATCGTTGCACGAGCGCACGAGGTATATATTTATGCGGGCCGCTTATAATACCTGCGACTGAAGAGTAACGGAGCCTCGACAAGGCCGCAGCGGAAGAGCAGGCAGCGATCCAGCAGCGCGTACAGGTACTCGATCGGCTCGTGCGGTTTATCCTTCGACACGTGACACGCTAGGAAATCCATCAGCTCGTAGACTCGGTGCTCCTCCATGTAATCCTTCGCTTCCAATTCATCCTTGCTCACGAAATTTCGCGAGCCCTGCAAAGCGACACCGTGATTTATCGTAACTAACTAAATTCATTTGAAATAAGTTGAAGCGTCGGAATCGGCGTATGGCACCACTAATTACTACGATCGCTCGTTCATTGCCGTCGTGGCAAGGACAAAAACATCGAATCTAGGCGAGGCGTCGTCATTTCCGTGCGCAGCGTACTTATAATCGACTGCGAGCGAGTCGCAAACTCGCGTTAAAGTCCGGCCGGTCCGTGAATCAAGGACGCTCACTCCTCCACTAATTGTACTACTTTGGTCCTACCTGCTGCTGCATCATTTTGTTTCTTCGCTCCTCTCTTTTCTTGTACGCTCTCCTCCTGCGCCTAGCCCGGAGCCAAAAAGCGAGTTTCGGCGGAGCCGAGCGCTCTCTCTCTCTAGCCCGCAGCCACGAATCCTCCTGCTGCATCATATTTTGCGCAGTTGCGGCCACAGCTATACGGGCTAATTAAATCGTTCGCAAGAATTCTCGGTCCGAGGAGCTCCTTCGAGGTAGAGAACGCAGCGCTCGGATACATATTTTGATTTATGAACGGAGAAAGATTTTTAATAAATCGGTATGAAAGATGAGATCTCTTCTAATGTTCGCTTCGTTTACCATGTAGCAGGATTTTTTTCTCTCATAATAGCTCGAAATTCGCTCGACTTTTCCCCGAGTCCAGGCTTGCCTGCGACATACGCGCGATCCAAGATTGAATTGTTATGCGACGTTCGTAAATTGCGAGAATTAATAGCTGACGTTGCGCACGGCGTTCAACGACACGAACGACTCGAGTCAACGACGACGGACTTGTCGAGCGTAGCCTAATAGTCTTGTATTTATTTTAAGAAAACTGCCTCGACTCCGTTAAGATTACAGGCCGCAAATTAGAAGCAATAAAGCGTAGCAAGTGAGTCTCGCCTCGTTACTCTAGGTTGCTCGGAGGCTGCGGCTGCTCATGCCGTTCGAAAGGCAAATGAGCGAAGCGTAAGTATGCATCTTCTTCTTGCCCTCCGTCTCTTCGTAAAAGCGACGAGTATACGAAGCGGCCTACATGCGCAGGCGATAAAGAGAGGCAAAAAGTCGCGAAATGCCAGTGGTGTGAGGGGCACGGCGCGATATATGTCTCGAGCGATGAAAAAAAAGGGGCGCGCGGCCGACGAGCCATCTGCTCGCAGACTCGAGCGAAGCGCAAAAATACGTATCGAATTGGGGAGCGAAAAATGTGTCGCGCGCTTTGACAAGTGCACAAAGCCCGCGAGCTGACGGCTGTTACTCAGCCGATTAGACCGAAATGTAGGATAATTTGTTCAATCATCCGGAGCTGCTTCTCGCTTTAACGATCGATCCTCGATCGGACGAGACGCTATTTTATACGCGTTTATAAGCACGTGCTAGAGCGAAACGTCATCTCGAAGCGGCAAAGCTCTCTTAGTCAGCTGTTTCAAGACTCGGATGCGGCGGCGAAGGGCAGATATGCAAAAATAGACCCTCGTCGGCTCGAAAGCGCGCCAATTCGAGTCACCCGATGTCGAGACAAAGAAGCACAGAAACGCACGTCGGACGCGTGCAAATGTGTGCGGCGACGGCTCGAGAGAGTGCCGATTGCCCGACTACTTAGTGCCGCCGAGCCTATTCAACGCTAGCTCGAGCTGCACACATAACATTAATTTACGAATGCGCTGCGGTGCGTGGTGTATAGGTCACGTGGCGAGCGCGCGCGCGCGAATACACACACACAAAAGGGCTCCGATGCAAAGTTGCCTGCGGCGGCTTCGCGAGACCGCCGTGGGAACGCATAATACACACACACATATCGCGTCTTCTTGCTCCGCAGCTGCACGAAACATCGCGAAACGTCGAGCGTGTGTATGTAATACGTAGCTGTTTACACTCCGCGCACCACGCATCCATGCACACTCGCACGCGCACTCGTGACCCCTGTGCGAGCTCCCAGCTCGCGCGCCATTATTAGCAGCACATCGTGCTCTCTCTCTCGCGCTACAGCTGTATAATACCTGCACGTAGTTGGCAAATTGCGAAAGTCAATTTACCGCCTTTCTCTGCCTTTTTCTTAGCAACGTTTTTTTTTTATCGATTCACGAGGATGTTGTGCTACCTCTGACATGTGACGATCGTGTCTCGATTACGTTGGCCAACTAAATACAAATACACAAGTAAATTTTGTCTCCGTACACTTTCCATAGTCCCCTAATGACTTTAAAAAATTCTTACGTTGTTCAATGTGAAACCCTACATACTGTTAGAAATATTTTATAATTGTACGTTAGATTTAATATTGTAACCGTCAACGAGAGTTTCGCGCGTGAATTTGTGTATAAACATTTCGTGCGAGACACATTTATTATTGTTTGCCGATCGGACACGGCAGCGACAGCCTCAAAACCGCGTAACGAGCGAGGCGTATTATATACTTTATTATTATTTGTTCTATTTAAGTAAAATTACCAATAAAGTCTATTCATTGGTTTTTAACTGTAAGATTGGCGCAAGAGATCATTTATTTAAATTCCTACATTCTACCCTTCTCGGCGAGTGACTAAGCTAATAATTTAACAGTACATACATCAAATATGAATGATAATTTATAAGCGATACTCGATACAGAACAACAAAGATTCTGTAAAAGGGAGCAAAGGTGGGCGTACATCTATACTCGTAAAAAATGTGTCGATCGCGTTAGAGCTGGACACATTTTCCCGATTGTACTGAATATTCATGCGCGAGAAGGCTCATTTCGGGCGCGTGAATGGCCGAGAGCCGGAGTACACGCACGGAAAGAAATGAAATATATCGAAATGAAAATCAATAAAGTTGAATTGTATTCCAAGTTTCGATGCGGAGAGATAAGTAAATAGGGGTTCCGTAATACAGGCTGAAAGCGGGAATAATACGGTTGGGGGCAGTGGGTCCCACGCAAACGTGCGTATAATATCGTGCAGAGCACAAACACACTCACAGGCATGTGTATACAGCTCCAAGTTGGTGCGCGAGGGGGTTGCTATACTCTGTCTCGCTCGTGTGGGAAACTTCCAAGTTCACATAAGAAGAGCCGAGCCGAGCGCATGAGTTCATTGCTGCAATAATAAACGCACTGGCGAACGAGCGATAAGTATGATATTATGTATACAGCTCGAGCCTCGGCCTGTGCCTCGACGCGCACTACGTGTCTGCACGTCGTGAACACAATCGCGCGCTGCTCTCGACTCAATGAATTTCCGCGCCGGAGAATATGCACCTATCCCCGTAGTCGAGTATTCGACATTATTAAAAGATCTGCGCGACCTTCCTGTTCTTTATCTCCACGAGGTCATTCGACGCTTGCACACCCCATAATTTGAGGAGCGATCGCGCACGTCCTCCACGCGGAGCTACTCTTCAATTTTCGCAGCTCTGCTTTGGCCATTGGGGCGAAGAGCGGCTTACGTCATGGAGCTGTATTTTCGTGACGTGTCCTGTGCCGCGATAAGTCAATCCGATGCAGAGATTGACTCGATTGACTTGCAAAAACACATGTTGCTAGCCGTGTATCTATTGCTACATGATATAACGTTGACGCTCTCGAGATATTTATCGTCGAAGAAACAATCACGGCGTCGTATAAACCATCAAGGGCTTTTACTTTATACATATACGCATATGCGCGACACACATTACGCTAACTACCTTATGTTCACTATTTATCGTTTTCGTCGCGTCACGATATCTATCATATAATTGAACAAAAATGGGCATAAAATATGCGCAACAGCTGTTTTTAGCGAAAGAAAAATCTGGCACATTGAGAACAATAGCAATTTATCTAAAGACCAAAGTTTGCGAGCAAAACATCACTTTTCTTAACAAATCAGCCATGTTTCAAAGCGAACTTGGGTGACAAAAACAAGCTTACTTTCGATGAATATTCGCTTGGGCTTGCAGCACTGCCAAGTTGACTAGTGGCCCTTGAGAAAACATCTTCGGACGTCATCTCTCTGATTTGTCAAATTTAATCGAGCAAACTATATGGAGCCAGCAAGCAGTTCTACCAAGGATCCGTAAAATTTCCTCCTATTGGCGCTTCGTTAAACATTCATGAGTCTTGTATCAACTGAATCACTACACACTGTATTAAGTACATGCGAGCAGTCGGCAAAAAATCACACGTGTTTGCATTTAAAACAGCACAACCGTTGCCAGGGAAACGCGAGGTCTATAAGTACGAGGATATGCGCTCAACTTTTGCTGCCAGCAGTATGTTTATCATTTCTAAATGTCAGGATAAACAAGCGCCTTGGGTAAATCTGGGTATTTCTCAATTTTTTCGTATGGATTTTACTAGTTAAAATTAACAACACGATTTCACACTTATCATCTGAATAGTCACAGTTCGAGTTTATTTAATAAATTTAAAAAAATATATATAAATACAATTAAAAATATACAATGAGTCGACGTTTCGCCGCTTAATCACGACCTTATCAGGGCTGTTTTATGATAATTTTATGATTCAGATGATCATGTGCTTATCAATTAATAGAAAAATCGAAACTCGTTACCGCACTTGCCTTCGACTCGGGCTATAATCCCTCGTTTTGTTAAAAAACCATAGCCGCACCCTTTGAGAAATATACTATATAATATTTATGCTCAATTACAATATAATAATTATATTTAAATATGGAAGTTTTCCTGCTTGTACTAGTGCTGGAGAGTACCATTTAGATTGATTTTGCATCATTATTCAGTAATGACATTTTTATCGAAAGTTCTGTTTGTGTTGCATTGGAAAATACCATTATTATCAATTTCCTATGTTAATTTACAAAAATATATAAAGTGACAAACACCTTTGTGAAATGCCGCTTCTTATGCACATCAAAGTAATTTTGTTCCATTTCTTCTTTTTATATTTACTATACAAACATTGAAAGTAAATATTATTTTTTGAGGATATTGATGACAACGATAGCCTAAGTGACAACGTTTTTTAGAAAATTTTCAGAATTAATTATTATACTTTTACTATTGTACTTCTTTGATCACTTTTTCCAAGACTTTCTTTTCTTTACTCTCGTTCGATTTTCGACTGAAATTTATAAAGATGTCAAATGCCACAATATATGAGTTCTAGTGCTATTAAAAAACGATATTAAACTGAAAATGATTTGATTGACTTTCAGGTCCATTTAAATAAGTCAATCAACCAAAATACAATTTTAGCTTTCATCGTCATTCTATTGAGATTTGAACATAATATTTCTATCGTACAATAAAGAATAATAACGAATAATAAGTGG